TTTTCTTCTTACAAACTTCGCCTTTGAATGGATGAGCTTCGAATATTAATACACTAGCTAATTCACGTTTAACAAGAGATGATAAATGTGAAAGAGCTTTGACATGTAATAATTCATCATAAATTATTTCTAAATCATCAATTGTTCGTTCATGAGGTCTATACATAAAGAATTCTAAGAATAGAAATAAATTTTGTATGTATATATTACGGTTTCCTTAATATCATTCGAAGCATTGCATCAGGTCCAACTTGTGCTAAAGTAACAATAACATCATTTAATTGTTCTTCACATACATTTTGTTCACTAGGACCCGGTTTTGTCAATTTTCCATCTTCGTCACCAGAAAAACGATAAAATAAATATTTATCTTTAAAATAATGTTCTTGTGATACTAATAAAGAAATTTATAAATATATATCAATTATTATTTTTAGAAAGATTGTCTACCATGTGCTATAGCTGCTTCTTCTAATAATGCTTGCCACATGCCGACTGCTTGACTTCGCGAATGAACTACTATAAATAAACGGTAACTAATTATAATAAATTATAAAAATAACTGACTAGGACTTTGATGAATAAGCCAATCAACCATTTCGGAACCAACTAAACAACTTCGATGCATTTTAAGATGATATTTACGATCACGTATCATTTGTGGAGCTTTGCCCAGTATACATGTTCTTAATACATAAGCAGCATGTTGAATTCGTACTGAAGCAGCCTGGAAATGAAAGAAATAAAGATTTTATAGAAAAAAGATGAAGATTTTTTACGTACAGGTACAATTGGTAAAGCGGGATTTCGTGCTAAAATCAAAGAAAAAAAATTTTGTATATTATAATTTATTAGAAATTTGAATACAAACTTGGATCATCTTTGAAGAATTTTGAACTTACAACTTGAGGAAGTAATGATGGATCAAATTCAGAAGCACGACGTTTTGGATCTAAAATTTTGTTTCTTTTTCTAATAAAATTGTTTTCAATTTTCATTTATTACCTAATGTATTCGTTAACCGACTAAGACTAGTTATAACACCATGCATATATTGTTTATTACGCTAAATATAATTTGCAGATATATATAATGAATAGATTCAGTTGAAAATTATATACCTCCCATAAGATCTTAAAATCTTTCTGTTCAACTCTTAGAAGCATCACTATTGATGATGTTATTACTGTCGCATTTCGAGGTGTATCATATAGAATAGATTCACCAAAAGCAGCGCCAGCTTCTAAAGTACAAATAAGTGTATGACCCTAACGAAACATAAAAAGAGTTTTATTTCGATATAGATTCAAAATGAAAAAAATCTTTACTTTGCCATTTTCAGCTGGAACACAAACATCAACGTTACCACTCAATATAGCAAACCAATTTGCACCAAGATCACCTGTACGAAAGACTATACAATCAAAGAAAAAAACTAAGTATCCTTTAAATGAAAAATATTCAAGAATATTTCTTACGTGTAACACCTTTTTCTAAATTTTCAAAGTAACTATAATAACAAAGTTGTTGAATAAGTAATGGATGAAATTTTTCAAATGCTTTAACATCTTTTAATTTTGAAAATATTGTATCGAGATCATCACTAGTACGATCAGTTGGACTTTAAAAAAAAACGGAAATATAATTTAATAAAAAAAACTAATTTTATTAAGAATTGGTTTACCGTTTGTCTAAACATTCTGTCCAATCAAGAGATATAACAGGTGTGTGCGGTTTGTCAGCCTGTGGGGAACCACTTAATATCTTCATTTTTTATGTATCATCTTAAAGTTCTTTTATATACATATTTGCACGCTTGAAAAATATCAATTGAAGATATAGACAGCTTGAAGCCAATTCATCTAAATATAAGCGTCAAACATGCAAAACCTGGCACGAACATTCCTCTTTCTCTCCCTCTCCCTCTCTCTCTCTCATTTTTCCTCTATAAAAAAGAAAACGTTTGCTTTCCTATCATTTAATAATAATGGTGAAGACGAATGTCAGGCTAAAAAAGAAGTCGAAGAGAAAATATGATTAGATTTGTCGCAGAAAGAAAAACTGACATATTGACAGGCAATATAAAGAGATCGTACAATATAATAAATTTAACCATAGTATCATATCTCAGTTTACTTTTGTTTTTTGTCTTATGTTTATTCATAATTTTTGAAGTTAAAAAAAAACGAGAAAAAGATGATTAGTAAAATTGAAAGAAACTTTTATGTATATATATTTGGATCACTTGACAATTTTTTCTTATGAGAATCATCTATGAATAAGAAAGATGAAGAAAATGTAAACGAGCGAGGCAGAAAAGTGACAATCCCTGATGAGTTCGTCCATGAATGTCAAAGCTTTATTTTTTCTTCTTCTTCTTCTTCTCCTCGTTTCATGTTCCGCCCCTTTGTTCTATTTGGTTGCATTGCCAGAACTGTTATTCATTCCGCTCACTGCATCTTCAAATCACAAAGATGGTGTTCGTAGTAGTAGTATTAGTAGTAATCAAGCAAAAGAAAACGAGAGACAAGAGCGAGAGAGAGGCAATTTCAGTTTCTTTTATCTACATAATTCTCATTTACAAATGAAATGCTACCTTCTGTCCTTCTATTTTCTTTTCTCTTTTTCCGAACTCATTATTATTGATGAACTTTACTGTTGATATTTACTATGAGTTTCATTATAGTTATTTCCTTTAACAATAATGTATGTTTCATTGCATGTCGCCTAAAGATAACACATATAAAGAGAAACAAGAGAAACTTCTCTTTATTTTTTGTTCTCATTTATTAAAAGGGAAAAAATGAATTAAATGTGAACAATTAAAATTTTGTAGCATGAAATAATATATTATGTTATTTGAGAAAGATTGGTAGTTAGTTTGTCAGTTGCTGTGATACGATTGTAACAAAAAGCTATCTTATGTTGTCTACATCAGCTAAATATAAGAGAATGAAGCAAAAAGAAAAAAAAGAATAAGACATGTCGTTAAACCGGAAGGAAAGGGTGAACGGCGGAAAAGGATTTTTCCGTTTTCAGTACTATTCGTATACGGTGCAAGTCATAATTCTCAATAACAAATAAGCTCAATGAACTACGAGATATGTAAAAATAAAAATACTAACTAAAAAAAAAAATTATCTCAGCAACTATTACCAATAGCATGAACGAAGAAAACTTATCTTCTTTTTTACACGTTATTAAATTCTTTTCTACACGAGACAGACATATATATATATATATATAGACAGAAATTATCACGCATTATTTATTAAACACGATAGTTAACAATGATCATTTTTTCAGGTTTATATGATAAACTAGCTTATGTAGTATTGTCGATTGCTTGAATAAATCTTTCTTTTTTTCTTGAAAAAACAATTCCTCTGACAAATTAATCTTCTTCATGATGAAGATTAACAATCTCATAATATATATACTCATACCATTATTAGCTCAATTCCCACATTGTCAATAATAATTTAGTTTTTTCTAGTGATGAGAAAACGATTAATAACAAAAGCAAAAAGTTTATAGAAAAATGTCACGTTTATCATGCAAATCCTATTTTAGATTGATCGAATATAGATATCAAAGCAATATTTGAATAAACTATTTAAATCAAAGTGCATTTTATGTTGAAAAATATTAATTTTAATAAATAAAAACTTGTTCATGATAATGTATAACTCCATTTCTATGAAATTAGAGTTTAATTGTATATATCATTAGATAGTTATGTTATATTATATAGAAAATTATCTTCTATAATGATAGGAAATTCCTGCTAATTTGAAGTATTTTTACGAATATTATAAATAATTAGCGTGTATTCAATTTCACAAAAATTTTCTATTCATTAGTAGTATAGAAATAAATGATCATAATGCTTAAATAATTTTTCATTACTGATAGATGAATTGATAATAATTTTCTTCGAGTCTTACCGTGTGAACAAAACATAATGTTGTTAAATGAAAGAGAAAAAAATGAAGTATTTATCAAGATGATTGAAGAGTTTGACAAATATATGGAATAGTATTTGAACATATTTGCATAGACAAATAAATAAAGTAGCTGACTTCTGTCAAGTCATGAATATAAATTATTTATGAACAATAATATAAATGAGCTATTTGAAAGAACATATTGTTTTATTTTTATAACTTCATTTCAAAAAAAAAATTCATTACCTAATTAAAATATCAATCATGACTTGAATTTCATTATTTTGATCGTAAGAACAAAATCTATAAACTGTAGTGCAAATTTTTCTATTATTAAACTTTAATATATATCAGGATATACATTATTTGAGAAAGAGCTTATAGCAAAGTAAAGTCAAGGCATATAAAATAATTTATAATTTGATAATATAGCGTACAAATAAGTCTACTTATATGATTATAAAAACATTTAACTATATATAGAATGAATCTTTTGCGTAGAAATGTTTTTCCTAATGACATAATCTGTTGTTGGTTCTGGAAAATGTTTGAAAAATCTGCACATAATACAATAATGTAATGATATTGACAATTATTATGACTGTTTTAAATGGTAAACTTTTACTAGCGAATACAATTTTATGCGATCATATAATAGTTCAAAGCAGAAACTAAATAATTTATGTTACGGTTAATATACTAGTGATACGTATTGTCGCAGAGATGAATATCTTCTATGTTATGCGAAGTTACTTTTGCTTTGGTGGTACGTTACAGCGTACTTTAACGAATAGTGTGAAATGAAAAGTTTTGATCGTATCATTTGCTATGATAGATGTACGAGAATTGTTAATAAAATATTACACTAATGTCATAAATACAAGAATAATAGTTTGATTAAAATTTAGCTCATATATATATATTCATTTAAACAGATGAATGACAAAATCATCTACAGTTTATTCTAGGAATATTTCGTATGCTCTTATTATTTCTAGGACTTTTACACAAAAAGGCTATATTTTAATAGAAAACTACTAGATTATTGATTCAGTGAAAAGAACTTTCTAGTGAAAACATAAGAGGAAACTTATCCTTTTATCTATTCATTTGTTTCATAATAAAATCTTTTAAATATATTATCATGTACTAATATTCTATGCATCAATTTAAATTCTTTTATATCATTACAATTATTTTACTTTTGATTTCTTTCGTATAAATAAATTTCAGAAATTATTATACATGATACTTCATAATATGTAATATTGTTCATTATCAAAAAATGACTTGTCATACGTATACATAGATTTTCGTATTTAAAATAATTGAAAAAATCGCAAATTTTATCGAAATACGATGAATAGGTATCGTATTTAATATCCCTGGACATAGTATCAATGATAGGCTTTAAATTCTGATTTAATAGTATGAATTATACTATTATAAATACTTAATTTCGAATCTTTTATTTTCGTAAACTAGGTTGTATGTATATACTTGAAAAATTTAAAAGTCATGTAGTCTATATCATGTGATTCTTTATGAGAAATAAGAGATAATAATCGATATGTTATTTCCGTAGTTTACTGATAATTATATCTTTTCGAAAACATTATATTCCGTTCGTACATTTATTCTTAGAAATAAAATAAAATATGATCTTTTCCTCAAAGATTATTTCAGAAGCACATTTTTTGTTATGAAAAGACTACATTTGATATTAATCTCACTTAAATAATAATGTAAAAATACACATAGTTTCATTGAGTAAAAGTTTTGAAAAAAAAGAACACTGCCTTTTGTCACTTTAGAATATACATATTATTTTTAATTGAGGAACATAAAGTTGATAATAGATAACATCTCTTCCGTAAAATAATAAAGTACTAAACCTTATATTTTTATTTCGATGCTATGATTCAATAAGAATACTAATATAAATGTATTAGTTTTAAAAGAATGTTTTGTAATCGATACAATTATTTTTGAATAAGATATTTATATATAAATTGAAAGATTCCTTAAGAAAACATGTACTTAATATATTTTTAATTGTATTTGATTTAGAATTTTATGAAAGTTTGTCTGATCATTTTGTATTTTGTTTTAATTCAATTTTTATGATATGAAGAAATATTTATTAGAAATTTTTCTTTTATAATTCACTTAATAACAAAACTTGAAATTTGAATAATACATTTATATTTCAATTATTCGAGAAGAAAATTGGAGGATAAATTGAATCAATATTGTAAATCTTTTTAGAAGGAAAGTATTAGTATATGAAATTAGAAAAAAAAAGCTTAATAAAATCATTTATTTAGTTCGTATATAAATACAATTGAAATATCTCAGATTCAGTATCGCTTTCTCCTCTCTTTTTCATCAACGAAAACAACAATGAAATTTATATTCGCTATTCTTTTATTGGTTTGTGCCATTATGATACATAAATCATCGGCTGGACCTGCTACTATTGATCCACGTGCAAGTGAAATTAGCAATCCTGAGGCCCGCATCATTAATTTCATGAATTGCATGATCCATTGTGTTCAACCAGAAGCACTAGAAAGTGAAGATGCTGATGATGTTCAAAGTCGTGGTCTCTTTGATATCATTGGTAACTTTCAAAATCTATTTGGTTGTGTCCCACAATGCTAAGAATGGAATTGATTTTCTCAATCAGTTAAATTTCTTAATATCATGAAATAAAATAAAATATTCGATATCCATAAAATTTTGTAATATAACTTCCATAATAGATTCTCATTAATGTGTTCTCTTAATGTATCTATTCAACATATTTTTTGCCTGTCATAGAACATATTCTGTCAACTATTACCTATTAACAATATCTGTTTATATTTCAATATTAGATTAACATATATTCTAGCTTATTTTCCTGGAAATAGGATTAGAATAGCAAATATATTTGTTTTTGATGTCTCTTTTGAAAAACATCGAGTATAATTAGCTATTTGTTAGACAGTAACAAAATATTCATATATGGGCTATTAATGTAACTTTAACAAGTAATGTAATGCACCATACAAAAATAGCACGAAAGAAGAATGATATCTTAAACGATAATAGAAAAAAAAACAGAGCCGAACAGGACATTGATAAAATGTGCACATAGGCAAGATTACAATGTTAGCAATAATGAATAACAATTAGTTATTCTGAGAAAAAAACCAGTTTATTTTATAATTTTTTCCTAAAAGAAATATTTATTTCCTGTCAAACTAAATTTTAAAAATAGTCTTGTTGAAATGAATTACTCGTATAATTGCTTTCTGATTTGACATACATTCGTCATAAACTCTCTAATGTTAATATCAATTACAGTATAATAAACAAATATACTTATTAACACTGTGTACCTTGATATTCTGTAAAAACGATATTTATCAATAGAATTATTTATAAATAGCATTACTGTTAAGTTTTTCAGTATAATGATAGTTAATTGAACTTATAAATATGATATGAACTAAAATGAATTGTTAGATTTGAATTTAAATCTGTTGACGTCATTTATTAACAAAAGAGTAAATTATATTGAAAAGATTTATTTATTTAATTTTAAATACTTGATTAATTTTTAGTCAATAGAAGAAAAAAGATAAAGTCTTTGTTATTTAAATAAAATGTTGAAATTATGTCTTATAAATTCAAAAACTTTCTTATATAAGAACAAAAATCTTTCTCTTTTTTCTATCATTTCATAATTTAATCGTATGTATTAGATAGCTTTACATTATATTTAAATATTTTTATTCTTAAGTAAAATCACTTTAAAATAATGAGTATAAAAGTGTTTCTTTTAAATATAGTAATTTTGTTTTAGTATAAATTACTATTTATTATAAGCTTTGAATTTTATTTTATGTTGTGGCAATGTCATCTAACGTTTTTTTTTTCATATAGTACGTTTATTTCTCTAGGGTTTTTAATGTCCCGAATTCATTGATCCGAAATATAGACATCTAGTAAGTGTCATTTGTAGTATAATTATAACAGTATAGTAAAACTAAAGAGAATTAAGAAAAAGAAGAAACAAAAATTTAGAATATTCATCTTTTGATGTTTAACTAACTATTCATAAAAAAAGTAGTCATAATAATGATAATTATGATAAATGAAGAATATCAGTAGAGAGAGAGAGAAAGAGAATGTGTATATTAAAGATAATAATATGCGTCGTTGTTTTTATTCTAAAGGATCATTAAAAGGCAGGAAGTTCTATATTGAATAGTTGCCTTTAAGTAACCATAGATTGCTTTTTTCCTTCTTTTGCATTATTATTTACAAAACAACAAGTATTTTTGATAATTATTCATATCCGACAAACGATGTTTTTTTTTCTCTCTTCTATTATTATATACTGGACATCGATAATGTTAGTCAGAGATACCATCATTGATGATTGATTTTACGCCTAATTAGTGAAAGTTAGGATCTGTTCGGCTTTTTTTTCTATGGGTCATATATGATATATTTTGTTCTTTGAGCCTTGAAACGGACTTCTACTTCTCATTTATTAATTTCCTATTTTCAAAGATACTGAGAATAAGGAAGAGAAAAAAAAACAAAACCAGAGAAATATAGAAAGGAAGAGAAAGAAAAGAAAAAGAAGATTGATATATTTTTTATATAGAGCAATTCTTTAGATAAATATAATGAAAAATTCTCGTTTAGAATTATTTTAATAATGTTATATAACACAACAACTGTATCAGAAACAATATCATGTCCTAAACCTGGAACGGATGGTCCTAATGCACCTTTTTATCATTGGTTAGCACTTGGTTATGTATTTTTATTTATTCTTTCTTTAACTGCTAATTTACGTGTACTTTTCAAACTATTTCATTATTCTCGTCGTCGTTTTCGTGATCATATACTTCTATTAAATTTATGTGCTGCTGATTTATTTGTTACACTTGTTTATATACCAAGTGAAGTCTATGCTTATACTGTTGGTCTTTGGTATAATGATGAAATATGTAAAATAATTGCTGCACTTAAAGGACTTGGTATTTATGTTTCATCATGTACAATTATTGGTATATCGGTTGATCGTTATTTATCAATTGTACATCCTCTAACAGTATATCAATCAAATATACGAAATAAATTATTCGTTGCTGGTTCATGGTTAATATCAGCAATTGCATCTATACCACAGGTAATATTTTAATCAGATTTTTCTTATATATACATATTCATTTTTCTTTATTAAATATAGTTAGTTATTTTTAAACGATTTACAAATACGGAAATATGCCATGAAATGTGTGGTGATACACTTTCATTCGATCCACCAAAACGATTAGCTTATAATGCAGCTGTTGTTCTATTTGCATATATCGCACCATTATTAGTTATTTTTTATTCGTATTTTCGTATTTTATATGTTTTACAAAAACGATGTGATCGACGAACATTTCGATTTGTTAATAGTTATACCGAGAGTCAACGTAGTGTGGATATATATCAAGCAAACTGTACAATAAAATCAAATAGTATAAAAAGTTTTAATCATGAAAAAGGAAGAAATGGAACTACAGGACAATCTGTTATACAAGAAGAAATCAATACACATAATACAAAAACAATAACACGAGCTAAATTAAAAACATTAAAATTAACTGCATTAATTGGTAAGGGAATTTTTTATTTTTATTTTGCAAATCTTAATTATTTTTGTTTTTAGTCATTTGTTTTATTCTTTGTTGGACACCGTATTACTGTATAGTCTTCTTTCTACTTATAACTGATGCTCGTATTTATCATGAGCAATTAGGACGTGTAAATAGCAATGAAACATTAACTACTTCTACTTCTGTTGATCCATCTATTACTGCTCAACAAGCACGGAATTATCGTTCACTTTTACTTTTTTTGATGCTTGCTGTATCAAATTGTGTTCTAGATCCATTAATATATGGTAATTTATAAAAACACTTAGATTATGATTATTTTTATTTTTTATTTTCAGGCTGTTATTTAGTAAAACCTATTAAATCAAGTTGTTTAGGTGGAGTAAGAACTCGAACTGAAACAACGACATTAAGACGTACAGCAGGAGCATTAGCATTTGATAAGGATTCAAAATTAACAACAATACGAGCTAATATGAAAACTATTAATAATACTCAACGTGGTAATGATGTTGAATGTCAAGTTTAAAAACTAAAAAAAAAAAAGATTTTTTTTGTGAATATTTTTCTAAATGTTATTTCTCATGATCATATAAAAAAAAACAAATGGAATAAGACGACACATATATATTATCAACTATGGGTACATATTTAAGTTCTCAATGAATTCAGTCAAATATGATAATATGTATACTAATTGTTTACAAATCTCTTGAAATCATTATAAACATCTAATCATTTTTGACATTAGCTTTTGATTATCGACTAATTTTTCATTGATGAAAAATAATGTTCCAGAATAATGAACAAGAATAAAAGCTGATTTTTCTTTAGTCTTTTTTTAGTAAATATTGGATATGAACTAATTATATTTAATCAATAAAGTAAATGAGAAAAGAACTTTATTTAATAATCTATTAATCTTATCTAATCATTTATGCTTTAGGTTATTATTTGTAGATGAGTATTTTATAATATATACTTTAAATAATCGTATTAGAAATTTATATAATAAAGATTTCATTATAATGGAAGTAAATAAAAGCGAATAATAATAATGAGTTCAAAAAAAATAGTATTTTGTTAACATTTATTAAATAGATGAAAGGATCATATGAGTACGTGTTAAACTATTTATAATTATTATTTATCATATTCGCAAATAGAATTTTTAATTGGGTAAGAATTTAACAGTAGTAGGTGTAATATTTCCTATAATATCAGGAGGAAATGTTCAAGTACGTCAAGGAAATTCTATACATAAACCTACTTTCATCCCACTCACTTACCCATGAAAAGTCAAAAGGTTCTCATTGTTAAAAATAAATTCTTTTAATCTAAATTCCTATTAAAATAAACTTTCATGATTTAAATCTAATGAGAAACAACCTACGTTTTTCTAAAACTAGCGTACTTGACATACTAGTATTGTATCATATCAAACTCATAACGTTTATTATTTAATACTATCAGAATACATTATAGCTGTCTTATTCGCAACAATGTTAGTGATACTCAAAAACACTCTTTAACAACGAATAGGTGACAACCGACGCGGTTATCTCTTATTTCCGTTGAACCTGAGGACATAATGATTGAGTCTATTTATTCGTATACAGTTTTAAATCTTTCATCATATTAAAAATATTCGTTTAATAAGTTAATTTTTATTTTCATTCTTAATAAATAAATAAATACATTTGTTACCACAAAATAAACTAACAAAAAAAAATTACATTCTGGTCAATGTTTTAATTGTCAAAGAACAAAAAAAATTTCACATATATATTGAAGGAAAATCAAGTTAACAATTTATTAATTATAATTCTTCTTTATAATCTCCTTGTGGTTGATAATTACTCATATCTTGAAAAACAAAAGGTGTTGATGGTATTTCAGTTGAATTATAATTCATAAGATTATAAGGCATATTAACAGAGTTAATCATTGGAGATGGAAAAGGATGTGGATACCTAAAAATAGAATGAAAATTTATTAGCTTTATTTTTAATTATAATTACTGAAAATTTGACCAAATTGAATTGTAATATGGATAATGAGAATTAGGTAAATAATAAGGAGATGGCGTAGGCATAGATGGAGGCGGTGGTAAATGAAGTAATGAATTTACTGGAGGACTAACACAAGAATCATGCGAGACATCTTCATCCTATGAGATAAAAAAATTAAAAAAACATGATATTTTATGAATTCATTGATTGAATATACTAGATGAATTCCACTATCGTAGTGTGGTTGATTATCTTTTTCATTTGAATATTGATTATTAAGTTTTTGTTGAGTTTTTTTCAAACGTGCTCGACGATTTTGAAACCAAACCTAAACGATAGAAAAAAAATAATGTTCTATTATTTATTTTCATTATAATTACCGTTATTTTTTGTGTAGATAAATTAAGTTGTTCAACAAGATCATCAATAATGTCAACAGTTGGATAACGATGTTGTTGAAATGTAGTTTCAAGTATATCCAACTATTATATATTTAAATATAGATTAAAAATTTTTTCTAAGAAAATTTTCCGCACTTGTTCTTGAGTAAATTTTGTTCGTATACGTTTTTTATATACAAATGATGTTGATTCATTTTCATCATGTTCATAATCAATATTTGATGATCGTATTTCTGGAATATCTTCTTGTGGATGATATTGTTCATTATCTATACAAAATTTCAAATATAAAAATTATTAAAAAATTTAAATTCTTACATCGTGATGATATATCATTATTTCTATATTGTTGAATAAATATATCCGAATTATTATCGATATGATCCATTATTGCCTGTATTATTCAAGAAATAAAACGAAAGATATATAGAAGAAAAACAAAATAATCGTTCTTTGTCTTTCTTCATATAAGATGTCTAAATAAGAAAATAAACAATTTTGTAAACAACAAATAAATCGAATAGATTCGAAGCTCATTAGAGAAGTTATTTTTAGAAGTAGATTTTTTATCTATAAAATTTTACCGCTTACAATTTCATTTGTATGTAATGTTTGAATTACAGATCGAATTTCGATCAGTCTTACAAGTAAAAGAAATATAACAAAATTTTATTGAGTAAAACGAAAAAAGACCATGTTTCTATTATCTAATGTTTTATTTTTTCTATCGATCTTCATTCTATCTAGTAAAGCAAATTTCGATATTCAATGTTCAAATGGTCGACAAGCTCTTTGGTCATTTGATATGTTTAATTTTACTTTTTCAGTACATTGTTCTACACCTGGTCAATCATGTCGTAATAAAACAGGCAGATGTAATAAACAATTTTTATGTTGTCCACGTACATTTAAGTAAGTTGAATAAATCAATATCTTCTTCTTCTTCAATGATATAAATTAGAATGTCATCGAAATCTCAATTATATGATCGAGCATCCGATATAAAACTTATTCGTATTGGTAATGATTATAAAAATCTTTATCGTCTATTTGAAATACATTTATTATCAAATTCTGAAGCGAATTATGATTTTCGTACACGTTGGCTTTTCTTTGATAAAACATTACGCGATTTATTTGAAATGCCAAATGCAAAATTTTGGTTTTCAATTATAGATTGTATGCAAAATCATGGTATTGCATATGCATATGTTCCTCTTAATGCAACATCAATTACATCTAATATAAGTGCGATGACAATTTTAACAAGACAAAAAAATTCAACTGATAGTATATATATATGTTATATGGCAACAAGAAAACAACATCGACGACAAGGTTTAGGGACACGTTTATTACAACAAATTGTTCATCGAGCATTACATGAACAAAAACATGGTATTAAATATATAACAATGCATGTAAATACATTAAATATTATTGCACTTGAATTGTATGAAAGATGTGGATGGCGATGTTATGATTATTTACCTTCATATCTTGATCATGATCCACATCATATAACAAATCATGCATATGCATTAAGACTTCATTTAGAAAATGTAAAGAATGTTACGAGTTTATGTCGAGATTCAAAGGCTATTCATATGAATCCATTCGATAATGAACTAAGTATACGAAATTGTAATCGTACACCTGTTCATTTATAATAAAAAAAAACGTCCAGAAGTTTTTCCTTTTTTTTATATTGATCTGAAATAAAGCTAATAGAATATCAAAAGTCGACTACATAATTTTGTTGTGTTTAATTGAAAAAATAAATCTTTTAAACCGTTGCTAAGACAAATAAATACTCGTTGTAGTAAATAATGAACTCAATATCTCTTGATAAAATAAAATATGATTTACAAAAATATTTTTCTAATCATATGTCTATTATTGTTCAATATTTTAATACAAAAGATTTTATTGATAGACAAACATTTGAACATATTTTACGAAGGTAAAACATCATTTGAAATTAGATATTCTTAGTTTCTTTTTTTTATACAATATAGTTCAAAACTTTTAATGAATAATACTTCTCTTAAATCTCTATGGAATTTATGTCAACCATCTGATGAAGGTGTCTCTTATAGAATATTTCTTCAACATTTTGCACCATTTAAATTAGAAAATAAACAGTGTAGAATATTAAATTATAGAACACGTATTTATGATATAGTAAAATATTATTGGCAGAATATAAAAAATGATTTTTCGTATGTAAATTCTTTTGGTTTAAGAAATAAAAGTTGTTTTTTTATATATAATAGTTGTCTTGATCGATATGGACGATTTTTTATTACTATTGATCAAGCTATAGTATGTATCGTAAGATATAGTTCGTTATTAAGGATAACAAGTCTTTTTGTAAATAGAATTTAATGAAAAAATATTCTTTTCCATTAAATGATCAACAACAATATGAACTTGCTTTATTGTTTTCACCAAAAAATAATGGACGATTTAATTATTTCGATTTTATGCAATGTTTTACTAATCAATCATTATCGAATCAATATATTTTTTCTCGTTTCACATATATTGTACAATCAAAAGTAAAAAAAATTCTTATTATTCTTTGACATTGGAATCAAATATTCTTTCAGCAATCTTGGACAGTTTTACCGATTACAATTGATGGTATTTTTAATCGGATTCGTTCTCAAGTAAATTTAAAGAAAAAATACATCTGATATATTATTCGAAAATTATTTAGTGTATATCAAAATATGAAAGTATTTATAAAATGTTTAGAATATTCGATAAAAATCATCAGAAATATTTAACAAAAATTCAATTAAATCAATTACTTAAAGAATTTAATATTCATCTTAATGAAGAAGAACTCTATCATATTCTATCTGAAATTGATAAAAATCAAGATGGTCTTATATCGTATAATGAACTCTATGATTCATTAATGACTAATGCTTTACAAATTTGATTGTTACAATAATAAATGGAATTATGAGTATATATAAGATATAAATGATTGAAAGAGATCAAAGCTACATAGTACATATTATTGAGGTTATAATAATAAGGATTGTAATAAAACAATGTTTTGCTATTGTGAAGTTTAAGAGTAATATATATTCAATTAGTCAAATGTGCACTTAATGATATTTTTTTCCCTATTAGTTGAAAGTTCATATTTATATCTAAGATTATACAATGATAAGTAAATATACTTTTTAATTAATTCAATTTACATAAATATGTACTCTTAAATCTCATTATTTCTTTTTTTCATGATAAAAGCTTTAGTTCATTACAGTAGCAAAATATCAATTTCTCTTTGTTCATTCATGTGTATCCTTATGATCATCTTTTGATTTATTCTATTCTTTCTCTCTCTATCTTTCGATCATGACCTATATATGTGTCTTCTTCATCTATGTATCATCAAAGAAAGACATACATTATAACACATAGATCAAGATCAATCCTTTCGTCTACTCGTATAAGATTATCACATTTACTAACACCTTTTATCATTACGGGACTAATAATTTCTTAGATATTGAGCTCATTATACATAAAAGATGTACTCTTTTTGTCTGGAATAAATCAACTTTTTTTTTAAAACAAACAATTTTTTTTGTTCTTTCACAAGAATGAAATACAACAAGAAACAAACGAGTTTATGTTTGCCTAGAACACAAAAGTAAAACGAACATTGTTATTCATTTTGTCATGACTTTTTGATATTTTAGCGACCACGACCACCAAATCCACCACCACCACCGCCGCCGCCACCGCCACCGCCACCTCCTCCTCGACCACGACCACCGCGACCGCCACGACCTCTTCCGCGCCCTAGAAATTATAAGAATTTAATTAAATTATCCGTTAAATAAATTTTTTCTACATACCTCTTGGTCCTCCGCCTGGTGGACCTAAAATAAATTTAAAAAAAATTCAATTATAAAAATGATTTAAAATATATAGAAATACAAACCAGTTCGTTCACGTTTTGGTTTAGCTTTAGGTGTATCATCAACAAGTAACGTATCTAATGGGAGACTATCGGGTAAGATAAAATAACGAATATTGTTGCCTATACAAAAAATAAATTTCATGTATTTAAACTTTATTTCTTAAATAAAATTAACCTCGAATAGTAATAAAATCCAGCGTTATAGGTTCACCATTTTTTGGTGTTAATTTCGCTGATTTTAAATGTGTATTCATTGACATATCAACACCAATAACTGTACCAAATACATTTGAACCATTTTTAAGTGCTATTGTAACACTTTCATGAGTTAATTTCATAAGAAATCGAACAAGTTTCATCTTTCTATCTCTTTTGTTTTTGTAATAAACAAAAAAAAAGAGATTATTATGAAAGTTGAAGTCTTTGTCAAAAAAAAAGTGAAGAAAGAAATAAATAACTATCTCTACGATCAATGGTTGATTATCAACAAATCAAATCTAGTTCTACTCTATCCTCTTTATTCTTTTCCTTCTGTTTTCCAAAAGAAACAAAGCGTCATCTAGATGAAAATAAAACAAAATTTTCATTGAAAAATAATTTCCTATTTTGTTTCATATCATTTTTATGAATAATATATATTTTATTTATTTCATTATCTTATTTTTATTTATTATCTAAAACAAATTTTGTATTCGTCGTCGAAGGTCTTTACATTTGCCTTTCGTTACTTTTATGCTCACTCACTCATCTATTATTTTCTTTTTAGATCTTATAACTATGGCCGATAAAGATCAATCAAAAGAGAACGATACTAATTCAACTGCTAGTTCAACAACAGCAAAACCATCAAATAAAAAATCAAAAAATAAAGTAGCAACTGATGCACCCGATGGTAATACTTCAACTACAAACGAAAATAATGCTGTAAAAGAAATAAAATATCTTTATAAAATTTATTAATATTTTCTTTTTAAATAGACTCCGTCACCAGATTCAGTACAGGATATGTTAAAAAAATTAGCTCTAGTTGAACAAGCTTCTGCTGCAGGTAATAATCGAAGTGCACCAAAATCAGATGAAGAAGCTGCATCGAGACAAGAATGGAAATTTTGGCATACACAACCTGTACCAACTATTGGAACAAAAACAGCATCGGAAAATAGTGGACCTGTAGAAGAAAATAAACCTATGGAAGAATTAAGACAAGAACCATATAAATTACCAGATGGATTTTCATGGGATGAAATTGATGTTCTCAATGAAGACGAAGTAAACAACAAAAATCAATCTAATATTATTTTCTATTTTTTGAAATTTTTTAGTTAAAAGAATTATATGTTCTTTTAAATGAGAATTATGTTGAAGATGATGATAATATGTTTCGTTTTGATTATTCAATGCCATTTTTACGATGGTAATACATATATATATATATATATACATAAATAATTTAAATAATAAACTTCTATTTTAGGGCTTTATGTGCACCAGGATGGATTCGAAAATGGCATGCAGCTGTACGTGTAACAAAAAGTCGCAAAATGGTTGGTTTTATTAGTGCTGTACCTATTAAAATGAAAGTTTATGAAAAGTAAACAAAACTTCTTATCTAAAACATTCCTTAAATTGATGCAAATCATTTTTCATACTAACTATAGTGAATTGATTACAGAAGCTCAGTTGACGAAATTTTATAATCGAAGTTAAAGAGTTTGATTTAATTTATAGTCTACTGTATTTAAGATCACATCTGCTTAGATAGATAATATTCAGGTTAAATATCTTACGACTAATTTTCGCTCTGAGTAGTTTATATGATCAAAATAAGAAATAACACTATTATTATCTATTTTTTATTTTTCAAAGGGAAGTTCCAATGGTTGAAATTAATTTTTTGTGTGTTCATAAAAAATTGCGTTTGAAACGTATGGCACCCGTTTTAATTAAAGAAATAACTCGACGTGTTAATTTGGAAGGAATTTTTCAAGCTGTTTATACAGCTGGTGTTGTTCTACCTGGTATTGTTAGCAAATGTAGGTATGTATTTTCTATCATTAAATAATAAATATATATATATATATACATGTATATCTGTATGAATTCAATAGATATTGGCATCGTTCACTTAATGTCAAAAAATTGGTGTCTGTACAATTTTCCCACGTAGGCAGAAACATGACATTACAAAGAATGCAAAAACTCTATCGACTACCTGAAGTAATAAATTTAATATTTATCTTAATGAAATATATTTATTATATATTCTAATAGGCAACACAAATAAAAGGTTTTCGTGAAATGCGTCATGCTGATATACCAAGGGCTTTTGCTTTACTTTCACAAGTAAATTTGAAAAATGATTTCTTTTTCTAATATAAATCATTTGATTTTTAGTATTTAAAAAAATTTGATTTATCACCTGTATTTACTCAAGAAGAATTTGAATATCTATGTCAAAATCGTCCTAATATTGTTAGTTCATTTGTCGTTGAAGTATGTTAAAAATACAACAAAAAATTTAATTTTCTATTTTCTTGTTTCTTTTGTGTAAAGCAAGAAGATGGTGAAATAACAGATTTTATTTCTTATTATCATTTATCATCAACAATTATGAATCATCCACAATATAAAACATTGAATGCATGTTATATGTATTATCATGCAGCAAGTCGAACGCCACTACCTGAACTTGTTAATGATTGTCTTGTTCAAGCACATCTTGTAAATAAAAAATTTATTTTCTATTTAATAATATTATCGTTTTTTTTAAGAATGATTTTGATGTATTCAATGCACTTGATCTAATGGATAATAAAGAATTTTTAGAAAAACTTAAATTTGGTGTTGGTGATGGCAATCTTCAATATTATATTTACAACTGGCAATGTCCACAAATGAATCCAGAAAAGGTATTATTTAACATATATCATTTTTATTTTTATTGTAATTTATATTTTAGGTTGCATTATTACTTCAATAGGAAATCCCATTCAAACAACGCATAAAAAAAATAAACTCATTTAATTATGTGATTTTTTTATTTCTTTTTAACGTACGTTCATAAACCAGGAAAAGAAAAGAGTCGTTTAAAAAAAAAGACACTTATTCAATAGCATAAAGATTTATGTGTGAATGAAAACTATTGATAATTTGATTTTGTGGAATAAGTTTATTATTACAAAAAAACAAACAGATAAATATACTTATAGTAAAAGTATCATAATATGCGAAATGAAAATTCCGGGTGGGCACCGCCTATCAGTGCTTTGTGTAAGTCTCGTCTTTTGGGTGGGTCAATTAAAATTCTACGTGGGCGTCGCCCACCCGCTAGATAAAACACTGAGTACTGAATATCAATTTACACCATGAAATTTATTTTTCATACAAAACTCTCACAATGTGTTTTTTTTTGTATAATGACTAAATAATAATATTGATTATGTCAATCATACTTACATAATCCTTTTTTTATTAAATAATCAATGATTCAGTGAAATCTATTTTTATGAACATTATCAAAAGTACTCAGAATCTATCGCTAATCTGCAGTGCATAATAAACGAGATCAAGTAAAATTGTTAAAGTAACAAAATACACTATAGAATTTCGTTTTATTGTTTAATAATACTTTAACAAAATTGACGGATATATACCGTCGAAAAATTGATATATAGTTATATTTGTACTCTACGAATGGAAAAAAAACAAAACAAAACAAAAGGAATGAAATGCAATGTTAATGAATATAATGATTCTCTGAAGCAAACCAATCAAATTGTTGAATCTAGAATTACGAAAATAGAATCATAAAAATAAATAATAATTGATAAATTACCTGCTCAATTGGTTCTACTGACGCTTTTTTAATCATCTAAATTAGGTGGAAATAATTTACCATAACAAAAAACATATAAATATATTTATTATTTACTTTTTCGAAAAAAGCATTTAATTTTGCTACATTATGTGTATCAACTGAAAAACGTTTATTTGAATAACAATTCTATATATAGACAAAAATTAGTTTTATTATTTATTTTCAAACAATTTCTTTACAAGAAATATTTCATCACAATTAAATAAATTCGCTAATGAAGATCTTCTATTATAATTCGGTAATAAACTAGTTGATGAAAGTGAATGATTACTATTGAAATTTGTCGATTTACTATTATTTAATAAAGATACTCCATTGGATTCATCGAATTTTGTATGAATTAATAGAATTGGTACATCAAAATTTTGTAAAACATCAGGTGAAAATTCCGTTGGACTAGAAAGTAAGATATGAATATTAAAAAAATATTTAAAATAATTTTTTTTCATACAGTTTTTGTCGAGATCGATAACGTATTACTTCATAGAGCCATTCTTTGAGATTATCATATGATTGTTTACTAGTTAAATCCGACACAAGTATAATTCCTATAGAATTCAATAAATAATTTGTAAATATATAACAAATTTCGTTTTACCATTGAATTCATCATAAAACATCGATGATCGGCTATTTTTATGTTGTATACTTCCGCCAACATCATGAAATTCAATAAAATAAAGATTTGGATTTTGATGTCGATCTCGTCGTTCATACAACTAAGTATCAAAAAAAACAATCTTTTCAATACGAAATTTATAATTTTATAGTATCTATAATTATATAATATACATTTTTTTTCTACTTATGATTGGACATAGTTAAATTTGACAAAAAAAAGTGAAGGATTTTTGATCATATCGATAATATATATGTTAAACATCTGTCTCATTAGCTAAAATCTGTATTTCGTATTCGAATGAAAATCATATTATGAAAAATGATAAACATCAAACCTTGATCTCAATATGACAACCAACAGTGACAGGTGGTGGTGATGATAATGGCTGATCATGACATACCATATGCACAAATGATGTCTTACCTACACCTGTCATTTAAATGATTGATACAAAATGAAACGAAAGAAAAAAAAAATCTTACTAGAATCGCCCAATACAAGAACCTATATGTAACAAAAAGCAAAATTCAATACGAAATATATAGACAATTAAAACTTACAACTAATGTTGGTATATCATCATTAGTTCCCATTGAATATTCTATCTGAAGCATTATTATTATTATTATTTCATTCTCAAACAAACTGTCAAATATATTTATTTGAAGTAAAAAAGAAACCCACAAAAGTCAGGAATGAGATAGGAATAAAAAAAACATCTGACAATATACAAAAAATGGAGGGAGAGGGAATTATATTTTCCATAATGTTTGTGCATGATTAAGACTATTCATTGAAAAAATTGTCGCTTGTTTTGGTTTCATTTTAATTGGTTTTAATGGTTTTAAATTAATACGTGTTGTTTGTTTAATCATTGTTGTTTCATCAAATAATTCCATTATATCGGGTTTAACACGTTTCTTTTGTAATGTTTGATATTCTTCCTAGACAAGAAAAAAAAGCAAATTATTCATGTTTAGAGATAAAAAAAAAGTAATTTTACTAAAAATTTTGCTGCTTGTTTTCGTTTTTGTAATTCTTGTTGTTCAGCTGTTGCAATAATTTCTTCAACATTTGGTTCAAGATCAATAAGACCTTTATAAACATATTCATTCGAGTAATTTAATTTTTTATTTGCCTTAAATCATAATAATAAAAATATGAAACAAAATATAATCTTAAGATAAATCTAACCTGTTCATTAATATGTTCAACATGTGTTGTTGTTAAAACAGGATCAAATTGTTCAAATCTTAAATTTTCCATTTGATCAATTATTTTCATTGTTGAATTACATGCTGGTACAGTAAGATCAACTAATGGTTTACTTTTATTTATATTTAAATCATCATAGGATCGACTAGGAATATAATTTGATATTAATTGATTTCCTTTTCCTGTTGATTTCTTTATTAATTTATGTACTTGTTGAGCTGATTGTGTACGAAAAAGTGGTTGTCGACGTGGTATACCATCTTCCATTTCCATTCTATCTAGAATAATTTAAAATGATAAACATGTCTCATAGAAGGTTTGACTATTTGTTTTTGTTGTTGTTTTGAACTTAGACGAGAAATTGAATAAATAAAAATGAAAGAGCATTGGAAATATATGTATAGCACAGGAACGAACAGGAAAAAAAACAAACAAACAGACAAAAAATGATATTTTCAGAAATTTTAAACTGTTCGATTTTTTTTATCGCGTATCCAATTATCAATTTGTTCTTTGAGTTCAACAGCTAGAGAAAAACAAATTATTATAAAAATAAAAATAATTGAATATTTTCTTTTTTTTACCAGGTTCAAGTTGTTCAACAGTTAATGGAAGACGATTAAATGGATCTGTACTTGAATTGAGCAAATGTTTAATAATTACTGAACGATCCATAGTAACTCCACTTGGTAAAATAACTGGATCGGTCATAACTGTACACATTAATGGATCTAAAAATATATGATTTGGTTTTTTAAAAGAAGAAAATTTTTATTATATTGTACCACGAAATTCATCTGGTGCATCAGATAAATCCATTTCTTCTTTTAATTTTTCTTCTGCAATACGTTGAGCATGTTGACTTAGATTATAAAGTATTTCAAGGCGAGATGATGTTGTTATAGAACGATGTTCTATACGTTCAATAGCTGTTCGAAATAATGTTGGTTTATATGAACGCTAATAAAAAAACAAAAAATGAAATTAAAATTAATTCATAATTTATTTCTTACTTCATCTCGTGTTATTGCTTCAGCAAAACGTTCATCACGTGCCTAGAAAGAAAGTTTTTTTTTAAAGTTTATATTTAAATATCTCTTTTTTTTTCGCCATACCAAATTACAATAAAGTTCAACAATTTTTTCTAATAATCGTTTCGGATCAAAACAACATTTACTCGGTTCTTTAACTTTAAGTTGACGTGAATTTGGACCACATAATTCAGTTAAATTAAAATCAAGTACAGCTGCAAGACGATCGACTAATTCCTTAAACAAAGAAAACAGATTAAATTCGAGAATTTTCTAATAATAAATTTATTTTTACTGGTGAACAAAATGGTACTGGTTCATTAGCACTTAAATATTCCAACATATTTAATGTTTCCATGCCAAGTGGTAAATATGTACAACATTGCGATTCATATTGACTTAATTGTTGAGTTTTACTCAGTCGTGTTTCCTATTTTAAGATTATATCAAAATTTTATAAGATTAAAAGAAGGATTGATAAGTAATGACTCCTTATTCTCATCTATCTATTTTGAATCTTTTATTCTTAGTTACTGCTTATCACTTATTATATTATACCATTGGAGTTGCTTCCCATTCTTCTTTATTATCAATATCTGTTTCAATGTCATGGATTTTTTTTAATAATTGTAGACTTTCATCAAGTAAATAAGTAAGATCATTAATTGCCATATTTAAAAAACGTATAAATTCTTTTTCATCTCTATCAACAACAAAAAAATATGGGTAAAATAAGAGAAATTCTTCTATAAATTTGTTTTTTTACCTAGCTGTAGTTAAAAATGAATGTCGAAATGATGATTTTTGCCAAGCATATTTAAATATAATACTTATATGATAACGAATATTAAATTTATCATAGAATTCTGTTGCTGCACCTGTTGTTTCAACATCTAAAATATGATTAAAAAGAGGATATTTATCGAGATATATTTTTTTTAATTTCTATACCAGCATAAAGTTTTGTTAATGCACGTACAAGTGAATCTTGTGCTAAACGATGATTAAATAAATATTCTGTTGCTTGTCGTAAGAATGTATGTTCACTTCTTGCACATAACCAATGTATAACTTCAACTGCTTTTGCAATTATATGAGGATTTTGTAAATAATGACGTGGTGCACAAATAATAAAAAGCATTAATGTTAAAATATCAGTATTACGTTTTGATAATGTTTGTGGTACCATCCTAATATGTAAATTATTAGTACAATATTTGTAAGATTAAAATGTGAAATACGATATAGTTATAAATGATAATTTTAGTGATATAGTTGTTTCAGTCATGGTTGGTAGTAATTTTTACCTAATATTTGTCACGGTTTGTAACGGTGTTGCAAATATGATATCTCTCATAGCCTTTGAGGGTCTTTGACTAATAGATGTTACTGTCTATGATAGTGTCATTACTAAGAGATATAGGTTACGGTGTGTGATTAATGTCTGTTACGGTATATATTTGTCTTTGATTTACGTCTATCATCGTTTGTAATATTTCTTTTGTAAAGTTTGTCACGGTCATCGACGATCACAGAGATAGAATAGAATATCTTACTTTTATATTTCTCTTAGATTATATTTTAAAGTATACTCTTTTAATAAATACAAAAAATACATACATAGCAGCTGACATAAGAAAATCCCATATATCATCTATATAATAATCTGGTAATAGACGCCATATCCAAGGTGCTTCAGAAGAAAAAGTAACTTCCGAACTGAAATAAGAAAAAAAAACAAATAATACGAAAATGTTTGTTAATAAATATAACTTACTCTGTTGGTCGAATGCCAACATATCGTAATAATAACTGAGAAACTTTTCCATAAAATTCTAAACTTGTGTCAATCAAATTTTCATCTTGTAATGCTATACTAGCACATTGTTTTGCTCGTTTCAATGCCTTAAAAACAAAAAAACAGTAATCAATAGTTTTCCTTTCTTATATTAATAGCTAATTAGCTCATTTATCGTATATTTATAACAGTAACAATAGAGATAAAGAATAAGAAGGAGTAAGAAACGAAGACAACGAATAACAAAATCATCAAAGTGTAACGGACAGCTACGCATATTCACTTTTGTATATGAGATATAACCATTCTTGCCGCATATTATATCGAGACGCGACAACGAGCAATCACTCATCTTTCTTCACTCTTCATGAACACACTTTAGAGGTTGTACAAGAGAATAATATATAGACGAGAATATTGAATCAAAAAACGACACAACGTCAAAGTATTGATGGAAGAAATTCAATATCACCATCACCATCATCATCATGTCCACCATGGTCATCATGGAATACAAGATAATAATAATGAACATCAATATGCAACTTCTTGTACGTAACATTTAAATGATTCAATTGTTCTATATTTTATTTCACTTTTGAAAATTAATTTTTTTTACGGTTTATTAATATAAATTAAAGTTATGTAAAAAATTTCAATTTTTTTTTCTTTAAAATAAGAATAACAATTATAGATAGATGTGAAAGTAATTTTTTTTCTTCATTTTAGTACATGGTACAGATAATTTTGATATCACTACTGAAGACTATCATAATAATCAACAACAACAACAACAAATAGAACAACAACAACAACAGCAGCAGCAACAACAACAACAACAAAATATTACTCAGCCATCTTTATCTGTTCCGAAAGTAGTGTATAATGTGCCGGCTAATCAGACATCTGGAGGTGGGGTACAGTCAACCGGTTCATTTCATTCTGTAGCTAGCCTTGATGCAGCAGCAGAAATGGCAAAATATTTTCCCGATGCTCAAACACCTAGTTTATCGCCATCCAGGTAAATTAAGAAGAATTTACAGAAATGTTCAACCAGAAATTGTCTGATCGATTCGTTCATTTTTCTTTTCTTTCTCTAATGAGGCTATATCTTACGTAACCTATACGACATCAAGATGGACACGACTGATTGCTTGAAGGGTCTTCAATATCGATTTATTTCGTCTTACTCTGATAGGCACAACTATATTCTCGTGATTGAAAGAAATATGAAATGAGGCAAAAGGAAAAATTTGCTAATGGACCATTTTTCAGGGTTATGTCGTACGCAAAGCGAACAAATCGACGGCGACTTTTTTTTGCTCTCTCTATGTCGTCGTAGATGTGTTCTCACAGCCTCTTTTTTTTTTCAATTTCACTCGCTCGACCTAGTTAATTGATTCACGCATTTTTACCTCGTAGGCATCAACTAGAAGTTGGAGGTCAAGCACAATCAACGGCTGTATCGCATACCAGAACTACTACAACTACTAATACTGTTAATGCAGGTCCACATTTTCCCGAGTTTAGTCCCAGTGGGACACAACAACTACCACAGTCCGTAAGAGCATCTTTTATGGCAGAACAACAACGGCCAATGCGGCAGCCTGGTCCGCCTGGCCCGACTGGTCCGTCTCAACTTCCAGCAGGCATTCCAAGTTTTCCGTCACAAATTGAAGGATTATCTGTTTCACAGGCTGTTGTTAATGATGTTCTTGTTGATCTTCAAACGAAAGTCATCAATGAAACCATGCAACAATATCAGGAAGGATCAACAGACGGACCGTTTTTTGGTAAAATTTTTCTTTTTAAATACATATTTCTATATATACATGCATTATATCTATTTTTAGAACCTCTTCCTCCAATTTATATTGAAGCACCACAACCAACAATTATTCTTCGATCGGATATTAATCGACTTCGTGCTGAACTTAATAATAGTGTTCGTCCTCAGGGTTAGAAAAAGATATCATTTACAGTTTAAAATATATACTTGTAATTTTTTTTCTATTAGTTGTTTATCGTCATCCTTCCGATGGAAATCAATTTCAACAGCAGCAACAACAACAGCAACAGCAGCATTTTCAACAAAATGCATTCCAAACACCAAGGTTTCCAGGTCCATCGCGACAACAGGTTCCACAAGGTATTTTATCATTTTATTTGATAAAAAAAAAACATTTCTAACTTTTCATTGTTTTTCTTTTTTCAAGAATGCTATGGAGATTATGGCAACAGTGCCTTTGCAAACAGGTAGTCTATCACATACAAACGCACAAATACACGCACACACACATATATATATATATATCTATATACACATACGTGCACAAAAACAGACATTCAATGATCACGTTTAAGCGCTTCGCTGAACTTCACCCCACAATCTAGTTTTTTTAATCTTGCTATTTCCTTTACTTTTCTTCTTTCTCTCTCTCTCTCTCTATTTTTCTAAAGATAAATATTTTTTTGCTGCTATATTTACATAAATACATTTAATCTTATGCTATATTTTTTGCTATCATAATTCGACACATGAAAATAAAGTAGTAGTTTACACACACTTACTTACACGCTGAACAAGACCTTCACAATGGCAAAGAAGAGCTAAAAATGAAGCTTGCCGTTCTTTTTTTTACACTCATGAATCTTTTCATTAGCGCATTAATTTTTGTTCAGTGATGAATATAAGACGACGACGACGATAAGCGATGAACAGCGAGAAGAAAACGAATCACGATTATATAATGAAGCCGAGTCATCTATGTTCAATGACGACAATATCAATGTTAATGTTCAAAGTACATCCGATCTTCAAGGCTTATCCGCTACATCATTTGATCGTTACGCCTCACCTTACCAACCTTCGTCATTTCATCCTAATTTCGAAGAGCAACAACAAGGCAACGAGCAAGCTGTATCTGCACTTTCTCAACGTATTAGCAACGAAGAAGTTGGTACACCTGATAATATGCCTATCCATCAACGACAAGAAATAACATTTGATATTGATAATTGTATAATTCGATGTTTTGAAGCTCATCGTCAACGATTAGCTCGACGTCGAGCTGCTCGACAAGCACGAAGAGCAAAACGACATAAACAAACTGGACACAGTAATCGTCAAAAAGATCAACAATTATATCAGAATGATGGATATCAAACATTCTCCACAGAACGTTCCTATTCATCATATGGTGGTGTTGATAATGCACCATGGCCAAAACAAACGATATTATCCTCACATTATTCAGATACACTTCCTGCTTCAATTAATACTTCTGGCTCAGTTCGTACATCTGAGAAATCTTATGTTCCAATAGGAGAATATGATTATGCCAATACAGCTCAATCGACTTCTCTATCACCTGATATTCCACATTATCAATCATCAGATATTGTTAATACTCAAACAACTCAAGTACCATTTTCTAATCTATCAACTTTACATATGAATGTTGCATCAACAACTGAGATGCAACCTTCAGCAACTGATTATCATGAGTTTAGACCTCCTAATACTCAAGAAACATATATTAATTCTAAAGGATTTGATTATCCTTCATATCAAGCATATACTTCTTCCAATGATTTACAACAACAATCATCACATGAACAACAACAAGAACAGACATCTTTTGAATATGGAAATCAATTACCATATCCAACATTTTCATCAACAGAAGCTACTGTTCCAGACGATATACAACAACTAACATCCGACTATTATCAACAACATCATCGACAAGCATCTACTCAATTCATTCAAACACAAGAAACTGATGTACAATCATCAAGTACATTTGATTATACAGTAGATAGTACTCAATCTCAAGTACCAGCTTATAATTATCAAAATATAGAACAACAAGTTCTTCAATATCCATATAATATTGAAAATTTACAACAACAATCATTAGATTTTGATGCGTTAGCAAATAATATTTATAATTTACCTACAACTGATTTTCAACAAGCAGAGCAAAAACAAACTTTTAATTATGCCAATCAAAAACTCAGTTCTGCTGATTATTATCAACAACAACCATTATCTGTACCTATATCTCAAACTCAAGATATTTATGGTCAACCAAGTGGATCATACGAATATAGACAAGACAGTTATAGTAATGAGGGACCTGGTTATGATTATCAATCTATCGACCAACAATCATCTGAATATCCTTATGATAGTAGAGATGCTCAACAAATGCTACAACAAGATTCATACAATTATACTAATGCAAATGAACAACGACAACAATTTGATTATTCTCCTCAAGAAATTAGTTCATCTGATTATTATAAACAATCACCAATATCTCAAGCTCAAGAACCATATATACATCCAAATGGAACATATGGATACACAACAGATAATGGTAAAGCATCAGCGTATGATTATCAAAATATAGAACAACAACCAACATTTGATTACAGAACTGAAGATACAAGTACTTATATATCGCCTGAAAGTAATATTCAACCAACAGAACCAAAACATCCATATGATTTCACCAGTCAAGCTCTTAGTTCATCTGATTATTATCAACAACAACAATCATCTATTCCAACATCACAAGCACAAGGACCTTATGATCCTGCAGGTGGAACATTGGACTATGTAACAGGAACTGGTCATTCACAAGTACAAGCTTATGATCATCAAAATACAGAACAACAATCATTTCAATTTCCATATAATACAGAAAATATCGAACAACAAAAACCGTTCGAGTTAAAAAATGATGATACAGGTACATATATTTCACCTGAAACCAATACTCATCAAACAGAACAAAAACAACCATATGATTATACCAGTCAAGCACTTAGTACATCTGATTATTATCAACAACGGCCAGTATCTGATCCTATACCTGAAGCTCAAGAAACTTATGATCAGACAGTTGAACCATTTGAATTTAATAAAGGAGGTTTTAAACATCAAGAACCATTATTTGATTATCAAAATACAGATCAACAATCTTCTCATTATTCATATAATCTTGAAGATACTCGACAGCAAGTACCTCTACAAGAAACACTTAATTTTTCGTCTGAAGCGACTACAGCTCAATCAACATCCGAAACAGATAATCAACAACCTGATAGTAAACAAAAAATTGATTATTCAAATCAAACTATTACTGCATCTGATCAATATCAACAAAAACCAGGTTCTATTCCAATATCTCAAATCTACGATTCACAACCAGTTAATCGACGATTAAACGGTTCATCGATTCCAACTGGTACAGTTGAATATACTAGAAAATTAATTTATTCAAATGAACCTTCACCAGATAATATTGTAAAGGACCCTTTACGTAAACGATCTCATCAACATGAAGAAAGTGAAACATTCAGTATCAATGATTATCTTAAAAGATTTGAATCTGAATCATATTCACAACAGACTGGAGGACATGTCAAGTCCTCTGATGATTATCAATCTATTACTACAACAACGACAACTCCAAATACAGTACAACCAACAGCCGATATATATCAAACAGCTGGAACTGCTCATACTTATGATCTTAAAAATTATACAAATGAATCGCTTGAATCAGGAACATCACATCCAGTGCCACCTACATCATCGACCTGCGAAGAAGATCCTCAACATCTTCTTCAACACACTTCTATAAGCGAACAAATACATGAACCAGTTCAACAATCAGAACTACGTACTGAAGTAGAAGCTTCTATTTATGATACATATAGTTCATTACCACCACCGCCGCCACCACCACCTCCACCACCACCACCATCGACAACGAAGGAAATTGATCATCAACAAGGATCAACTACGGCAAATTTAAATGATTTTCCTGCACCACCAACACCCGAACGTAATTCATATCAAATGACACAACAACGACCAAGTCGTTCATTTGCTTCAATTATTCCAACAACTGATCAACCAAGTATATATAGTGATCATCAACCATTACAATTAACATCACCAACATCAAGTGATAATCGAAGTGATGAAGATATTAAGGAAGATGAAGAAATTTTTGATTTACGTGAATGTATTGCTCGTTGTTATGCAAAATATCGTGAATCATGGAATAGAGAACAACAACGACAATATGAACAACAGATAGGTGGTTCACAACACTCACATTCAGATATAAATTTAGCAGATAATCAACAAATAGGACAATATTCACAACAAATGCGAACGTCAATGCCTCCATCTTCTCAACAATATATTCAACAATCAAATACATTCATAGCTGTTCATTGTGGTAATCAAGAACAACGACAACAACAACAACCACGAAAAAGTTTTAATAAAGATGAAATACATTGTAGTGACGGTTGGACACAAACAGCATCTCATGATGTTATGAAACAATCGAATATTGCACAACATGCATATGATCAAACACCACCAAGTTTTGATACAAAACCTTATATACCTCAAGTATCATCAACAAGAGACTTTTCTACTGATTCACGAGGACAACAAACAATAGAATATAGTCCACCATTAATTGCTCCTCAAACACATCATGTAACTTCTGTAATGCCCTCGCCAACCCCTTCACCCTATGATGAATACGGGAATCAGGAGCAACAACAACAACAACAACAAATTTATGATCATAGTTTACCTGTACCGCCACATCTGTCCTTCAATGAAACTGATTACCAATCAAACGTATCTTTTTCTTCGCAAATAACACCACAACGACAAAAATACGAAAACATACCTTTTCATAAACATATTGACGACGAACAACAACAACATCGATATCGGGCACATTCTGAACCAGCATCAATACAACAAGACTCACTTGCTTCAAATCCACCATCACTAAGTTTATCATCAAATTTACTTGATCAACATTCAAAACGATCGAATTCAATACCAATGATTCATCATCAAGAACAACAAAGTCAACTACCACCAGTTCGTATACTCGATAATGGTCGTGCATATGAAACTGAAGCCTTAGTTCGACGTCATGTTCCTCAAATAGATCCTAAAACGGGTCTTTGTCTTGTACCTTGTCCAGAAACACAAAAATATGCTCATTTACCACCACATCTTCGACCTGAATTATTCTGTATCGAATTACCACCAGCAAGTTCTCTTCCACCGGTACCATCTTCACCATCCTTACCATCAGAACAACAGAGTTATCATCATCACCAACAACAACATCAACAACAAGATCAACAACAGCAACAACAACAACGATGGTGTGTTAGATGTTGTTGTGTTCCAGGAAAAACACTTATTAAGAAAGTTGTTTACCGACAAGTGGATGGTTAATAATTCTTTGATTATTTTATATCTTAAATTTCTCTCATACTTCCTCTTTTTTTAGATCAACAACAAAATAGACAAGAAGCAGAATATGATTATTCTTCAATGATGGATCAAATGTCAACAAGAATTAGTGTTCGATATGGAAATGAGACTATGGAAGAAGGTGAACCATTTGTTACAGGTAAATTATATAATTTAATCTTTATATATGCAATTTCTTATTTTCTTATGTAGGTAATTATTGTGAAAAATTACGTGTTATCGATTTTCCTGTTTATGTTTCTGGCAAAAATGATCCTAATTTGACGCCACTTGTACCCGTCAATTAAAAAAATCTTTGCTATTGTCGTATTATTATGTGTAAATCAAATAATCATTGACATTTATTTCGTTTTTTTTACCTTTAATTCACTTTTAAGTCTTTCGAGCTGAGCCTCATGTCGAGCAGCAGTTGGAGCTTGTCGCCATGTTCCTTGTGTTTGCTCAAGATTTTTAATTGCACTATAATAGAAAAAAAATTTAAACTTTTTTTTTCTGCATTTTAATTAAATTTCGTTTCGTTTTTTTTTTTTTCTTCGTCTCGTTTATTCAAATAAATTTATACATAGAACATTTTTCTATTTCATTACATTTTATATCAATTACCTATTCAATTCTCGTATAATATTATTTCTTCGTTGTGGTTTTTTTGCAATTGATACAAGGCCTAAATGACTGATATGTAATGCAAGATAGACACATTCAGTTGGAAATCTTATATCATGTGGTTTTTCTAAAAAACAAAATTTATATTAAAGAATGAAATGAAAAACAATTTCTATAAACCAGTATTTTCTTGATATGTTTTAAATTCATCTTTTGTTGAATAAAGTCGTGATTGATCTTTAGGTATAGATAAACGATCATCAGCATAATATGGATAATTTAAATCAACCTTTATAAAGATAAATATTTCTTTTTAAAAAGTCAAAATATTCTATTTGAATTTATTACTCGTTCTACATCAATTGGTAAAGCAAGTTGTTGTAGAACAAATGTGAGATTTAACATAAAACCATCACCAGTAATTTGACTTTCATCAACCTATTTAAATTATTTTATCTTTAAAAAATTTTTTATAATTCACACTTTATTAAACGATTGAATAAAAATCCTTCTCAACTGTCTATATATCCCCTATCTATTCAATCAAAAGGTAAATTAAATGCTCTTAGCAAGGACATCTTTGATACAGTATATATATATATCTTACTATGATGTCTTTTTCAATGAAGATTGTACGTCTTTTAATATTATGGATGAAGCTTTGAAATAAATCACTTACAAGGATATTTATGACTTGATTATTACGATGTCAAGCTTATAGACAATTTTAATGCGCTTCACTGATTGAACTCTTTTTATGTTCTGGATAAAAACGAAAGATATAATTATCACATCTGATAAGAAGATAATCAAGGTATATAAGTTTCATATATATATAATGATATAAAATAGTTAGATCGTCCTTCGCATTAATGTCTACATCGGACTTAATCAATATAATATATATATACCATTGAAAGACTTACTTTAAAAAGCATAAATCATCTATATTTAGACATTATGAAAGATTTTTTAATATCCTAATAAATTTAAATTTACTTACAGTAAGATGAGTACGTTTGATATTAAGATGAATAAATTTTTGTAAATATTCTAACATTGCATTACGTGATGATATATTTGAAAAAAATGCAAGTACTATTTTATGCATTAATTTACGAGCTGTATACAATTGACTTTGTATTGTTGAACGAACTTGTTTTTCTTTATATTCAGAAAAATCTTGATTATTCTTTAAAATAGAAATTAATTGTTTATAGAAAGAAAAAGAAATTAAATTACATCATCATCTTGTTCTTGATCATTGAGTTTTTCAAGTTGACTAACAAGTAAATCAATATCATCTTCAGCAAAACATGATATATAAAAAACAGGTGATAAGAGTGTCATGCGTTGTAAACTTTTTCCATTAAGTAATGCTACTTGTGGTAACCAATCATTTAATCTCACAAGATATGTACAAACAGGTCGATCATTTCCATTTCGACATTCACATAAATTTAAAAGTAATGTTAAAAGATTTATATATATATTTGCTTGAGAACATGTTTCACGAAGACGATAAAGAATTGTACGCACAAGTATTTCACAAGTCTATAAATAAAAACAAAATACATCATTTTTTCATAGTTCGATAAAAGATTAAAGAAAGTTTGAATGCTTATTCGAAAATATTTTTATTACACATATTGCACTAGAACTTAATTATCATGATGAAGTTTTATTCTTCTTCGAAATATTTTCAAGTAGAATAATATCTCTCTAATCTGAATTGATTAAAAGTGGGTATTTTAGAAAAATGCTCATTATTACAACTTGTAAATATTTAATTACAAACACTTGTCTAGTTGTATAAGATAATCTGCTCTTCCTGTCAACAATTTATTAATGCAAATAATCATTACTTTTTACAACATAGAGAAAATTAATTTAAATTACCTTCATTTTTGGTTCTTGATTATATGATATTCTGACAATTTCATGCAAAAAAGATGTATGTAAAGATTCAGGACATGAATCAATTAATAAAATATCAAGTAATTTAAGTGTTTTATTCCAAATATCAAGAAATATTCCATTATTTGTTATATACATAAGAGAATATCTAACAGATAATAATCGACAATGTTCAATAAGATCACGTTCTTCTTCCTTGAAAAAAACAAAAGCATACTTTTCTTTTTAGAGATATATATATATTTTATCTTACAGATGAACTTTTATAATCACAACGTGTATAAATACTTAAAAAATACCAAAGATAAATATCATATTGATCGGAATATTTTGAATCATGACTTAAACGATGAGAAAAACAAAAGTTATCATAAATATTCTTATTTTATTTATAATTACCCAATTAATGATCGAATTGTATTAGATTGTGCCGATGTTAAACATCGGAGGAATATATCAGATAGAATTAATTTTGATCGACGTTTAACTGATACTTTAAAAAAACAAAGTAAATTTATTATTTAAATATTTTTCTTTTATTAGTTTAATTACATTCAATTAGATCAGTTATAAATGATTGATTTTGATCATTTATATTGAATACTTGACGAAGAATACGTCGAAAAACAGGTTCTTCTTCTGTATTTAATTGATTCTAAACAAAAATTCATTTTTTAGATAATATTTTTCTTTATAATACAAAATAAACTGACTTCTGATTTGCGTTTTTTAATTGTACTATTTCTATTGCCATCATTATCAACTTGATTTTCTGGTGTTATTTCTTTAGATGTACTATTCGAATTAATATCATATGAACGTTTATCACCTGTTGAATGTTGACTTTGTAACAGCCTTTTCAGAACAAAAAAGAATATTATTTTATAAACAAAAAAAAAAGAAATAATAGACTTTTGTTCTCCACTAGCTGGTAATAGATGTGTAGGAGATATTTCTCCAATATCCATATTCTTGTCATCAGTTAAACTTGTTTGTTGAGAATCAATTTGACAAGCTAATGAAATAAAAAATATACTTTTGTTTTGATTTTAATAATTCGATATATTTACTAGCAAGCTCATTTGATAATTGTGTTGATACTTGTTTGTCATTAACATCTGCTGTAGTTGTCGAAGATTGAGATTTCGCTGTTGTTCCACCGGAAAATTTTTCCAAACGACGCCGACGAAGCTAAAAGTATATGAAATATTTACTATACAAAATCTTCTTTCATTGAAATTATACTTCATCTGGTGATAATGGATTTACTGTTGGTGGTACTGGTGTTGATGGTGGTGATGATGATTCCACAGTTGAACTTGATTCATTAGATAGTTCATTCATGTTATTAAATGATTTGTAGTTTTTTTCTATTTGAAAATAAAATATAATCTGAAATAAAAATTAAACAAGAAGAGTTGCAGTGAATTCATATAATGTTTATCTGTAAAATAAACAATTGTTTCCACGAAACAGAAACTTTTCATACTGTTGATTATTATATTTACATTTTTAATGAATTATATGAAATAAAATTGAAATGTAGATGTTTAAATAAAAAAAACATCTTCAGATTTAATATATTGTCAAATAAAAAAGTATTTATAAGATTATGAGTCAATTTTTCACATATTTAATTGTCAAAATCGATATAAAATTAGTTCTACTACGATGATTAATTACACTAGAGGCCATAAAAATTATATAAAAACCATAAGTATATATAAATATGTAAATAAATTAAATTTTAAAAATATTGACTAGTTGAATCATCATAAGAACATACGAACAAACAGTTGTAACCTATCTACTGTTGTTCAGGTTCACTCTGGAAGTAAATTATAACCATAGATTATAATATGTCGACAGATGTCACTTACATAAAGATCATCGAATTGTAGTTCATCAAAAAATTCAAAACCTATTTTATCATAAGTAATTTCTTGTAAATTTGTTCAACATAAGCTTACTATGTCTAAGGCATTTTTTTTACCAAGTATTCGTTTAATAAAATAAGTCTAGTCTTTATTTTGTTTAAATCGAGTATAAATAAAATTTAAGTGAATTGATAAATTCATTTTTTATAACATTTGAAAATTAAATAGATATTTATTCATTATTATTATGTAAATATAATCTTCATCTATTCTTACTGAATCTCTTATGTGAATATATATACTAATGATTATTATCTGACACATTTATTCAAAAAAATATAATAGACCAATCAAAGCAATTTATATTTTAATATTTTTTATTTGAATTGAATCAAACATATAATTCCGCAAGTACATCATTGATTATTTGCTAAATAATCTTTCTTATTTTAAATCACAAACATACAAAATTTTCGATAAGTGAGCTTTTCCATGAATAAACAAAAGTGCATACACAGATAAAATGACAAAGAAGAGAGAAGAAGAAGAAGAAGAAGAGAAAAAAAACAGAGATTCGATGTTTAAATACATCATTGTGATATTAATATCACTATGTCCGTTTTCTACTAAAGATATATATCTTAAATTGATTCGATTGACATTTATTTCGATTATTAATCATGATGATTCATCTAATTAATAAATAAATATTTTATAGAGACAAAAGCAAATATTTTTATTACTTTTTGTATCACCATTACTGTTAGAACATATACCAGTTGTTGATAATGATCGATTGAGACGTTTTAATTTTTTTATTAATACATCTAGAAACAAAAAATATAAATATGAAATTTATTTTATGTTAATAATAATTATTGAGTTTTTTATACTTCTAACACGTCGTAATTCAAGAATATCTTGTTCAAGTTTTTGTCGAGAATCTTGTTCTTTCGTTAATTCAGTTCGTAGATCAACTATAGAGAGAGAAGGAAAAATATTAAATGAAATGAATTTTTTTCTTTTCTTTTTTATACCAATTTCATTTTCAAGTTGTTTTTCACGTAGACGAGCACTTTCAACAGTAAATTCAATCATATTTTTCATATGAAAAAAATTTAATGTTGCCGCTGTTGGTAATCCGGATGATGATGGTGTTGGTGGTGGTGGTGGTGTTTGTTCATTTGTCGGTGAAGATATATCAGTAGATGTTGTTGAAAGATCAATAGGTTTTATTAATCGATCTAATTGATAACAAAAGAGAGAGAAGGTTATCAAAATCATTATTATTATTATTATTCATATTTAACAACATACCATTTCGTTGAGAATTTTCTTTATTTAAATTTTTTCCATTATTATTATTATTATTTGCATTACTAAGCATTGCATCAATAGTAAAAGGACGAATTTCATCTATAGAAAAATGAACAAAACAAAAAGATACTTATCCGATTCATATATATCTTAATATGTAAGTAGACAAAGTATAGTTAATTTAAAAAAGAAATCATTGCCTTAAGGGTATCTATATAGTAGTTCTTTTGACAGTGCGATTCCGTGACATGATTTAATTTGTTTCGCGTGTCGATAATAATGAACTCATAACGAAGACTAGCGGGTTCTTTTCTTTCTCGTCGATAGGGGATTCGTGAAAACGGAAACCATTACTTTCGGTCTATATGAATAAGAAAAAAAAGAGAAGAAGATGTTTCAAATAGATTTTGACAGCAATATAACAGGTTGACTGGGTGGATAACGAGAAAGTCGTTTGCTTTTTCTTTTATTATTCCACTCGGCTAAATCTTTTTACAAGAAGAAGAAGAAGAAGAAGAAAAAAAATCTGTCTTTCTTTTTCTTTCTATTTCACAAGTAAAGTAATTTGAAACTTGAGTATGTAAGCTGATTTAATTCTAATTGAATGTGAATAGATTTTTTTGCTTATATATATATTATTACTTACTTGAAGAAGGAGATCGATGTGATGATGATGATGTTGCAATTGATGATGGTTTATTATTATTTGTTTCATTGAAATGTGTTGGTCGATTATCGCCTAAAAGATATGTTGGATGTTGATGTTGATGATGATGATTTTGAGCAAAATGTATAGGTAATGTTGGTGCAAATGCTGAATAACCAAATGAATGTGAAAATGAAGGTGATTGATTTCCATTTGCTTGTGGAACAGATAGATAACCATTTGAATGAACCGGATATTTGAAAGCTATTTAATTTTTTAAATAAGCAAAAAAAAATATTTCTCTTCGTTTTTTTTTACTTTGATTTGTAAAATCAGGAAATGAACGAAGTAAAAGACTTGATGATAATTTAATACGTTTATTATCTAAACAATCATCTATTTGATGTGCTGAATTACGTTTTGGTGGTCGACCTGGTCGAGAACTAAATTATAAAAAGTAAAAAGAAAAAAATGAGAAAAAAAAAGAAGATTTAATTAATAAATAAGTATCCGATATGCTTTCCTTTTTTGTTCAAAGACATTTCCATATGATTGAACATCCTATTCAAATGTCTGATTGAGAACATCTCTTCAATTTAAAATGTTTTTTTTTCTCTCTCTCTCTCTCTGTCCTACATTCAATAAACATTCTCGAATTACAAATTTTGACAGATTGAAATCTTTCAAACAAGTTTTGTCTTTATATTTATGTTAATAATCTTTTCTTTTCAATGTATATATATCTTACCCTGAATTTGTACAATCATCATATAAAATATCAAATTCCGATGGTCCTAAAAGTTTACATCGATTTACACCTGGTTGTATGGCACCAAGACCACGTAAGATTCGTACTTGTTCAACATTACATACAACAGGTATAATTTCTAAACGTTTTAATTTTGTATAAACAGTATGTAAACCTCCAACTAAATTTTTTAAAAATAAATCAAATGCTTGTGGTAAACATATTAATTCACGTCCATCGACATTAAATGATGTTAATTTTGTTCCACGATAATCAATAATTCTTACTTGATTATTTTCTAATGTATTACGTGCAACAGGTGCTGATTCATATGTTGTTTTTTCAAATTTCATTGAATAGGATGAATGTTGTGAACATATACTTGCACGACGATCATGTTCATAAGTTTTTCCTTGTAAAATAGAATTTCGTGGTGGTGATGGTGATAAACCAGTTGTTGATAATATACTTGTCGATGAATTACTATCACCTGTTGGACTATGTTCGTGTGACATGATGCGCATTTCTTCTTGTCTCTATAAGTGAATATTGAGATATTCTCGTTTGTCGCTTGCTTATGCAAATCTTTAGCTGCTACACATATACTAGGATAATGTGTGTTGATTGAATCAAGTTACAAGGCTGAGGGAAAAAAAGAGAAAAAGAAAAAGAGAAATGATGATGATAAATGTGGCCAGCAACGGTCTTTTCTTTTTTTTTTTTTTACAAATCAATGACCTATAAAATGATGTATATATAAAAGAAGAAAAAATAACTAAGTGTTTCTTTTCTTTCCATTTAATCTGACTGGTCGAACGCACTGATTGGTGCTAGTTGAAGTTGTCGAGCGAAAGAGAAATATATATTTATATATATATATATCTATATATATATATATTTCTTTTTTTTCTCATCTACCAATGAGAGATAGATAGATGAAATAAAAGAAGGCAAGTAAAAGAAATAAAGAAAAAGAAAAAGAAAGAAGAAAAAGAGACGGCGAAAAAAGCGGAAATCGTTAGTGCTTCTTTTTTTCCTCTTTGCTTTTACTTTGAATGAAATATGACCAACATATAAAACATCTTTATGTCAATGACAACAACAAGAAAAGAGACTTGTTGACTAAGATTTTTTCTTCTTCTTCTTCCTTTTTTTCTTCTTTTACTTTACATTTGTCTTCTTCTTCTTCTCATCATCATCATTTTTTTTCTTTGCCTTTCATAAAAGAAACTCATCGAACGATGTAATCTGTGTATATTGATAAGCTTGACTTCGGGGCTACAAATGTATGATTAAGTAGGAAAATAATAGCACCTGCTGACGTAGGCAAAACAGTCGATTATTAATCAATCACAGTCAGTCGATAAGTAACGCACCATCGAATTGTAATGATGGGCGACGTTAGCAATGATTCCATAATCGAAGATGCTTCCGTCTATTTTCTTTCTCTCTCTTTCTCGTATTTTTCAATTTCAATAATGATCAAGATATATGCGGCACATACATTTTCTTTTTTTTTATCATTATATACACATATAAAAGCATCAAATTTCTTTTGGTTTTAATATTGTTATTATTGTATTGTCTATTTAATTCTCTACAGATCAGTTTCGTGTCTTCATTCTTGTCTTTTGATATGATAAACGTCATCCTACTATGTATACATATACACATACACACACATCCAGACACACAAATTGATTGATTCAAAACAATAACATTATCAGACAAACAATAAGACGAAAATCTCTTTTCTCTTTTTCTTATTTTTTTTCAAAACATGACAATCAATATTGAAAAGAAACCGGACAGGATTAATTGACTGTCATTATTGAATTACATATTGACAAAATAAACTCTAAGTTGACACATATATATATATACATAGCCACTCACATACTCAAAAAAAGCAAATAGAGCTAAGAAGAGACAGAGAGAGAGAGAGAGAGAGAGAGAAGAAGACAACCTTTTCGCACCGGATTCGACACCCATCAGAGATTGTTTGATCAAAAGCTCAAGTACTATTTCTTCTTTTATATTAAGATTAAATGATCATTGTCATAATTTAAAAGACAAATATCTTAGTTTTCTATATTTTTGAAACATTTAGTCACCGATCATTAAACATAGAAATAATTTTTAGATATGATGTACTAGTCTTATAATCAGCCTGTCTGTCTGATAACGACTGTCAGTTGCGAATCATTTCCTATATATACAGAATAGAAAATTGAAAATAAAGAAAAAGATCATCTTCGTTTATCATTTAAACATGTTCTAACAATTAGACATTCATGAACGATATGTGAATACAGAATTTCAATATATTTCTAAGGTAAACATCAATTTATCAAACTGCTGTTCTATTCATTGATATATATGCACATGTCAACACTACCTAACTTGATGAGATTCTAAACAACAAGCAAGCAAAAAGAAAAGAGACATATGTGAAGGTAGTAAGAGAAGCAAAAGGTCAAATATCAAATTAGAGAGATTAATATTTCATTCAGATGATTTTTTATCAAAAATTATTATTTTTTCTCCTTTTTTTTTAAATTGATAAATGAGTTATTCTTTGAGCATGATTACATTTGTATGTATATATTATCATTCTTTTTTCCGGACATATAATGAGAAATGCCTTAAGGTATTTTGTAATAATAGAATTTCTTTAAAAAGAAAAATAAACTCAATTATGTAGGTTTTAATAATCCTTGGGTAAGATATTTTCATATCCGGATAACATTTTATTTTCAATCATATAAATAAATTATTAATCAATTTATAAAGAGAAAAAAAAATTAATTTTTTTAGCTCATTTCTATTTAAAGAAAGAATCTTTTCAAACATATTTTCAGAATTATCCATTAATCTTATGAAGATTGTTCGAAGCATTCATATGTTATCTATCGAATAAAAACATTATTATTTATATAGATAATCATTACTATTGATAAGACAAAACTTTCAATGTCTCGAGAAGAAAAATCAACATATTATTAAGTAGTTATACGATATGAATCGTGATTTTCTATCATTCATTAATTACACTTGTCAAATATATTCCATTAAATCATTAGTTTTTTTAAGAATCTAATTTAATTTTTATAATTTTTTTTATTTGAATGAGAATGATGTCTAACGACATCTGATTCCACCTATAAAGGTGACTTGAAATCAGTTACTAAGCAACTAATAAGAATCGGCATCATTCATGGTTCATAGTTTAAATATTATCATTCAAATATCTTTTTACATATAAACATGGGTGACGCAGCTGTCGATCCAGATATTATAAAACGTACTCAAGATACTCTTGGTCAAGTAATTAATGCGCCAGCATTAACTGAAAAACTTCTTAGTCGACCACCAGTACAGTTTCTTCAAGATATTGTTAAAGGAGTATGTCAAAATTTTTGTACCGTCTTCCTCGTAATACATATAAAATTATTTAGGTTGTAAAAAAAACAGATTTTCTTCAAGGATTATATAATGATGAAGAACTTACACCAGCTTATCTCAAAGAAAGTCGTGATAATAAAACATTATTTATGAAAAAACTTGTTACGGCTGTTTGTTAGTATAAATATACGATAAATATTTCTATTTATATCGTGTTTTTTTCTTTAATTATTATTTAGATATTGCTGTTAAACGAGCACCAGATGTACGTGTATCAAAAATATTAGCTGGTCAAGAAGCCGATAAAACAAATCTTTTATTACAAGCACTTGCTGAAGCAATTAATGCTAATGTTGATAATCGAGAAGTTGTTCGAAAAACTTTACAAAGCTTAGGTGAATCAAATGAAAATGAAGAACCAGCCCGAAATCAAGATCAAGAACAATCAGATAAACGTTCATCAAAAGGTGAACGTTCAAGTAAATCTCGTGATCGTGAAGAACCCACACCCGAGAAAAAATCTAGTTCAAGAGATCATAGTAAAGTAAATATAAAAATACTTTGACTTTGTTTTTTGTTGTAAATAAATTAAATAATTTTATTTTTAAAAGGATAAAGGAGATGCAGATGGAAGTGGTCATTCAAAGAAACGACGAGGTTCTCGAGCACCTGAAGATAATGCTCATGAAGAGAAAAAACCAACAATTATACAAAGACAAGATGATGATGATGACAATGATAAAAGAGTCATTAAAAAAAAATTCATTTAGTATTTTATATAATAAATATATTTCATTTAGGATGATGATGAATCAAAAGGTCGTCGACCAATACGACCAACATCAGCTAAAGGTACAAGAAAACATCAAGATAATGGTAGTCATCAACGAGCAACATCTCCTAAAAGTTTGTATAAAAAAAGTTTTTATAAATTTCAATATAAATCTTCCTTTCTTTTTTTTTTGTTTCAGCTGAACAACCATCACGACATCCTCCAACACTTGTGTCAAATGATCGTGATGATAATGATGGGTAAAATTAGTTTGATATTATTTCGATCAATAGCGTTTTTTATTTTTCAGAAGACCTTTAGTTCGACCAACTACTGCAGCTAAAAGGAATAAATTAGTAACACAAACATCTTCTGATGAAATGGCTGGAACATCTGGACGGTAAATATTTCTCATTTTTCTTATCTATTGATAAATTATTGTCCTTGTTTTTGAAAAGAACACCTAGTGGAGCTCAACGTGGTCAAGGAACTTTAATTATTGAAAGCACAAAAACTCGTGATAATGATGTAAACAATGACAATGATGATGATGATGACGATAATTTCTTAATACAAGAAGAAAAACCATCAGCAACAAAATCATTTGTAAGAGACAACGAATAATTTATTGAAATAAAACTTTTTTACTATTTTTACAATAGAAACAAGATGATTTTGATAGTCGTGATGGTGGCACTGGAGATCAAGATGATGATGATGGTGCTCAACATGGTGCACTTGTAACAAAAATGATGAATTCAAAAAAGAACTTAGAACATGGTAGTGAAATAGCTGGACAAAAAGCTGATGTGGTAAATAGTTGTTTTCTTTTTAAATAAAATAATTTTATTTCTATTGTCATTCTAGAAAACTATTACACAAAATGATGCTCAACGTCGACGTGAACGTGAAAAAATTCAAAAAGATGTTGATAAACTTCGTGAAACAATTCAATCGCTTACAAAAAGGTTTATATTTTGATGAAATAAACAAAAATCTATTTTTTGATTTTTAGTGTTGTACCATTAGGTAAAATACTTGAATATCTTCAAGAAGATTATGAAATGATGGCTAAAGAAATGCAACATTATACGGATGAATATAAAAGAACGATTGTTGATTTAAGAAAGGAAAAATTGTAAGTTTGAAATTATTATAATCAGTAATTTTATTTCACAAATTATGATAAACATTGTATCAGCCCGAGAATACGGAAGCACTGATCATTTAGGCATAATTTAAGTCGTTTTACTAGATTTTCCCAATGTGGATCTGCCCTCATGGTGAATGTTAGTTTTACTAATTCTATTATCGAATTGGATCTAGCATATAGACAATATTGTAGTATAAGATATATTTGCATAGACAGAATATATTAGGATTTATAAATCGAATATTTTTTTTTTCTTCGATTATTTTCACAATATTCCCTTGACTAATTTTTATTTTAGTACAACTGATCAAAGTCTTGAACCACTTCGAGCTGCTTTACTTGATTTTGATGATCAAATAGGCGATATGAAAAATCGAATTATATTTATGAAGAAAAAAATTAATACTACTGAAAAAGCAAATGGTGAGCGGCTTCTTAAAATTATTGGTAAAATCAAATAAATACTGTTTTTTTTGTTTTTGTTTTTGTTTTTATTCATTTAATTTTGATGTTTTGATGTGTGTATGTAACTCTTATACATATATATATATATATACCTATCTATTTAATACGCATATCTTTAGTAAGTTAACATCAATAAGTTGATGCAGTTAAAGAATCAAGTTGACTTCGAAGTGAATGTAGATTTTTTGCTTTGTATGCTCCATGTTCAATAAATAAAAATTGAGCCATTTGAGAAAGATTTGTAATTTGTTGAATTTTTATTTTTAAATCATCACATGCTGAACGTTCTTTATCGATACGTGCTATTAATTGTTCATCAGTCATATCTTGATTACTAACAGTAAAATAATCAATTTTATATTTTTCACAACGATCTATTGTTGAATTTGTTAGTGAAAAAATCCAATCAAATATGAATTTTGTTCGTGTCATATGAAAATCATTTGTAATTACAGCTAAATTATATAATTCCATTGGTTCTAAAATACATTGTCGAGCAAAATAAGCATTACCAATCGTATCTAATGACCAGTTCTCAATTAAAATTTTATCTGATGGAATATTACGTTCAATTAAATAATTAGCACTAGCTGATGCTTCATCAATTGGAAATAAATATTTATTAAGTACAGGTGGACGATGTGTAGTACCACGGCTTAAAACTAGAAAATAACATGTTGATGATGCCATTTCAATTGCTCTATCTAATCGAGCAGAGACCCAAGGTGATGGAGATCCATTTGCATCCACTCCACCCCCAGGTACAACAATACAATCATACATTATCTTTGAAAAATATATAAAACAAATTAATTTAAAATGTAAACGATTGTTTATTTTTATTTTTTATTCTTTTGGTAATATTAGATAAACAAATGAAAAGAGAGAAAAAACGAAAACATTATATGTGGTTAAAAAAAAGAAGAGAGAATAAAAAGGAAAACAAATACCATCGAACGAAAAATATCTATATAGAAATACATGTACATTGCATTAGAAAAAAAACAAACAAACCAACAAATATATGTGACTTAAGAATAATGAATAAAAGAAATAAAAACATAAAATAATCAATCACCTGACAAATATCATTTAAAAAAACTGAATATATTGAGCAAATAGACTAGCGTTGAGATTGTTCTAAAAATGACTTATCATCTTGAATAGTAGTGGTATTTGGAATAAATTTTAAATTAAATTGTTTCATAGTTGATTCAAGTCCTTCTCTATTACCAGAAAAATAAGCAGCTATAGCATTATGAAAAAGAAGTAATTGATGTTTCATAACTTTTATCTATAAAATAAAAATATTCTTATAATAAAACAAAAAAAAACAGATGAATGAAATATACCTGATTTTCATCAAGAAGTTTAAGTTTAATACCAATATCATTCTTTAATTGTTCATATTTTTCTCGATATTTTTCAAGTTCATATTCTTTTTCACTTGATTGTGAACCTGGTGGTAAAAGTCTCAATTCTGATCGACATGCATCATATTCAAGTCTAAAACAAAATTCTAATGCGCTTTTTTATAACTTTCTAAAACTTTTACCTTGCAACTTCATAAAGTCGAATTGTATTCATTGTATCTTCAATTGTTTTTGTACAAAGTGTATTCATTGATGATATAAAATAATTTAAAGCATTAAATAATGTTTCACCATTCTTTGCTATTATACGTTGTGTTTCAGCATTATAACCAAATTCATCAAAAAGAAGATAAGTTTTTTGTTTTAATTCAACAAATTGATCACCTAAAAGAAATTATTAAAATATTTCATTTTCGTTCTATTTTTAATTTACTTAAAGCTTTTTGCGTTTGCATTAGATTATAGAAATGATTTGCATAACTACGGGCTAAAGCAAGAATACTTTCATATCGACGTTTTGTATCACGAAGTTGCTGAAAAACAAATTATAAAGAAAAAAAAATACGTTTTATAATTTCAAACCTCGACTTGCGCATCAAGTTCAACATCGACTGTACGTGTTGTTTTGCCTAATTTTTCGTAAATAGATTGTTTTGTACATTTATATGTTGTACGACTCCATTGTTTAAATTTATTAATAGTTGGTCCAACAGCAGCAACGGCTGCAGCCGATGATGCTGATAATCTTGACATATCTGGAATAGATATTCGTCGATCTGTTCCAATTGAAGATATATTAGGCATGGTATTTGACGAAAAACTTTTGCCTTAGAAGAAATATACAAGATATATAAAAGGAATTTTAGAAATATTTCATAATATACTAGAAGAAATCTGTTGGGAGGCAAATGATTGATTATGTGAGAGACTGTTTGGTATGGCACCAGCCGTTGGTGATGATGAATCAGTTTGGAATGTTGCTGCATCGTTAAGACTAACATAGAGTGAATTATGATCTTTGGATGGAGTTAATTGTTGATCAAGATCTATATTGGAAAAATTATTTGATTCTTGATGATTATGTATAGAATTTGTTGAATTAATTGCAGCATTATTCGAATAGATATGTTCTTGATCGGATGAACCAAATGTGCTAGCAAATGATGCCATTTTCTTCTAAAAACAATAAAATAAAATCGTTAGAATGTATATTATATGTACATATTCAATTAATTATATTCAAATTTAAATACATCACTGAGAAATATATGTTTTTTTTATACTGTAGTCTGTTACATTGATAGTAACGATGTATGTTGATCGAACGTGAGAAGAAATGAAATATAAACTAAAATAATAATTCGTATGTATATATAATTTATGTAAACGTGAGAATATGTCTTGTATTTTGATATAAAAAAATTTTAAAAAAAAATTTTTTTCAATGAAAATTTTTTTTGGTAGGAAATTCACTTCTATTGAGACTAAAATGTTTTGTTCTGTTTTCTTTTTTAAAAGTTGATTAAAAAATATACAATGAATAGATGACGCTATATTTCTATCATATTTATTTGTTTTAAATATATATGGACAAATTTCACGAAACACTCATAAGTTTATTCAATTCTCTCTATAGAACTTCTCATAGGATCTCGCTATTTTAGCATCACATATTCGAACTTGAGAGCATTTCTAAGACAGTAATCATAGATTAACACTAGTAGCACATATTGAAAAGAAAATATACTATAGGATATGTGATTACAAATCGATATCAGCCTATAAACTATAATAAAAGATGTGTAATATTTATAATCTGTATAAACGAACGTTTATAACGCATATTCTGTTATAGGAACTGATGCATTTTACTAAACAGATAACTGTAAGTAAGTATAATGCATTAATCTTTTGAATATAATTCTTTGACTATAAATGAACTATCTCATTTTATCAAAACAATAAAATTAAGTACTATATCAAAAAGAAATCAATGCAGTTAAATATTATTATTCTATTAGAAAAGCTAATTAATATTAAAAGAAATGAACCTAAAAGTTCGCGATCACGATTAACTGAAAATTGATAATCTTATGTGTGGAAAATATTTTTATTGTTACTAATTAATACATATGAATCTAATTTATCTTTACAAAGTCGAAACATGAATCTAACAGGATGTAACTAGATACTATTACAGAAGGAAGCCATTTGAGTTTTATTGAACAAAGCCCTGCAGATGACGCTATGTTTTTATTTAATTAACTAATCGTTTTTATTTATTAATTTACAATAGCAAGAGACTCGTGTTGAAACATTTTTTTCTATAATTATTTCCAATTGAAATAAAATTTCATTTTACAATCAACGTGTGCCACATTTTAATAGTATACGCTACACTCCAATAATATCATTTGTCCAACCAACCATTTCGATTGGCGTTATACATTCATTCCGAATCGACACCATTTATAATACAAAATAAAATATTCGAACTAAAATGTCATCGAGATCAAATTTAAAATTAAAAGATTATCTTTCTGACGATGGAAAACTTGATTTATCAATTCTTAATTTAAAATCAGTTCCAAATATCAATGATATTGTATATTATCTATTTTAATTCCTTAATTTCTTACTAAAATATTTTATTTTTAGTTAGCATTACGTAAAGTTAAATCAATTGATTTATCAAACAATCAAATAGAATCATTACCCGCATGTATTTCTATTTCATACAAATTTATATGATATATCAATTTGTTTTTTAGGATGATTTTATTAAACTTGAAGGTATTCATACACTTGATTTATCAAGAAATCATCTAACAACGTTACCGGACAATTTTGGTCAATTAAAATCTTTAAAGCAACTTGATTTATACAATAATCGTATAGTAGATTTACCGATATCATTTTGTGAATTAGCAAAATTAGAAGTAAAATAAAATTCGTTTTTTTGTTTTCTGAAAAGAATTATTTGTTTTTCTCTTTTAGTATTTGGATTTAAAAGATAATCCACTTGATGCTAGTTTACAGATTCAAGCTGGTAAATGTTTAAATAAAAAAGAATGTCGTACATGTGCACAAAAAGTTATTCAATACTTTGAAATTCGTAAAGAAGAATTTGAAAAAGAACAAGCTACGAAATTAAAAAAGAAACAAGCAAATGACAAAGCCAAAGCAAAAAAACGTGAAAAACAAGTTGAAAAAGAACGAGAAGAAAAACGTTTGAAACGTATTGAAAATGCTCAAAAACGCGCATTAGAAAGAGACGAACGAGAAAAAGAAACAAATAAAAATGAAAAAAATAACGAAAATTTTGAAAACAAAAAATCAAATAAGAATCAAAACGAACAAGAAGAAGAAGAAGAAGGATTCAGTAAGAAATCATGTGATAAATAATTTTTTATAATATAATTTTTTAGTATCGCAAGCAATTGATGGAATTCTCAATGGTCTTTTACTTAGTCTTATGACATTTTTTACCTGGCATCTCTATCATAGTCGACACCAACCTCTTAATTTTTATGATTTTTATAAACATGTTTGATAGAATCACTGTTATTCGTTTTTTTTTTGTTTTTCTCTCGTATTTTTAAATGTTAGTTTGGTGAATGAAAGATATGGACTATTGGAATATATTTAAAAAAGTTTTCGTTTCTTTTTGTTTTGAGATTTTTGTTTTCGAATCATCATGGTGCATTTATCACTTGCTCGATATGTATGTAGAAAAATATTTAATTGATAAGAATTATATATATATATGATGATTTTATATAAAGGCCTCAATTGGTTTTCTTGGTTTGGGAAATATGGGTAAACATATGGCAACAAATTTAATTGCAGCTAATCATCAAGTAACAATTTTTGATGTTAATTCACAAGCACTTGATCATTTTAAAGATCAAAGTAAAGAGTTTTTCTTGGAAAATAAGATTATTTCATCAATGTTTGTTTTTTTAGAACAAGCTAAAACTGTAACTGTCCCACAAAATGCAGTTAAAGATTCTGAATTTGTTGTTTTAATGTTACCGAATGGTAAAATTGTTCGTGATGTATGTCAATCAAATGTTTTTCCGTAAATGAAACTAAAAAACTATTCTTTTCGATAATTTAAATTTCGTTTTGTTTTATTTTTGATTAGAACGGCTAAAAAAGGTACATGCATCATTGATTGTAGTACAATCGATGTACGAACATCGAAAGAAATGGCAGAAATGGCTCGAACTAAAAACTTACGTTATATTGATGCACCAGTTTCGGGTGGTTAGTACTATATATATTTTTGCAATAGTTCTTTTTTTATTGATTTTGAAGTATTATAGGTGTAACCGGTGCTCAAAAAGGTACATTAACATTTATGGTTGGTGGTCAACCAGATGATTTCAAATCTGCAGAACCAATTCTTAGTAAAATGGGCAAAAATATTGTTCATGCTGGTCCAAGTGGTAGTGGTTTAGCAGCTAAAATTTGTAATAATCTCCTCTTAGCTATTAGGTAAGATAAATAGGAAAAAACGCAAATCTGTAATATTCTATTATTTGAAGTATGATTGGTACTTCGGAAGCAATGAATCTCGGTTTAAAGTAAGTATTTTTAATGAATTAACAAAAAATTTAAATGAATTCATTCCTATTAGACTCGGTCTTGATAAAGAAGTATTAGCAAAATTGATCAATTCTTCTACTGGTCAATGTTGGTCAAGTCAATCATATAATCCATGTCCCGGTATTGTTGCAAATGTACCATCAAGTAATGATTATAATGGTGGTTTTGCTTGTGAAATGATGACTAAAGATCTCCTACTTGCTCTTGGTATTTATTATTGTTTTCATTATATTTAAAATAACTTTTTTGTTTTTTCAATGATTTGTTTTTAGATGCAGCAAAAGAAGCTAAAGCTTCAACTCCATTAACTGAAAAAGCTACTGAACTCTATCGTGAAATTTGTTCAAATGGATTGAATAAACGAGATTTTAGTGTTATTTTTAAATATCTTAATGAACAGTAAACATATCATGCATTTTTTTTGTCGTCGTAGCTTTGTTTTTCTTTCAAAATATAAATACACAGAAAAAAAAAGAAGAGAAAAAAAAACGATGAATGTAATAGATATATATAGATACACACATACAAATGAAAAACAAAGAAGAAGAAGAAGAAGAAAATGATAGAACAGATAATGAAACATTGCTTTTATTCTTATTTTTTTTTCTCGTTATTATTGTTGCTGAAGATGTAGTTTTTTTTCTTTCAATAAATAAAAAAAGTCTACGAACAACTGACAGTTTTATGAAAAGAAAAGGAATGTTTGCTTCTTAATCAATTCAACATACATACAAATCTATATATATATGTATGCTTGTTCTTATTTAATTAACGTTCTTTTGTTTCGTAGAGAAGGTAAGGACGGAACAAAACAAATAGAATAAAAGAAAGAGAGAGAGAGAAAAGAATCTAAGGTGGATGTATCACCGGTAATAAATCGAACAAAAGAAGAGAAAAAAAAGCAATTGGAAGCATATTTATATAATCAATGAATACGAATAATAAGTATGTTTCTGTTTTCTAAAAATCAATCATTATCAAATAAAAAGAAGAAGAAGAAGAAGAGAAAAACAACACGAAAACTGTTTATTTTTTGCTCACAATTAGTTCCGACTGATAATTTCCTTGTTCTTTTTTTTCTGATATTTGTTCAAAACAAAAGAACGGATATATATAGCATGCATAAAAGAATCTTACTGCTGTTTTCTTTTTATAGCCTAAAACTTGTTCTTACTAATATAACGGGGAAAGAAACAAATGAAGATACTTGTTATAGACGTGCCTTACATGAAAAATGAACAACAACAGCAACAACAACAATAACAACAACAACAACAGAAGAGAATTTTATCTCATGCATAGAGAATGTGCGTAAATAGAAAGTTAAAATAAACAGATAGACAAAACGGGAAGCAATCTATAAATAAGTAATAATAGCAGAAATGTACAGCGTGCGAGTATATGAAACACAAGAAAATGAAAACAAATAATGACGACAATAATATTGAATGAGACAAGCACCTGTGTGTATGCGAAAAGAACAAAACAAGAAGAAAGAAACTCGGAAAACGAAAAAAAAAAAGAAAAAGAAAAATCAAACTGACGTATTCTGATACAGAATACAATGACAAATAGATTAGACGAAGGATGGCTTTTGTTTTAAACTATGGTGGATAATTATTATTTGTTGTGTTCATTGATTTTGACTAAAAGAAACAAAAAAAATAAGATTATTATTTATAATTAATTTCAAAAAAGAAAAGGATTAGATTTTTATTTAATAGAGCAGCACTAGTAAGTAATATGCATACATAAGTTTTATTTTTGCCTATTGTGTTGATGGAGGAGATGACTATAAGAAATATTAATATTCGATAAAATAATTTTCATATTGATGAAGATATAATTACTAACGATAGATAGATGGAATAATAAATTGAATTTATATTATAGAACTCATAGTAGGGCAACAGTTTTCTCTCATACAGTATTTTATCTAGCGAGTGGGTGGCGCCCACCCGAAAAAAGAAACATGGATAAAAGACTGTTCTCATATAGATCTTAATTGTAACATATTCTGAAAATCTTAAACTATTGTATATTAGAAACAATAATTTGTAGAGATCACTTAAATATAAAGAAGATATTAGTAGATGATACTTAATTTTTAACCTGAGAAGAAACTGTTTACTCATTGCTTTTTATCAAATATAAGACTACGGTGTTTCTTTAATCAAACTATACATTTACTAACTTAATTATTATAATCTGAAAACCTTTTAGAAGTCTTAATATGATCAGTATAATATTATTAACATATAATACTACATCAAGATCATCAACTGACCTAAAAAGCTGATTTGCTCTAAAGTTTATGGTGAACCTTAATTGTACATCTAATGTGATTGAGAAAAAATGGCATTAAATTATATTGTTATATGAATATTCTCAAAAAAAGCAATCTACCTGAGGTGAAACAACAGTTGTCCCATCAAATACAGCTGATGTTGATGGTGTTCCTGATATAATTGATGTAGCACCAGATGTTATTGATTGTTGAGGATTTCTATAAAGTCTTTGAAAAAAATAAAATTGATTTTTTTCTTTATTATAAAAAAATTAAATTAACCTTTGCATATTTGGATTCATTTGTCGATACGTTCGATGCAATGAAGGATTATTTGATAATGGAATGTCATTAGTACTGTTCGTTTGTGATGAATATGGATATAACGATTGTTGTTGTTGTTGTTGTTGTGAATTATAATAATAATTTGATTGCTCATTATTATATGTTGTTGATGGATGATAATAAGATGTTGATGGGCCATATGAATATATTTGCTGTTGTTGTTGTTGTTGTTGTTGTGAATTTTGATATGCTGGTGTAGGATTATTATAATAATAATTATTCATGTCTGTTGATTGTGACGGTGAATAATAATATTGAGAAGTTGGATGATATGCTGGATAGTACATAGGTGGATGCTGAGGCTGTTGGATAGAATAACTTGGAATGGTTGTTGTCATGCCTACGAAAAAAAAATTCAATCAATAAAATTAGATTTTTTTTTTGATAGAAATTTACTTTCACAACGTTTTAAATAATCATCTAAATCATTATAATTTGAAAATGGGTTTACTGATATATTTATATCATTATTATTTAATAATTCATTTTCAAGTTCAGTATTCCGTATAAATGGTAATGAATATTCATTATTATTAATTATTAAAAGTTGAGAAGCGAGATATTCATTAGCTAATGATGAAGGTAAAATAAGATCTTCAATAATACTTGTTAACGTAGGTGAACAATATGATTCATCAGCAGATGTTAGATTTCCATTAAGTCGATTAGTTAATGCTGCTTGAAATTCGGCTTCTTGTTTTTGACAATTAAGTGCTAAAAATACAGTAGAAGAGAGAGAGAGCGTGAAAAAATAAACAAAAGTTAAAATTCAATGACTTACACAGTACAAGTAAATAGAAATATTTAACAATTAATGTTAATTCATGTACAGATTCACTTGACGAATTTATTTGATATTTATTAGCAAAATAACGAATTTTTTGTGTCCAAAAAATTTGTGCACGATTAAATTGTGTTGGACATTTTCTTAAAAAATAATCGAAAAAAAACAATGATTTTTCAAATTCAATTTTTTTTTACTTTTCTATTTGTTGTTGAAGCTTATTAACTATTTGAGTTTGGTTATCAATTGATAATCGAATAAAATTACGAATAGAATTTATAAAATCAGTTGGAGACGAAGATAATTTATCTAGACCTTTGGCACCTTTAATTATTTCATTAACAATATCAGTTGATAGATTCGTTTTTAAATTTGATTCTTCTGGTGAAATAATTGATTGTTCATCTATTGTTGATGAAGGTATGGAATGAAACGATAATGGTGTTGATGTTTGTCGTCGTAATTCAAGAGATAATGAATTGATTGCTAACGATGATGTAGCTGTATCATTAGTTAAATCATTCGATAATAAAGAATTATTTTCTAAATAATATGATAAGAAAAAAATATCGATTAGATAATCAAATGAAGAATGAAATATTTATTACCATTTATTGAAGATAATGATGATGATGATGCAATGACAATATCACGATTTGGTTTTTTATATATTTCAATAACTCGTTTTTTGTAACTATTCTTTTTTTGATTACTCATCTGAGACCACATCTCACGCATGCCTAAATGATGAGCACATCAGATATTATAAAATCTTTATTTCTTAACAGAAAAATTAAAATTTGATTAAAGAAAGATTATTTCCTATTTCTTATGTAATTACATATTATTTCGAATGTTTAAAAACGGAAATGCAGGTATTAAAAGGGAAGTGTTTGATGAAAATACGTTTACACACTTTCTTTTTATTATTTTTAAATATTATTATTTTTGTAGGATTCGTATGTATGACGAAGGAAAATAGTGCGCGTTTGTCTGACATTGTAGAGTTCTGTTCTTCCTTCTTTTTTTACACATCTTAATAATCGGGATCAAAGACCAAAGGTCAACAGGTATAAACTTTCATTCCTCATCAAGGACAAAAGTCTCAGATTTTTTCCGAAATTTTTCTACCAATGAAAAACTACTATCTAACAGTATGATTAATATGATCTAAATCATTCTAGAACATTTTCAAATCATTCTAGAAATTTCAATGTCCAGAATATGTTACTGAACGTTCTAAATACTGGAAAAAATAATTTAGTTGATAATATTCTATTCTTGAACTCGAATATTATTTGATGGTATTTCGAAATTTGTTCAATCTTAGATATAAAAGCGTATGTTATGCTTTTCATATCAAACGAAATTACATCACCCAACTTCTCTTTATCATCTATATACTCGATTACATTACAAACAGGTCATTTTCAATTAGAAGATATTTCTTCCTGTTTCGGATTAGTAACTATTTTTTTAATCAAAAATAACTTACGTTCTTCAACTTTAGCTGGATTATCAATTTGTTCATAATCTCCTCGATGTACATTAGCATGAAGTAGATAAGCTAATTCATCTAATTCTCTTGATGTCATTGTCATTGAACGAGATTCTAATGCAAAATTTCAATTAAACTCCATGTTTTTCTTTCAAAACAAAAAACTTACCATTTGGTACTATTGAATCTAAAGATTGCAGTGAAGAAGAATTTTTTCTATTTACTGAATTTGTTCGAAGTACAACTAAATATTAAAAAATTAATTTAAATACAAAAAAAAAAAGAAAATATTTTACTTTCAGTTTTTGGTTGTCTAGTTGTAATTCTACTAATTGGTAATTTATGTTTTATTTGTGGAATAGATGTATTAAGTAACATTTTCAATGCATTATCACTTTCATAATTTGTTGAAGTAATTCGTCTATAAAAGAAAACTTATTAAACAAAACAAGAAAAAAAGAAATTATATTTACTCAATAATTCCATTTAATATATCTTTAATTACAAATTGAATATCATCAGTTTGAAAACGTTTAGTTTTGGCTTTCGAGCATCTACTATTCTGTTGATTATGAATAATATTTTCATTTTTATGTCGACGTTTTTTTATACGTTGTGCTGATGATAGTTTAAGAACTGGCGATGTTCTTGAAGATCTTTTTTTATTATTATTATTATTATTTAACATGACTTTCATATCAGATGAATTTAAAAGACGTGTTGATGGTTTCGATTTTATTGGTTTTAATAATGTTGTTTTATTCGATTGTAAATAAGACATTGTAAATGATGGTAAAACTGACGAAGATGATGCTGAACGATGACGACGTTTTGTTGATTTTCGACAATTCATAGTTGAATCAAGTTCAACTAAAGAATCATCAATTGGTAAACTATTTTGTGTTAAATCTGGTGATGATGATGTTAATGATGTTGGAGATAATTCACTTGTTGGTGGTACACACCAATCAGATACGGTAGATAAATGACGTTTAGGTGTATTTTGATGATTTGAATGTTCGTTAGGCATTGAAGGATCAACTTCTTCAATAGCTAAAAATATACATCGACTAATTTCTTATAACTGAAAAAAATTCGTTATTGCGAAATTTAAGAAAATGCCTTTTTTTCGGAAACGAAAAAAATTCTCTTATTCGGTTGATAAAGGAATATTATATTATAAAGAAATATGAATCATTTCTTATTACTCCTACCTTACAAGGAGTGACTAATAGAATAGTTTTATTTTACTATACCTTTAATATCAATTGTTGTCGTTTCATCAATTTTTTGCTGTTGATTATTTGATGTATGATGAGATAATACATTTCGAATATTTGAATTTGTATTATCGATAACAGGAGGTGGAGGTGTTGGTGGTAATGTTGGTGTATTATCTTGTATATCAAGTAAATTTGATGATGAGATTAATGAAGATGTTTCATCATTTTTTACTGATGAAACAAATAATGTTTTTGTTAACTGAATTTTTGTTGGAATACGTAATGCTGATGCAAGACCATCACCACTTGAAAGCATTTTTATTGATGATGATGATATAGTTGTTGTTTGTGGTACAACTAATTTTACTAATTTTGTTGAAGGATTTGAATTTATATTTCCATCCGATTGCTGAATAATAACATTATCTGTACGTATAGATTTTTTCGATAAATCAGGTGTTTTAACAATTGTCATTACAGATGATGGAACAATAACAGATGGTGGTTTTGTCTACAAAAAATTTATTAGAATAAAATTTTTATACCCGAAAAAAAAAAGAATTATCTTACGAAAACTTTATTTGAAATTTGTTTTGGTTGTTCATATTCGTCATCACTATCAGATATACTACCAAAATTTCTTTGATCAATATTTGATGATGATGGTTTAACAATTAATGCAAGTGCTGGTGGTTTTTTTGTATATAGAAAATCTTTTTGTACATCAGATTTTTGTTTACTATGATTTATTGAATAATGTTGTGATCTTTTTGTTGTTACAATTTCATTTGAAGCTAAAAGAAATTTCGAATTAATTTTTTTTCTTAGTTTTTAATAAAACATACATTGAATATCATTTGTAGAATTAAATATTGGTGTTGTTGATGGATATTCTTGATTTATTGAATGATTTGAATTAGATGATGATCGACTTGATTCTGATGATGAACTTTTATTATCAATATGACGATATAATTGTTTTGGTCGACTTTGTCTATCATTATGATCCGTAGATTTTTTTAATAAAATTTCATTTGACTCTAATCGATGAAAATTTTTTTTTGCTGTTGAATTTTGTAAATTTGTTGATGATAAACTATGACGTTTAGATGATGGTGGCGATGGTGATGGACGAATAGAAGATGATATTGGTCGTTTACGATCATTATTATTCATTGTAGAATTTTTGGATGATATCGTCGTTGTTGACGATGACATTAGATTAATATTGATATATTGTTTGTTGATGTTATTTGAGCATTGAAATTTTAAGACTAAAAATATGTACAAAAAGAGAAAATTCAATCTAGAAAATTTTAACAAATATTATTTTATGGTACCAAATATGTCTAAAAAAACCTTGAACGAAGAAGAAGAATCTTTCTTTTTTTTTTTTTTCTTCCTCAAATCGGGACGATGACGACGATGATGATAGAGCTACTAGTAAGAATAAGCGGGAATGGATATATTAATCAACGAATAGAAATTGTTCTGTTTAAATGTATTAATGTCGTATGGTGATTACTATGGTAACAAAACTAAAACATGGCGATGAGAAAGAAAGAAAAAAAACATTTCATTAATTTTATTATAAATAAATTATTTGTTTATATTAAACAATTCATAAGATATTAATTAGATTTTTTTTTGAAAATTATAGATATGTATTGGGATATTGAATTAGATGATCAGTTATTACAAGATCTTTATGCATGGATTGATCAAATTCCGTTTAGTCGACCTAAAAAACATATTGAAAAAGATTTTTCTGATGGAGTTATGGTTGCTGAATTAGTTAAACATTATTTTCCTAGTTGGGTAAATATTTTAAATGAATTAATCTTAAATTCGTTATTTTATTTCAATAGGTTGATATACATAATTATGCAACAGCAAATAATACCCAACAAAAATTAACTAATTGGGGTCTTTTAAATAGAAAAGTTCTTTGCCGATTAGATCTTAATGTTCCGGAACCTATTATGCGTGGTATATGTCTTGGTCGAACTGGTCTTGTGGAAATATTTCTTTATAATTTACGAAATCAAATTGATGAGTATGTATATATAATAAGAATTTTTGTTTTTTTCTTTTCATTTAATCTAAATTAAAATAAAAATAGAAAATAAAATCTTCTATTTACTATTCCAGTGTTCTTTCGCAGCAAAGTCGGAAAAGACAGAGTCCTTCTCGGAATCGGTTTGTTTTATATATGTGTATTAATATAACATTAATTACTAACTTATATATTATTCATAACTAAATTTGTTGACTAGACTTAGACTCTCTGATATTTCGAATAGATCTAGGGCAGCTCCATATTAAGAACTGTAACTATTGTTTTGATAGGAACTAAACTGTTTCAGAACTTATTTACTTAATACGTTCTGAGAGAGTTTGGCTCCTATCAAAGAACTGTCCTAGATCTAATATCGAACAAGATTAGACCTTTGTTTTTTTGAATTTCTATTGTTTTATTCAGGAACCTTCCACAGCAGCAACAACAAAGCAAAGGGAATGAATCAAATAATATGAGAACACGTCAACGGCAATCATCACCTCCGCCCTCACAACATGAAAAATATCCATCAGGATATTCAAGTAAGAATAGAAGAATACCTATATTTAAATTTTTCGAAAATAATAAGATAATTTAAACAATTGAGAATTAGAAAATAATACTCTTCTAGACTTATCTTCTTGTGTATACTATTACAATCAAGATGAAACAAACAAAATTATACAGAAATTTTATTTGTTGTTTTTATATACTTCTTCTTAGATTTCCACAGTAGGTTAATAAAAATATTATTCAGTAATTACCCAATATTTATTTTGCTATTCCTTATCTGTCTTGTATTGAATATCTTTGCATGCTTTCATATTTTTCGATTATATATTCTTTTTAAATTCAGAAAGAATCTTATTAATCTTTTTTGATTAATATTAATTTGACTTTGTTTTTTTATCTGTAGGAAATGAACCAAAAAATACGCCACAAGGAGGACAGTAAGATTTACTATGAAAAAAAAACATGTTGAATTCATCTGATATGTTTAAAGTACAGCAAAGAAGTCTACATCAATGCAAAATTTAAGTACAGATATGGTTAATCGTCGCCATTACGATGAAAAAGAACAAGAATGTCAAGCAAAAGATCAACAAATTCAGGTTAATTTTATATTATTTATTATATTGTTTTTTTTAAATCGGTTTGTTTTAGGTTTTACAAGCTAAAATTCAACGTCTCGAAGAATTACTTCGTTTAAAAGATGTTCGAGTAGATGATTTGTCAGGCAAACTTAATCAAACACGAGGTGGTCAAGGTGGAAAATCACATCCTCAACAACAAACTTACATATCAATGAATACACGGAAATAAAAACAAACAAACAAACAAAGGAGAAATTTTTGCTTCTTTTATGTCTATTTCACTCAATAACTTTTTATTTATTATATTCTTCACGGCTTTTTTTGTTTCGTTCTCATATGGCACTCATTGATTTTTTCAATTTTCTAATAATGAAACAAATTGATAAATAAATCTCATCATGTATTCAATATTCTATGTATTACATTCAAGGTCAAATCGATGAGATTTAACATGCTATGATCTTACACCATACAGTCAGTACTAGTACTCAATCTATCATTAGAGTATCGTCGGTACCAGAATTCAATGAAAAGAGACGAATATCAATATACAGCGACCTATGATTTTCACCAAACGAAAAGGGTTGAATAAAGACATCCTTTTCTCTAATAATGTACGAGATGAAATCGTTTTAAAACTAATCATCTTTGAAAAATATAGTAGAAATCAATAATATTCTCTATGATTTATTTTGTATCGTGAACTATTGATCTAAATTTTCTCTATCTAAATCAAAGATAATATTTCTACCTATTACCCTTTTTTTGAAAAAAGGCGCTACACGAAAATGCTTATAACTTTTGAACCATAAAAGATAGAAACTTGCGGTTTGTGTAGATTTGTAGATCTTGATCTGGGCTATCGACTGCCCTAGCTAAAAGTTGAAATTCATTAAATTTTCATCGTATGATGATTTTTTCAAGCTCACAACCAAAAACGTACTGTGGTAAACCCAATCCAAATGCTTGGCTTTCCGACAGTATTACGTCCCGTATCAAGATCTAGTCAATTGTGAAATCCGCAGGTCTCTATCATGTTCCCTTCAAAAGTTATAAGCACTTTCGTGAAGCGCCTCTTTTCAAAAAAAGGGTAATAGTTTATAAATTATTGTCATGTTTTTTCGAAGGTGATTAGTCCGAAAACGACTTTATCTTTTTATACCATCAGAAAAAAATACGTTCCGATTCTGTTTCTTTCGAAAGATGAAAACCATCGTCCTTGAAATAGTTATCATATACCTATTTCAAATTAATTCTAATGTTGATAGTAGTTTCAATAAAGTATGAATATAATCTGTACATATTATTTAACGTTATATTTATGTTATGTTTCAGTCAACATTTTTATAAAAGGATTTCATTCATTGTCGTAATAACAGAACAAACAAAAAACTGTAATTTTCATTATAAAATGTCATAATTTCTCTCTCTCTCCCTTTGTCAGTGTATATATCATAGTCGAAAATTCAAAGACAAAGTATAACAACACTGTTCACTTGATGAGAAAGAGAGAGAGATGAGAAAGAGCAATTGTAGTATAACAAACAACACGTGAAAGAGAAATAAAATCAAAGCAAAAACAGACAAAGTGAGAGAAAAATAAAGTGAGAGAACAGAGAAAAAAAAGAACTGCACACTGAGAAAAGAAAAAAAAGAAGAAGAAGAAGAAACGAGGAAATATATTTGACATGATCGCATCATCATTCATCAAGATTTAATTGTTGATAAGATTGTTTTTAATGAACGTTTATTATTATGATGATTTTTAGGAATAGGTGGTGTTGGTGCAAGTGTTGCTCGATTATTATTATTATTATTATTATTATTATTACTAACAGTACCATTTAATACTATATTAGAATTTAAATTATTCGTTGTTCTTTGTTTAGATTGATGATCAAGATGAAGATCTATAAAAGAATGATTAAGAAATCATATTTTTAAAATAATTCTTTACCTTCATGTGATCCACGATCAATTGATTTTTGTCTTGTTAATGAACGAAATAAAAATTTATCTGTAAATGCTTTATTATTATTTGTTTCGGAATATTCAGCTTTTTTAACTAATACAAATTTTGAATTTGTCGATGTCCATAAACGTTGAATACCATAGATTTTTTCATCATCAGCTAATAAACGACGTTTTATTGGTATACGTCGTGTAGTATTAGTTGTATTTAAATCTGTTTCTTCTACAAGTCCATAATCATTTGGCATACCTGCCATACGAATTTTTGTCATTAACTATAACAAAACAAAATAGAACATTATTTCAAAATGAAATAATTTACTTGTGTTATAACATGAATAGCAGTTGAATTAGTAGGTGTTCGAAATGTAGTATGTTTTTGAATAGGTGAAATATTATAAATAGTAACAAGAAATGTTCGATCACAATTATCCCAATTTTGAATATTTTTATCCATTAAAGTTGATAATGATAAATGTTGCTGAAAGAAAAGAATGAGATAATATATTAAAAGTTTTGATCGATTTTAAATATTACTTGTGTTGGTGTTTTCTTTTTACATAGAATAACGGTTTCACGTCCAACTCGATCAATAACTTCAAGAATACGTTCATGTTTTTCTAATATTCGTGGTGCTACATCCACATTTTTCGATGATGAAGATGATTTCTTTTTCCATGTTTTAGAAGATTCTGTTAATACAATATCATTTATTGTTTCACCAACTTTTAAGAAATCATTTGCTTTAGCAATCTTAAACGAAATAAAATATAAATAGACAGAAAAAAAACAAATATATATTACCATTTCTAAAAGTTCTTCAATTGTTGTATATTGTGTTACAGCAAATGGTCGAAATTCTTCATCACGTCCATCTTTTCCATAGACTTTAACTTCAAATGTTTTATGTTTTGGTCGAATTGATTCTCGACTTGCCTAAATAATCAAAAAATAATTTAATATGAAAAATGAAAATTTTCAATTCATACAGCAACAGCTTCCGGTGGATCAATTGTACGTCTTAAAATTTTAGTACGAAATAAATGTGGTGTATTTGATGTTGATAAATCTTGTTCGGTATTTCGAATAAGAATTGTTTCAGTTATTTTCGAATAAATAAATAATGTTGCTAATTCCAATGGAACATTTGTAATATCTCGTAATCGAACATGTCGATAACCAGGTCGAAGACATTTTAATGGCATTACACGTTGTGACATTAAATGATTACTTCCAGCATCATAGATATGAAAACGAACAAATGCTAATTCAACGAAGAAAAGCTAAAAAAAGAAATCGAAATTATTGTATTTTTAAATATAAATTCATAATGGAGCACAGAGATACGACAAAAGATAATTCGTATTAGAAAATGTAAAGGATTAGCAAAGCATTTAGTTAATTACCTGAAAGACAAATGTTTCTTGCCAGATTGGATTCAGTGAATTTTTAACCGATGGTTTTGTTTTTCTTGACATGCAATCAATTGGTATACCCAGAAGTTCAACTTCAATATAAACACTTGTTGTTGAACTAACATTCTGTGTTAAATATTGACCAGAAATAACCTAAAATGATTAATGAAATTTCAATTATATATATAAATTTTTTTCTTAATTAATATTTAACATACAGTAATGGTTAATTCAAAACATTGACCTTCACGTTCGATAACTGATGGATTGAAATGACCATATTGAGGATGTTCTTTATCCCAAAAAATACTTGGTTTTATTACATAACCACAATTACCATTTTGTTCAAACATAGATAAATTAAGAATTTGTCCAGGATCTAGAAGAAAAATAAAAATTCGAAATTTCCTTCTCTAACTTTAATATATAATATTTACCAAGTGTTTGATAATTGGTTGCTGCTAATCTGTAATGATTTCAATAGATATAAATATTATTATTATTGAAATATTCAAAAATACATACTGAATGCCATATGTCCAAAGATGTAATGGATTAAAATTTGATGAATCAACACGAAATCCACTTGGATAACATCGTACAAGTTGTGTTTCAGTATGTCTAAAAAAAGAAAATCATTCGAATTTAATCGAATAAAAATAAAATTTCCTTACGCAATCATATCCATAGCTTGATTTTTACATAATTTTTTCGCTTTATTTTCAATTAATGATACTATTTGATGGCATGGTGAAACTTGATCAATTGATCGAGAACTTTCTGTACCTATTATTAAATAAAAGAAAACAGTTATAGTCTTTTTTTGTTTCTTTCTCTTGATTTTATAAAGCATAAGCTCATACTCGTACTCGTGGTACTAGGTTGTGCAACAAGTTGTTGAATATTACGTTTAGTAACTTTTCGAATTGGTTTACCACCAGCCATACTAGTCGATGTTGATGAACAACTTAATCCTATATACAAAAAAATAGTATAAAACTTTGCTATAGAGAATTACAATTCGGTAGGTCAGATTCAAATCCAAGTCTGAAAGGCACTTTTATATTTTAATAAACAAACCTCGAAATTTAATTGCTTGTGTATAAACAACAATATCAGATAGTTCTTTAGCAACGATTATAGTTGGTAATTTAGCAATAACTGCAGTTGATTTATTTGCTTTTAATATTTGATTAGCATCAATTGAACTACTACTTTTCAAACGTTGTCGTGGTTCAGTATTTAATATACTATAACGACGTTGTTGATATGATCGTCTTTTAAAAGAAAAATAATATGAATTTAAAAAATAGAGACAAAAAGTTTTTTTGTTTATTTACAAATCATCATCACCATCTTGATCGACAGGTACAGGAACATTTGGTTTTTTTAAATTATACATTGGTGAATCAGTCATTGAATTTGAACGTTGTGATTCTCCACTAAGTAGTTGATCATCATTAAAATCATCAATAAGTTCATCATCATCAGAATCATCATCTTCTTCGTTATCATCAGGTGATGAATAAACTGAATTTCTATAATTAACACTTAATTGTACTTTTTGTTTACTTAATTGTGTTGTTGAATGCATTTTATTTATTTTCTTATTTTTTATTAAAATTTTATATTTTAATTGATTTGGTGATGGTAAAGATGGATCTTCATAAAAATCTGTATCAAACATATATTTTGTGATTAATTTATCACCAAATACTTTAACAAATATTTGTGCCATGCGGGCTTGTTGCATTATCGTACAACGATTTTCAATTGATAATATAACAGGATAGGGTGATGTTAAAAATGCACTTTCATTAATAACTTCAACAACAAGTTTAAATGATATTTTACTAACAAATGTACGACCATGATATATAACTGGATAACCATCATCACCATCCCAACAGTCAAGTTCAACACATCGACAACCAGATAATAATACCTAAATTATTCGAAAATAAAGAAAAATAATTTTATATGGAAAATTCTTACTTCACGATACATTTCAACAGATGATTCACCACGTAATTGATGACCAGTTAAATAAGTATTATGTGATGATGCAACAAAATAATATGATATTGGACTATCCATTTCCTTAAAATAAAAAATTTATGTATTAATTAAATAAATTTCGAAATATTTCTTCTTTACTTGTTCATTGGCTTTCGTATGTTCATTAACAAAAGCATAATTTTCTTTATCTAATAAATAACGTGAAAAACCTTCGAATGACAGAACTTTATTTAAACGATTTTGTCGATTAGGTTCATGACGCTAGAAAATAAGAAAAGATAGAATTAGATCAATCGAAAAACAGTCAACTTACATAAATAATTTGTTCAATTTCGTAAGAACTTTTCTCTTCTTTTTGATGTTCAAGTAAAAAATCACGAAATTGTTCTTTTGTTATAAGATAATTTCCACGTGTATGTGTACTTATTGCATAACATGGTATAGATGATATCGCAATCATATCATAAATTCGACGTATACTTGCATCAGTTATATCATCAACAATATTTCTTGTTATTAAACCAGTTAAATGTCTTGATATATCTAATGAATCATTTTTATATTGTTCTTTAATTGTATAATCTTGTTCAAGATTAATTTCCGATGCAAATTTATCAAATAAATCTTTTAAATCACGTCGACAATGAAAATAAAATGATTTGAATAATTCAACAAATTCAGGAAAATCCATATATGTTTCATTAATAATCCATGGTGATGATGAATCTTGAACTTGATTATTTGAATTTGTTGATGCTAAACGATGAGCTAAACGTTTTGTATTAATTAAATTATTTAATGTATTTGTTGTTGTTGTACGTTGTGTAGATGGATGATTTGTTGTACCAGGACGTTGTTTCGAATTATTTTGATGATGTATTAATGAACGTGGAGATTTGATATTTTGTGTAACGAGATTTGATTTTGGTTTACTATAATCAAGTGTTTTAGATTTACTACGTAAACCTATTGTTGAATTTTGTTGTTGGTATTTTGATACAACTGTTGGATCGGATTCAGTGGAAAAACTTGCTTTACGATCCTAGAATAATTTTTCATTAGCTTTTTCGAACGAAAAAAAATATTTTATGTTGCATACTTGTTCAAATTTATTTCGTCTTCTTAAAGCTAAATTTGACCATGATTTCATTACACTACTAGTTTTTTTTGATGATGGATGATCACGTTCGTAGGAAAATAATGAACTTGAATTCCATTGCCGACCACCAAATACAAGTATAGCATTCATTGGTGTTGGACCTTGAAAACGTTCATTTTCATGATATAATGATAAATATTGATTTTTAAGCCAAACAATACGTCGATCCGAACATAAACGATGTTTACGATATTGTGTTATTAATTTATCAATACTTGTATACCAAATTTGTGAAATATATTTTGGACTAATAAAACAAAGTGATCTACGAAAAGAAAACAAAAAAAAGTATATTTTTAATAAGAAATAAAACGTTTTTCGATTACTTATTTTCACTAATTGATGAACCATAAATAATAGTAAAGCAATTTTCTGGATTTGATATATCAGTTAATTTATAACGTTTTATTACTGGAAGAAGATCACAATGAAGTATACCACTTCGAATATGTTTAACATATTTTAATTGAATAAATCCTTCATCCATATCGACAAATGCTACATCTCGTAATATATAACGTTTCATTAATATTGAATAATGTGCTGCTTCACTCGACACTTGATTTGCTGTATTTACATTTTCAAGACTTCGATGAGTATCCCATGAAGGTTTTGTCCTACATAAAAATTAAACTCGTATATAAATTTATAATATGAAAAGTTCATTACCAAGTTAATGTACAATTATCAAGTTCAAGTCGTACAGTGACCAAACATGTATGCATCGTATCTTCATCGTAAAGAATTAAGGTTGTACCATTTCTATATAAAATAGATAAGATTAGTTATATTATCATAAACAATAATGAAAGTTAACTAACCGAAGTAGTTGTAAATTATTAAAATCAACAATATGATGCATGGATAATAGTGATACTTCATGATTATGTTTTGGTTGTGTTATTGGTTGATAAAAAGATACATTTAAACAATAAAATGTTTCCGGTTCATCAATATCAAGTGATGAACGATATGGTAATACTGAATTTGTATTTAATACTGTATCATCATCATTTACATTCGCTGTTTCATTATCTCCAATAACTTTAATAGCTATATTAGCTGTACAATGTTGATCATATTCATTGACTGTTGTCGATGCACATGGAAATGATTGATGACGATTATATTTTGGTTTTGGTATTCTAAATGATAAAATTTTTGTATATCTAAATAAGATAAAAAATACGATTCATACTTATCAGGTGAACCAGTATCAGACCCAGCACAAACAGTAGCTGAATGTTTTTCTTTCATATCTGGTATTAATGATGATGAAGGTATTTTAATACGATTAAGATCATTACAACATTTGAATAATGGTTGACGACGTTGACGGTTGTGAAACATAGCTACATCTTTTAAAACCATATGAACTAGTTCAATTTTTCGTGTATTTATTAAACCACCAACGCCAATACCTTTATGAAGAAGAAAAAAATTTTTATTAATTTTTCTTATATAATTTCTTACGTGTTAAAAAATGTTCTTGATTTTGAAAATCAGCAACAGTCTATTAAAAGAAAAATTCTATATATAAATTTTATTTTAATGCAATGATTTACTTCAATTGGTTTTTGTGTATTACGATTACATAAAACAACAATACTTGGTACACTACTTAATATTGTTCGTAGATCTTTAAGAAATGTACCAAAAAATGGTACAACTTTACATGTTGGAATATCTAATGCTCGACTAACAGCATCACAATATTGAGGAGTTTTTTCATTTGAATTAAATGCATCGGTAAGAAATTTAAAACCTGGAATTTCATCAGTTATTGTTAACCACAATGGACGAAATGCTTCAATTCTAAATATAGAAATTTTAAACCATTATAATAACATATTGCGAAAAAAAAACAATTTTTTGAAAATATCTGACTACAAACTCTTCGAAAAGTAGTTAGAGAAATCTGTTTATATAACTTTCGATACCGCCGTTTTACAACGATGAAAATCACGGCTCTCGAAAAATATCAATTCGCTTCAATAAATTTAAAATAATGAATAGAACATACTTTAATCCAGCTAATATTTGCATAGCACTATTAAAATTTCCCATATACCAACAAGTAATAGCACATCGAAGTATAGATGCTACAATTGCTTTACGTTCTTGAAAGCTTGCTTGTGAAACAATTAATTGTTGAATAAATGATCCAACCTATAAATGAAAACAAAAATCGAATAGTAATAATAAAAAATAATTATAAAATTTACAGCTTGAAAACGTTGTACAAGAATTCGAATACTTTTTCCTTGTGTGGAAGTATCATTTGCTGCTAAGAATGACATATCAAGTGTTAAATGCCTCAAGTATTGTAATGGTGGCACACTAAGAAATATTTCATGTTCAATTTCAGTTAAACGCATAGCAACTTCTTCAGGAAAATCAAATAAATATTTTAATTCTTCCAGATCAGCTGAAAAACATAATGGTTGAGTATTATCCGATGGATGAATATAAGATGAATTCATTAATATTCCAGATATTGTTGTTGTACGATTTGTTTGCATTAAACGTGTTAAATTTTGTATATGATCTGTTGTTGATATATGTTGTTTAGCATGATTATTTGATGAATTTTTATACATATCAGTTATTGTTTGATAAGGATTTTTATTTGAATTTATTAATGTTGATGTAAGTGTCATACGACGTCCTGTTTGATGTGATTGAGAATATCGACGCATGGATGGATTTAATGGAACATGTTTATCAAATAGAGCACAATTTTCGACATTAACAATTTTCCATAAATAAACAGTTATAGCACGTAAATCAGCTGTATTATTTAATTGTAAACGCCATTTTGTTTTATTACGAAATTCTAAAATAAGATCATTTGTACCAGCACTTAAATGATGACCACTTGTTATCCAATGTTCAAGATCAGCAATACGTTGTTCTTTATAAATAATACGTGTTTTCATATCTAATAAACATATTTTATCTGATCGAATACATAAAATTCGATTTCCCTTAAAAGAAAATATATATGTATATCGATTTGCTTTAGTTTTATTATTAACAAACTTTTCTTTTTGATCGTTTTCCATGAATTTCTTTAACAACATACATTTCAGCATTATAAGATGATAAATTCCGACATAAACGTACATAACATTCTTTTAAACGTGCTGGATTATCATAATCATTTATATGAAATAGTTTTCTTTGTTTATCCTTAAAACGAAAAATTAAAATAAATAATGAAGATGTTTTTTGTCTATTTACTTTAATTAATTTAAGAATTTCATTGCTATGACGAAAATCTGGTGGAAGAAATGGTTTTTTTGATTTATGTATACTTGAATCTACACGTTTGCAACAAGGTATATCAGTTAAACGAAATTTAACTAGATTACGACGACGACGATCACGCCATGATGATGTCATTGAATGTAAACCAGAAATACCACTTGTACCTGTTAGTGATGTTGGAGATGTTTGATCATTTAATTGTAAATTTAATGTATGTAATTCATCTTCTAAAAAAATAAATTAGATAAAGACTTATCATTGATAAACTCATAAAATATAGTCGTATCTTAAGTATGTCACGAAAAAGTTTTAGTTTAAATTCATACTCTATGCTCCTATTGGTATACATATAAACCTGCTTGTCGCTATCTTAATGTTTGGTTATCGTAATATTACCAGCAAGATTACCTTCAGCAAGATCAAGATTTTCGTCTGGCCATGCTTCCAGACGTAATTGTACAGCAGCTAATGTTGCGGCTTCTTCTTTCGAACAAATTAAACGACCAGAAACAATATCACGTTGCATTTTAACATATTCTCGATAAATATCTTCAGTAGTACAATCATCCATTTCTGTACCTAACGGTGATTCTACATCCTATTAACGAAAAGAAAATTTATTTAGCTTTCTTTTTTTGAAATAAAATCAAATCATTTACTTGTAGAGAAAGTATTTCTTTTATTTGACTTGTCCAACTACGAAATGAACTACGTAATGATTCAAGTAGAGTAAAAAAACTTCGTAATTCTTTTTGTACAAGATAATCTAGAAATAAATGATATGAGAAGAAAATTATAATAAAAATTTAATTTTACCTTGAAAATCTTCAGGTGATCTTAATACCCAGTTAGCAATAAGAAAAAGAACTTCATTGCCTTGTTTCGTAGCTGTATCTTTTGTAGTTGCAGCCATAATAAGTGATTTTAATGAATGTTGTTTATGCACTGGTGATGAACAACTAAAAAGTGATTCTTGAGATTTATTTATCTCATTCTTTCCATTGCTAATTAATTGTGGTGGTGCTGATAATTGTGTTGTAATTGGTTGTTGTGGTGATAGATAAGTTGAAAGTGAAGATCCTGTACTATCTAATGAATGTAATGATGCAACATCAGTATTATTTGGTTGATGATTTGGTATTATAGCCGGTATTATTGATGTTTCATTTAATAAATCAATTTCTTGATGATTATGATGATGATGATGATTATTCGATGGTAAAATAATTCCATCGGCACATGAACGACTACGATGTAAACCATCAATATCAAGTGGTAAATGTAATCCTTCACGATTTAAACGTGTATGTTTAGGTTTTTGATTTTGATTATTATGTTTACTATCAAATGAAGCTTTAGTATGACTCTGACGTTTCGATTCAGATCGACGATCAAGTAACGGTGTTTGTTCACTATGACTTATAAGTGGTGATTCAAAATGATTATTATTATCATTCATTAAGGATTCAGTTACAATTGGTTGTGAATGTGATAGCTGATTATTCATAACTGGTGATGAAGATTTTTGATTTGATGAATTTCGATTACGTACAGAACGATTTATTGATCCATTATTCGTATTATTACGTGTACTTGACATATTGTCGAATGTTTTTGATGAACGAAATAAACTTTTTACAGTTTCACGTACAGACATACGTGTATTTGATAAAGAACGTTGCTGTTGATTATCTGATGATGATAAATGTCTTGATGGAGTACTATTATGACTTGATGATCGATTACTATCATCAGATGGAGTGCGTACAGCAACACATGGAATATTTAGTGTTGTCAAGAGACCACCACCACTGTTTTCTGCTAAAGATGATGAAGCTAAAAATAAAGACAAATTAAATAAATTATGTTTTTCAATTGACTTCTTTTTGTCACTTACAATCATTATCATTTAGTTTTGATTTATATGAATTATTTTCTTTTGTTTGATCAAATTGTGTTGTAAAATCATAATTTAGACTTGTTGGACTTGGTAATAATGGATTTTGTGAATCACTTAATTGAAATGATGGTAAATTTAATAATTCTTTTTCTAATAATTTTATTTCTCCAACACCAGCAACATTTGTTACTGGATTTAATGTTGATTGGTTATTATTTGGTGATCCTAATGTATCAGTTTCAACAATAGCTTGTAATAATGGATTTCGATCATTTGGAATATTTGTTGGAGTACTTTTTTCTGAATTTCTCCAAAACCATTTACGTGACGATGTTGTCGATTGATTAGAAATATTTGTTGATGATGATGATGATATTGGTGATGTTAATAATAATGATAAATCATTTGTATTTAATCCAGTAGTTGATGATGTTGATACCATTGGTTGATTATTCATATTATTATTAGCAGTTGAACTTTGAGAATTGGTTGACGCTATACCAGATATAGATGGACTTGGTGTTGTATTTTTTGATGATTTTCGATGTTTATCATATGTTGAATGTGTAAATTTTGTTAATAATGATGAACGATCATTTGTTGTATTTGATGAAAATGTATCTTTTGTTAATGAACTACGTTGTCGTTTGAATGGATCTAATTTTGGTAATGTTGGAATAGATGCAAGTGCAGATGTACCTATATTTGGTGTTATAGTTGGATTAACAGTTTTAGTTTCATTAATTTGTATGGGATTTGGTATTGGAGGCGGTGGAGGATTACTTGTGACTGCTTTTTTTTTAAATAATGGTGTAAATAAACGATGCTCAAGTAAACGAAGTATGATAACAGGATGTATCACAGATGATAAATATGAAAGATTATAAAGGAGATTATCACTTGAATTCATCATTGGTGATGTTGAAGTTGAAGTTGGACTTGTAACACCTTGAGAGAGATCTTGAGATTCTTTCGATGTCATTTTTTTTTGATTAATTCCATTCTAAAATTTCACAAAAAAAACATTAATAAAGTTTTTTTTTGGTTCAAAATATGTTAATATACTTTAAGTAATTCATCAAGTAATTTTTCAATACATATACCAGCAAATGATGTCCATAATGTTCCAACAACAGTTTCACCAACAGCCATATGATGAACAAAATTATTTTCAAATGATTGTGGTTTATCACAATCAAGTGGTTCTGGTTCAACATCTAATTATAATAATAATAAAAACATTATCTGTGATAAATAATAGTCTTTATGATCGCTATTCCTATACTTGAACAACATAGCTTTCTCATCTTGAATTCTTTTTATATATTGAGATCGATACTTCAAATGTTAATCAAAATGACTAATAGTTCTATTATTGTAGTAATTGTCGACATAGATACTTATAAATACCGATTAAGATCAATAGTAATTGAAAAAAAGAATTTCCTTCTTATTGTTTTCTTTTTCTTTGGAAATTTGGTAAAAATATAGCTCGATTTTAAATACGATTAAAATTTATGTAATAAAAGAAGAATAAGAAATGACTATCGGAAGTATCTTATCTCTTCACAGTTGGAACTATTCATCTTCGATGCAGGAATCGGAAGTACTCGTATATTTTCGAAACAATATATCTTTTATTCTTCAGATTAAATTAAGAATGTACTTAAGCTTACCAAGTATATCGAATAGGTTAACTTTATTGCTAACTTTTGTAAGTAAACCCATATAAACAAGTATTCTTGCACCAAGATGTTTAACATAGCGAGCAAATTTCGTTGTTTGATTTGTATAAAACATTTCATCAGCTGGTAAAATTAAATGTAAAACAGTATCGGGTATATCTGCTTGTGTTAAAACTTCATGAGAATCAGGATTTAATGCCACAACTCCCAATGTTTGTAAGATTAAACAGATTAAATGCTTAGAAAGAAAAAACAAATATAAAATATGTTATTAATCTAATCTAATAGCAGATGAAGAGAAAAGACATGTCTCAATCTCATATAGATATATATATATGTATTTTTTCTACACATACAAAAGAATGTTTTTCTGATTAACATTATCTAGATAATTGAATTTTGATTTATTTCTCTTTCGATCTAATTGAAGATAGAGGAAAAAACGACAGATATGGCATCATTTTTTTTTCTTGGTGCATCTATCAAATATTTACCGGATCATTATTAATATTCAACATATCAATAATAATAGCTAAATTTTCTTTTGTACTAATAAATCGCATTTGAAATGCATGATCTTGACAGAGTACGGTTAATATACGTGCAGCTAAAATAACAACACAATGATGTGTACATAATGGTGAACGTGTTGATGGTACACATTTAGGTCGATTATTAAAATCACGACGATGAGCATCTAAACGTGTACGCATTAAACGTAAAAGATGTATTGGTTCAATTTTATATAACAATGAAAATGGTTCATATGTATAAACAGTATTTGAATTATCATCGGACGTTGTTGATGTATTGTTAATTGGTGAATTTTCAGAATTAAGTAAATGAGATTTTGATGCACTTGAAGGGGATGCTTGAGGATTTGTTACATCCGAAGATGATAGTTTTGCTCCTTGAGATAATGAGATGTTTGGAGATGATGACGGAGGCGGTACAGACGAAGAAGAAGATGCAGGAGCAAGATTATCATTACTATACAGTGGAATCCATCGTTTTGATGCTTCACGTGTTAAATGACCAGTATTCCCACTAGTATTTCCACTATTATTATTGTTACCACTACCACTACCACCACCTCCACCAGGTCCTGGACCAGATGTTTGTTGTGTTGAATTCGATGATAATTTTGAATTTGAATAAGCATTTCCTCCCGTTGCTGCAGCTGCTACTGCACGTTTTTCATCTGTTTCACGAGAGATTTTACGTAAAATACTTGATAATGTTGATGTTTTTGGTAAACGATCAGTTCCAGTTTTAATTTCATCACATGGATTTGAATTCGATGTAGATGAATTCGTATTTATCATTGAATTTAATGTTAATTGTCGTCTTGATGGTGGTATATAACATGCATTATAACGACCTGGATTTATTAAATTGTGATATACATATACATCATATAAACGATTTATTGTTATTAATGCAAGATATTGCATATTGACCATATCACTTGATAATAATTCCAATGATATGTCCAATAATTTTTTAGTATGTACTTGAAATTTTTCCACATGATCACGTTTATCATGATTGCGTAAAAATTCTTGATAGCAAGTCTAAATGATAATAGGTAAATATTATATAGATGAATTGATGATATATATTTAAAAATTTGATATATGAAACAAACCTGTGCAGTCATTGATAACAACAAAAAAAAATAAGAAAAACTTTATATCAATAATAAGTGCAATCAAATGATACTCTGTTTGCTATGAATGACAATAGTTAGATAGATAGAGAGATAGAGATAGATAGATATATAGATTGTCTATCTATCTATTAGAATCTCTCCTTCCCATTTTCAACGAAATGATTTGCTACTCGCTCTATTTCTCTTCTATTCTTCTTTTGTCGTAGTTGTTGACGCGCGCGCTCGTTGCTCTTCCGCTTGTCGTGCTCCGGACGAACGTGACGCTGTGCTTGTACTTTCTTGCTACGATAGTAACATGAGAAAATCATGTTATACTCTGTTTAACATTGATTTTGACACCCTATGATTATCAGACCTTATATATCTTAAAGTAATATTATATGAAGTAAACGATTTTCAATACTTTATATGATGTTATTATATATTTTCATGCTTGCTTTCTTAAGTTTTTTTCCTTATGATAAATAGATTGCTTTCTCCTGGGACTATTTAGTTGTTACTATCCTACTCAATAATGATGTCTACATGTGTGTGACATTCTCTCGAGTTTTTCCTCTTCATGTATATAAACTACCTGTCTTTATAATAATCTGTTGATGTGATATGGATCAGTGCTATTTTCCCTTTTCTTTTTGTCTTTTACAACACTTAGCTACCGGTGCTAATGGGCATATATAGTAATATATTATTTATTTCTTTTTCCATCTTGAGCACATTTACTTAATTGTATAATATGAGGAGAAGGAGAAAGAGAAAGAAAAGATTATTAGACAAGAAATATTGTTATTGTCTTTTCCTCTCTCTCTTTTTTTTTATTTTTATTTGTCATGTAAACTCTAAATATTTAGTATTAATATAAAATCTTGATTCAAAGAAGAAGAACAAGAACAAGAAAAAATTATATATTCGAGTTCAAATTTTCTTTCTTTTGTTCGTTTTCCGTTATAATTATGACGTCACTACATCATCTATTTTCATTTAAAAAGCAATAAGTAGCAACAAATGAAAAAGAACAAAATAAGTTCGTCATGGGAAAAGAAATAAGAACGATGGCGGAAATGATTCAACAACAAGAATAACCACTCTCATTTATATTCATTTGTAGCATATATAACGAATAAACTAAGAGAGGGGCAATAAGAAACATAGCTAGACAATCTTTTGTATCATATATTGATCGTACTTAGCCATTCATATAGAAAATAAAAAAATATTGATCAACATCTTCCTACGCATAATCCACTGTTAAGACTATATGAGTGTAGCACAGCAGATAGCATCATTAGTTGCAATTGCTTCTAGTGTCACAATAGTGGAACGTTATAGTCTTCTTCTTCATCATCTTCGTCTCTTCATTAATCCCCTTTTTCTTTTGTCCTATCTACATATACTGTTATATAAACATATTCAGACTCTTTGTGTCGCTTTTTGTTCTTTTATATGATAGATAAACAAGCATCAGTAGAGCGCATGAATATATATATAGATATATATATCCCTAACCTAGTGATTATTATGTTTTTGATGATCTACCCACGGTTGACTCTTTCTTTTTCTCTCCTATATCATCCATCCTTCAACATTCACTCAACAATAAGATGTGTTAATAACATCACAGAGTATATAGACAAACATGACTCAGCAGGTTGTGTCTCTTCTGATTCTTTATGAAACGATAACTATTGTTATGATGATGATGATGATGGTATAATAATAGTCAATGCTAATCTAAATAATTCCATATCTCATGAATGTTCATTTTATGTAAATAAAAAAAACTATTAATTTACTTATAGAATGTATTGTTTTTTTTCAATTATTATTTATTGATGATTATTTTATTGAGCATGAAAATAAAACATAGAAATTTATCGTTTCATTCTTTTCAATAGAGATAGAAAGCTGAAATAGAAGGGTTATAGAGCATTCACATACGTTGTTTGAAGGCTAATCGAATTCCAAGTCATCGGGTGAAGCATACACAAGCGTGTGAGTGAAGTGAGGGTCGACTATACGTCGTTAGTAATGAAGTAGATGAATAGTAAACAACAATCACAATATTTTTATGCATAGCCTTGTTCGAACATCTTTTTCTTTTTCATTTTATTTATACTATTACAAATCTAGGATATGGATATATATATATGATCTTGTTTGCATTTATAATTATACTATGTTCTATTTTCATAAAAATAACCTTCAAATCTTTTCGTTTAACAGTTTATTATATTAATTAATAACGAAAGAAATCTTTACTCAATTAATTCAAATGACATTCTTATTAATGTTTATTATAATTGAAATAGACATGAATGTTCTGTTTCAGACGAATATTAGTAAATAGATGTACTACTATTCTTAAATATATCGAATTTCAATAGAGGGCGTCATATATTATATGTATTGTATAAAAATTCAAGATTAGAATTTTTATTTAGAAATATATTCTGCGTCATCTACTCGAAACTAAAAATCTAAATAACATACTATAAAAATACATAGTAGCAGGCTAATCTATTTGTCAAAGTTCAATTAGTAAATGTATTCATTCAATGACGATGATATAATTATAAATTTTCGAATTTGTAAAAGCTTCTGATCTACTTAGTGAGTACACAAATATCATGTTTCACTTTCAAATAGTCTCTTTTTTTCATTAGAGAAAAAAGACTTGAAGAGACGATTTTAATATATTCAGTACTAAACGAGAGTATATTTATAGAAGAAAACTTTTTGTTTATTCCATATTCTATAGATTATCAAATTCTATTGCGTACGCAGAATTGTATTAAATTTAGCTTCGTTCTATACGATGTTGATTTTAGTATGCCATACATCAGTCTAAATCTAATACAATTCTGACTATGCACCAGACTTTAATGATCTATATCATATTATAAATAATAGCAATTTTTTGTTTTTTACAAATCTTCACAATCTACAGTGTCATCAAGTATCTATGTAAAACGTATAGTTATCAAACAAATTTTTTCTTTTGTTTCTATATTAATATATATGTAATAAAGATGAAATACTTACATTAAGTAATGTATGAAGAAGTTCGGCAATACGTGCATGTACTTGTGATGATGTTGCTTGACTTATAAGATTTAATATTTCGTCCATTGAATTTTGCATACGCAATAAATCCATCAATTGATCGATACATTCGCTATTAGTCGCAAGTCGACTTAATTCAGAAAATCGTTTAAAGAGCCGATCATTGAGCGCATGTGCTATATAAACAAGAAATAAACATAAATAATATATTAAGAAAAACCCAAAAGGAATATGAAATAAGTATCATAATATAACAATACTTAGAACAATAACAACATGAATAATAATAATAATAATAATCATAATAACTAATCGTAAAAGCTATGACAATACGACATGTATCCATCATCCAGTAGATTTTCTTTCTATATATTTCTTTTTTTTGGCTTGGAGGAGGAGGAGGAGACACGTAATAAATAATCAATTGACTAACTCAAAAAAACGTAAAGAATATGTCAAATGGTTTTTACTAATATAATTAAATAGTAATAACAATATACATACAAAGATAGATCAAGTTAGTTTAACTTTAGATAATAAAAAAACAACAACTTACTCTTTTAACAATTCAAAATAATAAAAACCATTGATTTTCTTTTTTGTCTTCTGTTATATTTATCATGTTATTATTAAAGATAGTATGATGAAGTAAGAAAAAGAAATTGATGAGACTAATGTTGACAACAATATTCTAGTTGACATATTCATAGTATTATGATGATCATTAAAAAAAGGAAAAACTCTCTTAGTAACTTTTTATCTTAGTTTTTTAAGTGACGTGAAATAGACGTGTGTAAATCTTATTCTTAGTATTTTAATAACATTTTAAAGGATTTTTATCGTCATCTAAACAATTCTATTGATTTGATTTCTTCTTAAATTATATTTAAGAGATCAAAAAAAGAACAACTATAGAAAATATTTTTCTTTCTCATTGTCAAATAGAGAAAACTTCTAGATCAAAGACATTCTTAACAACAACAACAAAAAAAGAATGAGAAATTGATCTATATCGAGTACAATATTTTTCCAGATGAATATTTAAACAAACAAAGCAGAGAAAAAAAGGGAACGTTTTATTATTTATTCTTTCATATACTCGCTGAATAGTAATAAATGATCTAATCTAACAAAATGAATAAAATATTCATCGTTCCATAGATAATAAATATGATGATATTATTTATATTCGTAATAGTATTTTGTTTAACATCATAGGACTTCTTATACTAGTTTTACAAAAATATGCATAGAAACCGGAAAGAGAACTATAGACATATTTCGAGTGGCAAACTAAAGAATAGTCAAAGAAAACATAAACATATGAGAGAGAGTAATAGCAACAAAAAACAAAGTTTATTAAGAAAAGAGAACTGAAGAATGATGGTGATGAGAGATATATACTTGAAAGATGCACCATAAGTATTGGATGCTAGTGCGATAATCCTATCGAATGACAATTGGTTTTTTTTATAGCTATAATATGCAATAGATAATAATAGCTTTTGAAAAAAAAGAGAGAAAAACTAATAGCAAAGAAGAACGTGCTGTAGTTCTAGTTTATTTAAAAATATTTAAATAAAACAAAAAAGAACTCTCGTCGTGCTCAAGTATTTTATTCTAAATGGATCATTTGTTAATATACTTACCTAAACTATATTCATTTATGTCTTTAGACAACACATATTCTATTAATCATTCAGACATGAATAGGTTTTATGTATATAATAAAGGGCAAAAAGAAAGCATAAAAGAAAATTTATTTTTTATTTATAAACGAAAATATTTATGGATGTTAGAAATGAAAAGAAATTAGCAAGTGAAAACTATTAATAATGATTTAGTAGAGAATTTTCTTCTGTTTTCTTTTTCTCGCACATAAAATGAACCAAAATATGAAAGGATGATGAAAACATCATCGGAAGTCACGGCCGCTCACATTTATATACGACGATAGAACAAAAACACCGCACTCGCACACATACACACGTTCATAATCAACCGTCCTTATCTGTGAGTCAGTGAAAATAGAACGTGAGTTTTCTCGTTTTTATTCTAGTTAATGAAATGATAGACATACATGTTTTAGATAATAATAGATGTAATATGAAGAATAAAGAGAGAAATAGAGACAATTTTGAAAGATGAAACTGTCTTGTGCTAAGTAAAAAAAAGAGAAGAAAAAAAAGAAAGAAAATTTCCTGATAAAAATTGGTAATTCCCAGTGTTTTTTTTTAATAATCGAAATCATTACTATTGACATACAGAAGAAGAAGAAGAACAATTTATATTTGAATTAGAGTAGGTGTATCACTTGTTATTAAAAAATAAAATAACTCTTCTTCTTGATACTTATTTGATTATGACATTTTTTATATGATTACTGACATTTAAAATGAGCTCATATGGAACAATCTAACTATCTGTCAGTATGCTTATATGTCTCAATAGACATTGAATTAACAAATGATTGTGTATGTATATTATAATATACATATATATAATCAGGAATTGTATGGTAAATGGTTAGAATATTATAGGAAATGATTCTTGACAGATTATTGTAAACAACTGGTGTGCGTAAGTATAGAAAACTGTATCTTGCTGAAAAGGTTGCAGCATCTGTCAAATCATCACAAATATATATAAAGTATAGTTAACTAACTTCTTATAACAGCGAATGAATCCGATCATTGTATACGACAGGGGCAATGACAATGATGGAACTAGAATAAACGTACTTGTCGATGAATTCAATAGATAGAGCGAAAAAAAAAGAGATCGTTTTAAAGCCAGAGGCAAAAGAGAAAGCGAGAGAAACATAGAGAAACAGAAGAAAGTGGTTCCGCAAATATAAACATGTTCCAATGAGAGGAGCAAAGAAGTGAGAGATCGATATAATTGGCGTTCTTTAACTCACTTTCTGCTGACGCCTGAGCGGCTGCTGCTGCTGCATAGTGTTGTTGTCGACGTGATGATTTATGAGGATGAAGAATGTTGACAGCCAACGATGAGGTACCATTCTAAAACGACACATATATAAATATATATATATAAAAAAATAAATGAGAACAGAAAGAATAAGATACTAAGAACAATGTAACTGATTATTTTTTTTTTATATTTCAACTATCATAAATACATCAAATAATGTTCTTTAATTACTCAAGAAAAGTTATTTTCTAGCCTATTAAACTAATATTAATTTATAATGACAAAATGGCAAACAATAGATAAAACCTTTAGGCATATTTATATATGAAAACAAATAAAAATAACAGGACTATAGCCCACTCAATCATACAAGTTTTGTTTAGTAAGTAAATGAATGACTCATTTAGATTTCAAATATTAGATATTTCAATTAGAATTTCGACATATGTCAAAAGATCATGAAAAGTCAATCATTCTATTTGATGTCTACATAGAAGTAACAGAAAAAAAAGTAATCTCTATAGATCACGCCTTTTTTTTTAATATTCATCTCATTCTTTTGTATATTGAAACAATCAAAAAGCTATTGTTTCAAAATAGTCTAGAATCAAATAGATTATTTGGATTTAAATTTATCGACACTTATATAAATGTTCATTTTTTGAAAAATTAATATAATTCTATCGACACTTTTTTTTGGTAGAAGCAAAAAAAAATATTAGTTTGTTCAAATGTCAATAAATCTTTTGCATATATATATATATAGTACTATAATCTTATCATATTTTGCTTTAAAAAGAAAGCTGTAACTATTTATATTTATACTGCATAGTATGGTAAAATCCCCAACAGAATTCTACACTTTATTAATGCGAATCTTTTCCGATCGAAGACAATCTTTTTATAGAACGAAGAAATGTTTATTTAGTTAACATGTATATATATATATATCCTCTAGAAAAACAACTTATGGCCTAAAATAATCCAAATAATAAATACAAAAAGAATCGATTGGAATATTTAATATATTCTCATATATATATATATTTTGTTTCATGCGTAAATGTAACAAAAGTACATTGTAAACTCTCAGATATTATCAAAATTAAGATCGCCATAGTCTACGATGAGACTAATCTCATGATTTCTATAATTAAAGAGAAAACATGTAGTCATTTTTCTATTAAAAGACATAAAATATCAATGTGATAACAAAAGATCCTTTTTTGTGTGAAAAAGTACATAGAAGTTAAATGTTTTATATAAAGAAAATTATCTTTGTCAATATATTCTCGACCTATTGTATGATATTTTCAAAATAAGTTTTTAGTAAAGAACAATTACTAATTTCAAGTACATAGGGAACATGGTTTGTATCAGATTGTGTCAAAGATAAACAAATTAGGTTTTTGGCATATAATAATAGAAATTTCTTAACTAGTTTTCTGATATTAAGCATATATCCAATTTCGAGAAGATTTTGTTGACCCTATTTTAGATTATTAACCTAGAATTATCATATCCATATCACTACCCAAAAAAAACTAATTATTTACAGATTTTTCTGAGTCAAAAGTAGTTTACTTCTAATATATTATATACATTCGCAAAGTTCGATTACCATAAGCAATCTATACGATTATTCCACATGATTGATGTAAGGAACGAGGCAAAAAAACAAAGTTTATATGATCAAATCAAGCAAACTCGAAGAGATCGAATGAATGCTTAAAATAATAAAATTATCTTAATTTAATCTCTATTATTGAATATTTTGTTTTTCGTAAAAACTTAATTTCAATAACTTACTTTACGTTTAATATTTGATGATCGTCCAAAATGTGGTATATCAGTATCATCACGTTCTTCTGAAACTTGTCGAGATTCACTACGACCAGCAGATGTTCCTTGTCCATTTGCTTGTAAATTACTTCCAGCTAATCGTTTAGATTTGCCAATAGAACTTTGTGATGAATAACTTTTTTTAAATGATTTCGAATCATAAGAATCACTGCCACTATATCGAAAAACACGTTTTAAATTTTTTAAACCATGTCCTGGAACTAAACCATTATTATTATTATAATTCATCATAGATGAAACTGTTTGATAATGATCATTATTATTATCACGTGATAAAAATCGATAACGTTTTGACATAGATGAATGTTTACGACATAATTTGTTAAATTCACGTTCAACGAATGTTATTTGTAATTGTTTAACATTAGGCCATAATGATAATGGTGTATCACCATATTTATTTGATATTGTTATACAAGCATGATGAGATATAAGTATATCACATACATCATGTTGTAAACGTGCAGCTAAATGTAATGGACTACAATATTGCTCATCACGTACATTTACATTTGCACCATATTTAAGTAAAAGTGTACATGCATAATGATTATTACGTTGTGCAGCAAGAAATAATGGTGGTAACGTAAATAAACGTTCATTAGTATAATAATTAGTGTAATCTAAAGTACCATTACGACATGGTGATGCACGTGGTAAATCCGGTGATAAACGTGTACTTGAATGTGAATATGTATTTGATGTTGGTGTTTGAGAATTACTTGAAGTATGTATTGTATTTGGATGCATACCGGATGCATTAGGATCAATACCATATTTTAAACAAATACGCATTACATCTCGAGCATCTAAATAAAAAACAAGAATAAGATTTTGATTTTTAATTCTTAATAATTCTTTCTCGATTAAGATCAATAATAGATTTCGATAATCATTTATCATCGTTATTTTATTCTCAAAAGAATACTTAAATATAAAAAATGAGACTTTTTTCTTCTTCTTCTTTATATTCTATTTCGTATCAATTAATCGATTTTATGGATATAAGAATCATAGTGACATACTTACCATACATAATAGCAACATGTAGAACATTTCGAAATATCGGTGGTGCATCATTAGGTGAATCACTTGTTGGATAAACTGATTCTTTATTTAAACTTGTTGGTGCTGTAATCATAGAATCATGTTCAGTTTCCATACGTTCATTAATTACTGATCCAATATTAAATGAAGATAGATTTGATATTAAATGATTATTTGAATGTGTTTGATTATGATAATTAATTAACGCTATTGCAAGTGGACCACTTGTATAGCTTAATGCATTATTTTGTGGTTCATATCCGGAATTAGTTTGTTCTGGTGATGATATTGATGGTAATTCATCAATATCATTACTAATCAATGCTTGTTTACTAACTGCTTCTAATAAATCAGTATTACTTGTAACTGATGGTGAACCAAATGATGTTGTTGCATGTAAAGGTGGATGTGTTGATGGTAATGGATGTAGGGGAAAACCTGATTGTGCATGTGCTAAACTTGAACGATCTTTGATTAAATTAAATTTATTTTGATGTATATCAATAATACGTCGTACAGTATATTTATCATTACTAATTATTGCTTTTTCAAGATTTTCTGATTCATACTAATTAAAAGAAAAGAAAAGATATTTTTTTTATAAATTAGATTAAGATATAATTTCATTAGTCGAATATTTACAGTCATGTCAAGAATAGAACATAAATCAGATCCATCATGTGGAGTAAAACGTACAACACTATTATTTGAAGATCGTCGACTATTATTTGTTGTTTCAGGTACATCTAAATAACTAGATGAAGATTCAGGATCCATAACAATACGCCAATATGGTGAAAGTGAACGTGATGAATTTGATTCATAATCAGATGCAATTGATTTCGATGGATAATTTTGTTGTTGACCATCAATTTCATCTTCAACAGGTGGTTGACGTTTAAGTTTAGGTGAACGTACACGACTTAACGGTACAGATAACATTTGAGACATTTTCATTGTACTCATAATTGATTTGTTTTACTGAGAAACGATATAAAAGAAATTTTGATGCATTTTACTGTCCTTGACCAGCCACCAACATGACCATTGCCAGCAATATTGAATGCCAGCCATTACCTAGAATAAGGAACCATACAATGATAATACAAACATGACAACTGTGTGTATAATGGGTAATGGTTCGTATATTCGATAAGATAAACAATGTTGCGTTTTTTCCACAGAAAGAACATAGCAAAAAAAAAAGGGAAAGAGAGAAAGGAAGAGAACAACCATCAAAGGTATCTATCTGAGAGAATGGCATTTCATTTTGTTTTGTCCTCTTCTCTACATTTGCCCTTCATCAATATCTGATCAATAGAATACTGATGTGTCAGTGATTTGGAAAGTGTATACGGAAAAGGTTGATCTGCTTAATACATGCATCTGAGACACACTCATTATTTTACATATATATGTACATATATATATATATACGTATAATATATATATATATTGACAACAAGTATAATCAACAATTTGATTCTATTCCTAATTCAATAATTACAAATAAAAGAATGGAAGGATAAAATAAAGAATATTTTTCTATCGTCCATAATTTTATTAAAAACTAATCTAATATTTAACAAAATAATAATGTCTAATCTATTTGTTGATTCGAATAGAAAAAAATATAAATAGAAGAATTATTTCTTTCTCTTTCTCTTACTATTGCGATGTTTTCTGAATATTATTAAATAAGAATAATCGGGCAAAGAGAAAATTTAAGAATACCCTTGCACACGTTTCGTGTTTAACTAAAAAAAGTCCTAATCATTATTCGTCGTCGTCATCGTCTTATTTACTCATTCATAAAAAACACGAGAACATACACACCTTGTATTTTTTTTCCTTTTTTTTCTCTATGTTTAAAGTTAACTATACATGTTAAAGTTGACTAACAAATGTAGTCATAATCATTACCGACCTATCAAACAAGGACAAACAAACTCAATGCCATATAATATTCTACCAAATTCCCCTTTATTCATTTTTTTTCTATCTAATACCAGATGCTTCCTCCTATTCATATACATCTATCTATATATACATACATATATATATATATATATCTGTCTTGTTCTATATTAGATATATGTACCTTTAGGGTGAAAAGATTACTTGGTATTGTCTGAATATAAAGTTTTTTCTCATTCGGATGTATATTTATGTGTCGCGTGTGATTGAATAGACTCTTCGTTAGATAAATAATAATATGCTGGTACTGCTAGTAATGATGATATGCCGCTAGTTATTTTTTCTTGAAAATATATACAAAAGAACGCACGGCTGTTACAAAATTGATGTGCGCATCATCATCATCATCATCATTGTCATTCTATCAGCTCTTTCAGAAAATGATCGGCACACGCATATATATATATATGTATATATATGTATACAATCTGAAGGTTTATACGACTCCACCTCTGAAGTTCTAATGTGCTGATAAATTGTTACAACATACTTACGACGACTGATGTCCATCTCTCTTAACATAATTTATTTATTACTAATCGTATTTTTTTCAACCTTGATTATATCGGATAGATATATTTACGGTTGCTTAAACATAAATCGTTCATGTCAAAAAATCATCCACGCTCATTCAATCGATCACAACACATCAAATGGGCGATAATAAGAAAAATAGCAGTTACATTTTTTTCTCTTCTTCTCATCGTTTCCTTTCTTCAAATTTTGTAATAGTAGTAGAACAATTTGTTTTGGACTACCAGAACGCAAGGATAGAAAAGAAAACTATCTATGAATGTCACTGGAAGCTATACTTTTCCGCTGTCCTTTTACTTTGTAAGGTCGAAAAACTGAATATACTGCTGTCGCCTTCGTTCTTTGTCATTGAAGAAGAAGAAAACGATATGTATACATCTTCCTAACAAAGACATAAAAAAAAGAAGCAATAAGAGGGTGAAGAAAAAGCTATCAACATACGATTTTAGATATGCTAAGTCAAGTATCTAATTTCTTCTTTCTCTCTTTTATATTTAGAAATGAAAACTTACATTAACACTCATAGCTTTGACAGAACTAAAGATAACAACCAAAAAAAAGAAATTTAGATGTCTTGCATTTTGACAGTACATATATTAAAAAATACAGAGAGCTAGATTACTACCATGCTCTGTCCCTTTTTTTTCTATCCTACTGATAAAGAATAATATGAATCCAGCTGACTTTCTTTCTTTGTATTTCTAGCAACTGCACAATTGATTTATAACATATGGAGATGCGATATTCTTTTCCTTTTTTTTTTGCTTTCTTTTCTATGTATTTTCTTCGATCAATCTTAAGCATTTCCAAAGAAAGGATATATGCCTGACTGCTTGTTCAGTAATATGCATATAATGATTTTGAGAATTATGATAATGATGCGAGAGAGAAAACAGTGTGACGGTGAATATGACGACAGCAGTTCGAGAGAAGATTACCTTGGGCTAGCTATACAAGTAGCTTGCCTGCGCGAATAGAATAAGATGCATCACTAGCACAAGAAGAAAACGAGAGATAAGAGGATTGCGACATCACATCTTCTTTTAGTATGCTCGTCTCAATGGAATTGACCTATTGGTGATAGTTATTCATTGTCGCCGTCGACGTCCAGTAGATGATAGAAATCATTCAATAGAAGCGAGAATATATATATATACGATAGTTTTTACGCATTTCAATAATTCGTCATCAATGTATTAGTTTGCCTCGCTTTCACTCGCTTACAAGCGACGCATCTATCGCACATTATACTTCTTACTAACAAGTACTCAAATGCTAAATGAGATTGTCCGCTATTGTGCTTTCTATGCTTAAATCTCGCGCGCGCGCTCGATGATAGCTGAATGTCAAATACCCAATTGGCTTTAGTTTACCGATGGGAAAAAGAACATCGCAAAGGACATAAAAGAAACAATTATCTCTTTATTTTTGGATAAATAAATTTTTTTTTATATGCATGGTTAATAGTAATGAAATAAAGAACATTGAGAAAACATAACAACACGTAGTTTTAATAAAATTTTTTCCTAATAGTATTTTTCTTTTCATTACATGTGCGTGTATACGCATCTTGAATCTGAAAGACATAAATAAAAAGTGACAACAAAGTTTTTCAAAGAAGTCTCTGATGGAGTTCAGTGACGCAGTTCGTGATAATAATTTCATGTTCTATTGATTCTCCTCCCTCTTCTCGTTAGTATATATATATATATATTGATATTATCTGTTAAAATATATAATAAAAATCTTAATTTTAAACTTACTGGGTTGAATATTTAAAATAAGTTTTCAGACAAAATGAACATCCGGCAAAAACATCAAAATATATGATTATAGTTATTTTGTTTCCCTTTTTACTTACTTTTATTTCTTTTTGTCACTGTCTCTGTCTCTCTAATGCATCTTTTCTTTCATTATAATAAAATAGTAAGGAAAATGAATATGTTACGACAACTACCCGCTAGGGTAGATTGAGTTAAAGAATTAGATGGAAGAAGAGTTTTCTGTTACCTTCGACCAGACACAACAGCAAGACAACAGAAAAAAAGTTAATCAAATTGATAGAGTGTCAGTTCTAGATCTCTATTTTTCACATTTTTTTCTTCTTATTTTTATTTTGATTCTATGACATTCTTTTTTTTTCTCTATCACTATTTTTTCCTTCAACAATTATTGCGTGTTTTTCTTTCAATATTTCAATAGGCATATAAATAATAAGTTGAAATAGCTCTAGCATCTTTCGACAAGATGACATTGACATCATAAACCTTGTAAATATATATATGGAATTTGTCAAATATTTTTCATCGTTTTTTTTATCTCTCTATCATATGATCTTCATACTTATCCGATGAACGAGATATAATAGACTCTATATAGTTAAAAAATGATACGTCCTCATCATTTCTATAAATATAACTGTAATTAATTATCTATTAATCTACCGAATAGATCTCCTTTCATCTTATAGATGTAAAAGCAACTAAACTGTTACCGTATGATGATTATCTGGAATTTCTGTAGAATGACGATGGAGAACAAAAAAAAATATTCCAAATGTTATTTTTACTTTCTCGATAATGATGTATGATAACGTTTTACATACCATACTAGATAGTAAACTGCTTGTCCATAATGATCCCTGTTGGCAAGCAAATAGGCGAAAAAAAAGAGAACGGACGAAGAGAGATGGCAACTGCTGAAGATGACCACTCTGAGAATATTTGCGTATATATGTATGTATATGTATGTGAACTATTACTTCTTTTCTCTTTTCCTTCTATTCTTAGAGTGTTGATGGCATTAGAAGAAGAATGTATACGGAAGGATTATATGAACGGAACCGTATCGATAACTGCCAATATAAGACAGAAGAAGAAATATGTGGTAACAACAGACATGATCAATTGCTCCCCCCCCCTTTTCTCTCTCTCCCTCTCTCTTTCTTCGTTTCTTTTGATTCATATTTCTTTTCTTGTCTTTCGTTCTCGTTTTTCCGTACTTGAAGTGGATTAGGATTGATTTTCTCTCTCTCTCTCCTTCGTTCTTGTTTCTATCTGTCTAAGTAGTATTCTAGTAACAACAGTAGTCGTACTTGTATATAGTCATAAGAGGAAAAGATCGGCATATTTCTATATGTATGTCGCATAGACATGCGTACATTGAACGCAAAGAACGTTAGACAAGTTTGTGCAATCAATCTTTGTCTTTTGTTGTTGTTTCTATATGGTTATATGTGATTGACTGCACGATTGTTCTAGCAGAATGCACACGATCTTAACATATACATTCATATTAAACGAGAGGAGAAGAGACAAAGCGAAGAATAAAACAAAATCACTAAAAATCGATTGTTTCCATTTAAGCAAATCGAGAGGATGGGTACTTACAAATGTCATCTGTCTTGATGTTCAGCCATCATAGTCAGTCCACTTGTATACTCTTATGTATATACATTGTCTAATCAGCGGATCGCGTCTTCTTTCACATGATTGCATGTTCTATCTTGTCAGTCTACATTCAATAATAATTTGAAGAAAGTCTCAGCAAGACACTAACTATTCTCAAGTTTCATTTATGATTGTTTGTTATAGAATGTATAAAGATTTTTGTTGTACTACTTTAATATCAAAGATAAGACAGTTACTGTAAGCATGTTTAGTGACACTCGATCATCTGAATCTACTCATAATAAAATAAGAATGTGTAATTCACAAAAAAAAATACAGATCGACATAAGTATCATTAAAACTTCTTTTTTTTTCTCTTTAAAAATACTTACATTAAACTATTGCAATCTTTTTTTGATAAATATAATTTCTATTTTATACATGGCATTTAGACATCTGTTCTAGTGAATATAACGAAAATATTTGCAATTATGTCACCTTTAGGAAATGTTGTATGTTTCACACAAATAATATATATATATACGTGTGTGGGAGTGTGTCAATAAAAATAGTTTTCAAATGATGCTCAAGTTCATCTAAGTATAAACACGAGAATAATAATTAAATCAAAACATTTCATTATTAAATATACTAAAAAATAATGTTCTTTCTTTTAGAAAAATTTGCATAACAATTTTATAAATTGGCATGAGTATGAGTACACATATAAATTTTTGATATATTTACAGATTTATAGAGTACCTTTTATAACACGTTTAATAAAGAGAAATATCCATTTTCTTTGCATGCTTTAAGGCGAAAATATCGAATAAAAAAATTCTCATTAACATAGCGTGAGTAGTTTTGTTCCTCTTCGAATTAACAATTACACATTCAACTCCGTTTACATAATTATTTGCATTTTATATTGATAGAATATCTCTTTATAATATAAAATAAGAATCAAGATAAATCTGCTTGAATATAGCAACAATAATAAATCAATATTCAGCTAAAAACTTCTTCTATATCGAACATTGTACTCTAATGGTATATTAAACAATCATATTATGCTTAGAGGTCAGCTATGTTAATGATACTAGTGATGCAATGGGTTAGTGAAGAAAAGCCACATACTGGATAAGAAAAGAAAGCTTATATTAGTTGATACAAAGAAGATATATAATCTATATATTATTGAGATATTAGCAAAAAGCTTGATCTTCATTAGAAACGTTAATTTACATTCTTAAAATAAATGAGCCTTATCAAAACCATATGTGAAGGCAAACTATATTGAACATTAATCATTAATTTATTTTTCAAAACTTAAAACAATTAAAAATCTAGGTGCTTGTATTTCTGTATGAAATAATTTCCAGTAATAAACTGTATAATCGGGAATTTCCTATCGACACATATTAATGAGATGTTATATGCAATGCTATCTTTTCAGTTCTTTGTACATTAAAATTCTATTTATTAGAAATTTGCCCATTAGCATATCATATTATTTCTAAGATGTATCAGTCAGTTTTAGAATCTCTTGTCTTTTTAATGTAAGATTGATTAATATACGTCTAAATATAACCTCTAATTTTCTAATTTAAATTTATTAGCGCCCTCTTTTTTTAAATATAAAATTTTATGAATCATTATTATTCTTTCTTTTAGCCATTTTATTTATTTGTTTTCTCTCAATATTATCTCTACGAAAATAAAGCAAAAATATTGTATTTTTCATTCATTTGTACTTTTCGACATCTACAATTAAAGTAGATAGCGCTATAATCAATGTTAATAAAAACATTGTTTATACCGCTCAATACAATAACATTGTATCGAAAATCAGAACGAAAGTACGGAGGAAATAAAAATCTAAAGTAAATAAAACATTTTTTTTTCTTCTTCTTTTTCTTTCTTCTAATCAAATGCTAATCTTGACTTTAGATTTAAGACATGAGAATATGTTATCTACGTGCTTTTACATTTATTTTCAGATTTGATATTTCTTTATTTCAACTAGATATAAAATTCATAATACATAATGATTGAAATATATTAATGTTGAAACGATTGAAAAATATTTTTAATACACCCAATGGTGATGAAACAATTAATATAAAAAATTCTTTATTAAAAAAGAAATGTTTATATAAAGAACAATCACCATTAAATGAATGGAAATTAATTAAAGAATTAGGTGATGGAGCATTTGGAAAAGTTTATCAAGCTTATCATGATCTAAGTAAACAATATGCTGCAGCGAAAGTTATTGAAGATTGTACTGATGATGAGTTACCTGAACATACAATTGAAATAAATATTTTATCGGATTGTGATCATGAAAATATCATTGGATTTTATGATGCATATTATTATGAAAAAAAATTATATATTTTTCTTGAATATTGTATATATGGTGCTGTTGATCATATAATGACAACACTTGAACATGGATTAGATGAAAAACAGATACGTTTTATTGGATATGAAATTTTAGAAGCATTAGATTATTTACATACACAACAATTTGTTATACATCGAGATGTTAAAGCAAGTAATATACTTATAACACAAACTGGACAAGTTAAATTAGCTGATTTTGGTGTTTCGGCGAAAAATTCTCAACAAGATCAAAAAAGAAATGAATATATTGGAACGGTTTACTGGTATGAAATAAACATATATAGATAGATTAGCCATATTATAATTATTCGAAAGGAATCTTCTCTTAAAATGAATGTTGAACTAATCATATTGATCTTCTGTTAAAGATTAGATCGAATTATTATTGAAAGAGTAATATTAGCTTGTTCGTAAAAAGAGCGTAGTGGAAATCGCACGATTTATAGATTTTTAATTGCATGTCAAAATGAATTCTTTCTCACAAGAGAAATATTATATTTGTGACAAGTTATAAATGTAAACGATTATGTATTTTTCTTCATCATTGATTGATAAAAACATCAGTAATAGAGACAAAAATGAATTTTGTTTTTTTGAAATTTATCTTTTCAATTCATAATAAATGATCTTGTATATCAATCATTCGAATCAAATGAAATAAAACTCAATTAAAAAAAATCATTTATTTTCGACTCAATCAATCATATATAACGTTTTCGTGCATATAGAAATGACAATATATATTTAGTAGGAATTAAATGTTCTCAATTATGTAGAAAAAAAACAATATATCATTTAAAGAAATATGTCATATTTAAAATTCTTTCGGTTTTTTGTTTTTTAGGATGGCACCAGAAGTATTCTTTTGTGAAGCTAGTACATATAATACATATGATTATCGTGTGGACATATGGTCATTTGGTATAACATTAATTGAAATGGCTGAAATGGATCCTCCATATCATGAAATGCGTCAAGAACGTGTTGGTGCTAAAATTCGTCAAGCAGCACCACCAACATTAAGAGATATTCGTCGATGGAGTACAGATTTTAATAATCTATTATCATGTTGTTTAAAACGTAATCCATTGGAACGTTTAACATGTTCTGAATTAAAACAACATCCATTTATGTTAAATGCTAAATCAGTTCATTCATCCATACTTTATCTACTTGAAGAATATAAAGCAACACCAGTTGTTGAAGTTGTTGAAGAAGATATTATTCTACCTACATCTCAAGTAAAATTATTTTACTTTTTTTTTTTTTAATTTTTCTATAATATTTATTTTTAGTCAAAAAGTGATATAAAAAGTGAACATCGTCTTTCGAAAGGTTCAATTACTGAAGAAGAACTTAAAAAATATTCTGTTCCATCAAATACTGCTCTATCTGATGATGAAGATAATGATGTTGATGATGATAATCATTCGTCTATAGCTGATGGAGATATTGCAACATTAACTGATGATATTCAACAAAATGAACCAGCTATTGTACTTAAACAAGTTCGACGTTTATCAAGTACTGAAATGGAAACAATACCACCTACACTACCAATAGTAGTAGTCACAGACAATGATGCTAAATCAAATGAATCGAACAAGTATGTTTATTACTATAAGTGTATTATTTTCTATACAAAAAAAACCAAATAGATTATGGAACTATTCTATAGTTGAGGAAATAATATTTCATAACTATTATTTATTTAGTCATATGTTTATGTTAAAAACTACTTGAATATATATATGCATATAATGTTCATAAGAATAATAGATCATAACTTATAGAAATATTTTCAATTGCTTCGATGTAAAAATAAATATTATACATGATTTCATCATATCTAAAATAACAAAGTATACTTTCATTTTTCGAAACAAAGAAAGGATATTACTTTACTTTAAAACATAAAATTTTTTTTTCTTTAAACTTAATCATGGAAAATAATATGTTTAGTATAACAAATAAACCACCACAAATTCCAGCAGTAATCTCATCGATAAAACCTTCGTCAAATAAAGCTCCAAAAATACCAGCACCACTTTCGAACAGTACTACTAATCCTGTAGTAATGACTACTCCATTTGCGCCGTCAAAATTACGAGCTGCATCTGAACCAAAAGAATCAGCAAAAAATTTAAAACTTCCAGCATCATCATCACCAACACCAATTAAACGTCTTACACCAACTCCAGCACCACCACCGCCACCACCAGCACCTGTAATACCCATTGTCAATGGGCATAAAAAGAAAACTTCGCTACCAAATACACAAAAAGTTCCATCACCAGAAAAAGTTAAATCTACAAATAATAAACCTTTACCATCACCAATATTTGTTCCTCCACCAACAATACCAAATCCAGCTATTGCTCGTGCTGCTGCAAATATTGAAGTAGGCCGACTTGAAATGGAAGATTTAGCTCAAAAAGAATTAACTATTATTTATGAATCTTATATTAATGATTTAATTGAAGAAGTTATACAATCAGATTTTGAAAAACCATCTATTCCTGAAGTTATACTTGCTGTTATTACTGATTTAACAAATGATGATGACGATGATGATGATAAGGATGACCCTAAGCATTTAAATGGTTTTAATCAAATTTACAATTTTAGTCAAGATAAATTACGTTCATCATCACCAACTATATATAGTAATAATAATAATAATGGTACAGCACATACTGATATTGATCCTTATTATGCACGTGCAAGTCAACTAACAGCAGCAAGTACAAATGGATTAAATAATCATGATTCTGTACGGAGTACAAGTAGTTCAATTCAAAGTATTGGTGTAATAACAGGACCGGATCCAGCAGCGACATATTTACAAGTAAAATTTATATTAAGAGGAAATAAATCTTATAAGTTTTTTTTTAGACTCGAGCAACACGTCGTCGTACTATTCGAACCACACGAAGATTTGTTGGGCCGGATGGTAAAGAAGAAGAAATTGTTACTACTAAAATTGTTGAACCACATAATGATTATCAATCTCGATTGTCTGAACGGTAATATATTTATAGAAAAAAAATATTATGAATATATAATGAAGAATTTCAAAACAAATCTCACAAATCTTATTTATATATTCAAATAAAACCTTTTTATATTTTTCTTATAGAAAATTGTAGTTTCTCAGGAGAACAGAAAGAAAAAAAGTTTATTTGCTCTTTGTCTACGTCCTACGACATATTATATTTCTCATTTATGAAAAACGTCTCCTTATGATAGTTCACCTTTAATTTCATAACTACTTCTGTAGTAGATCTTAAGAAGTATATTATAAAGTAGTAATTACTTTCATTCTTTAATAAGTTCTTTTTTTAGAACAGAAGTAAGTTTGATTCTTTATTGTCGTAGACATTAGATATATTTCTTTGACATAAAAACGTCATTTCATCAGACTGTTTCTACTATAATATTTATGATAAAAAAATATAGTTATTTAAGGGAATCTACTGAACTTTGCAAAAGAAAATTCCAATAACCTTCTATATTCTATAGGAATCTCAGGAAATGAATTGCATTCATTGGAATTAACAGCTCATGACAGAAAAAAAAGAAAATGCATCGGAAGAAAGCTATATTAATTATCGTCGCAATATAGATTTATCAATTTAATTTTTGTTAAACTGTTCGACTGCACTGATTTATTATTTTTCACTCGTTTAGTTATTCAGACAAAATTTTTCTTCTTCTTCTTCCGGTTAAGGACATTAGTCATAACTCAAGCTGGCTATTCATAATTTCTAAAAGAGTAAAAACAAGTCGTCAACATCGCATGATCGTGAAAAAAACACATTCCAAAATCTGTTTGTATTATTCAACTAATAGTAATTAATAATTAATAACTTCTTTATATATGCACTGAGATTTATTTTAAACATATATGAAAGACCTTGAGTATGAGTTCAGTTTAGGGAAATAAACCTCTCTCTCTCTCCAGATTGTATTATTAGTACATTATATTTTATATAACATCACATTATTTTCTAATCTGTTATATGTATGGTGTAATAATCAATACATATTTAACATATTATAAAGTATGGCGTAATTCCATAAATATATATACACATTCATATGTTATATTTTTCTGGTGCATATAGAAGTTTTTTTCCACTCTTTCATCTGATTCATTTTTGTTTCTTACTATTCATCATCTATATAAATAAATAATAACTAATACTAGAAAAATGTAATTAACAAAGTGTTTGTTTACAAGATAGATAAAGTATTTTAATCAAAATTACATGACTCAAATAAATTCTTTACACAACTTCCATTTCTTCAGATTTTTACCAAGTTTCGATAAAATAGTGTATCTAGTTTTGCATTTAATATAAACAAAAAAGAAATATGATATCTAAAAGAGAAAAGAATTTAAATTAGACATGACAGTTTGATCAAATAACATGAAAAGAATTTTTGTTATTTTTTATTTAGAAAAGAACAACATCGTGAATTTCGTCGTCTTTATCATCTTGAAGAAAAACGTCGTCAACAATTATTAAATCGTCATGAATTTGAAATAGATGAACAACGACAAGAATTTCGTCGTAAACGTGATGAATTAATAAAGAAATATGATTTTGAATTACAAACAATGGAACAAAAACAAAAAATTGAAATTGAACGTGAAAGTGTTATATTAACAAATGAATGTAATAAAAAAATGAAACAAATTAAAATTGGTTTGTTAGATTTATATATTTTTTGTTTCACTATTTGATTACCTTTTATTTTCTAGATCAAGAAAAAGAATTAAAACAATTTCGTGAACAAATTCGTGAACAATATAAACAAATTAAACGTGAATTTGAATCACCATATAATAATACAAATAATTCGATGCTATTAACTAATAATGGTAAATAAAATATATATTTTTTTTTATAAAATATGTATATTGAATAGGTAATCAAACGATAAAAGATCGTAAAGAACAAATAAAACGTTATTTAATTGAAAAAGAAAATGAAGCATATTTACGTGAAAAACAATTTACTGATAATCAACAACAAATACTTGAGAATCAATTAAAAACAATTGAAAATTATCATAAACAACGTATACAAATCTTAGAAAGACAATTTCTTGTTGAAAAACAAAATTTAATTAAAACAAAAGAACAAGCATTATGGGAAATAGATGAACATGAATTACGTTCACGTTATGATCTTTTACGTAAACAAACAAAATCATTTTATTCATTATTTCGTACAATGTTAACACAACAATCCGAAAAAGAATTACAACAATTAGATGAACAAATACGTTTTGAACGTGATGCACTTGAAGCACGTTTAAATGATGATAGACGTGAATGGCCAAGAACATGGAAAAAAATGCAAAAAACAAGAAATAAACAATTTCGACAACAATTAATGATTAATAAAACACCTATTGAAGAAGAAAAAATTTTAATGAAAAAGGTATAATTGAAACTAAAAGAATCAATTTGTTTGAACAATATTTTAAGTTGTTAGAAAAAGACAGATAGTTAGTGAACACTTCAATTTGATGGCTCTTATCATCAATTATCATTTTGATGGTAATACTCATGAGATAGTAACTTGTTGTTGTAAAATATCATCTTTAGTTTTTGTTTCGATATATATCTATATTAGATTTTGTGTAGGAGCGAAACAGAATTTGATTAGTTTATTATTAGATTTTTTATGAGAAGAAGAAGAAGAAGAAAAACAAACACTGGAGTATTTTTAGTGTAGATAATTATCGAATTCCTATAATTAATATTTTTTTTGTTGATTTTAATCATTTAATATGAAATAATTGACATGCATAGAATATGACGTGTTCTATTATTCATATTATAATTATTTTTCTTTTTTGGATTAACTGTTGAAGAATTCTGTTAAGTTGCTATACTATTAATTTATTACTGTCAGTTGAATTCTTTCTTATTTATTCTTATAGTTGATAGAAATGGATCTATTAAATATTTTTTTAGAGATCAAAATTTGATTCTCTAAATTATCAATTAATAAAGTAAGTCCAATCAAAACTCCATAGTTTTATTTAAAAATTGCTATTCTAAATATCATACATGCATTACCGCTCAGTTTATCTCCATCAATCGTTATGCTTTTATACTAAGAATACATATCAATTCTTAGAAGTTATTCATCTATAGGAATAAAAACTTCACTGATCTTTTTTTTATTGAATCTTCATCGATTGATTCAATATGTAATTTAATAAATAATTTTTTTGATAATTAAAAAAAAGATTTCAATCGCTTTCAATTATACATAATTGATTTTAGTTTGAAAATGATGAAAATGACCGACGTCGTATTCATGAAGAACGTTTAAAAGAAAAACATCGCCATTTAATTCAAAATCTTCAAAATAAACAACAAGCTACAAGAAATGAATTACTACTTGTTCAAGTAAAACGATTTTGTTTTTTTGATTTTTTTATAAATATATTTTTTCTTCTTCTTTTTTTTGCAGAGACAAAAATTAGAACAATGTATTGAATTCGAAACACGTAAATTACAGGAACTCCAATCGACTTTTGAAAGTGATTGGATGGAATTTCGTAACACACAAAAAACAAGAAAATTGGTAAGAAAACTATTTATAGAAAATTGTTTTTTTGATTTTATCAATATTTACTGATAAAATAAGACTTTAATATGTATATATATAATTGTATCTCATCCAGATTGATCAGTTCCATATACATTCACCTCCTGGGTTACCGATGAAAACTACGAGTCAGAATAATGAAAGACATTCTCAATATACTGAGAATGAAAACCGAAATTGTCAGACATTTGTCTATAATGCTGATGAGATATCTCTTGAAGCTTTACTTGATCCAAATTTTCGTCCAACAACACAAGCAGAAAATCATCAACAAAAATTAACTCAACAAATTCATCATCATAATAATAATTATCAATATCCACAACAATCAACATCAAATACACAACAAAATGCTCGTTATAATCGAGCTTCGTTTGATCCATCAACAGATTTACCATTGATACAACCATATTCAACATTACCTACACGTCGTCGTCCGACTGGTTTAAACAATATTTCTATTGTTCATCTTTGAGAAAATGGTTAGATAGATAGTTAGTTAACTAGTTAGTAAAAAATAAACTCATTTCTAATCATTGGTGATCGGTCTAAAAATCAATCAATTAACTCGCTCCCTTATCTTAATTAACATTTTTTTCCCAAAATATTTTAATCGCTCGGTGATGGTTTTTTTTTAACTTTTATTTTCTATATTTCTCTAGCAAACGCCTATATCTCTTCCATTTTCGAGTGCGACATTGCTCCGAACTCGATTTTTACCATTTACGACAAATGTCGTACAGTCTCCAGTATCATCATATGCACCTGTTTTACTTCGTTCAACTGGTAATTATCGTATGCAATCGTGGCATTCATGGCCAGGCGTTGAATTGATGGATGATGAGCAATTCTGGAAATTAAGCAATGATAGCGAGCATATTCTCTTCTAATATCATAAAAAAACAATTAAAAGTCAGAATGAGATAGAAGAAGAAAAAACAAAGAGGTAGTCCGGGTGTTCTCTATTTCCTTGTATACATCATCTCATTATTCATTCATACACACATATCTCGGGGATTTCTTCTCTCTTCATATTATTACTTATATTCACTAATCATTCAATGCTGCTGTTGCTCGTACAATCAAATAAATGTTGATATTTTCATTTGTTGCTCTGCACATATCTATTTTTAACAATAACCTTCTATATTTTATTCTTTTATACATAAAAAATCTTTACTATATAAAAAATTAATATTCTTTTTATTTTAGGAAATTGAAGAAAAATTTGCACGTGAAACATTAAAACAAAGAGATTTTTATTTTGATACGCCACCAACATCAAATTTTGGAACATTAAATTAAATATTACGAAAGGAAAACCAAAAAGGAAATATTTCTTTTCTCTATTTATCAAAAAAATTTTTTTTAGTACATTCAACTTGCTCACATGTGTCTTCTTTTTCTTTAATATTTCATACATTACATTTCCAGAAATTTCTTTTTTCTTTTGTTTATTCAACCACCAAAGACCTTTTTTTTTCACTTCGTGTAAATGTTGATCCGTCCTTACTCTTTGATCAAAAAAAAAAAGAAGGAAAAAATACAAAAGATTTCTTTTTTATATCTTTATTTGCCATTAAAACATCGACTAATGGGCTAATTGTGACTCACATTTATGAATCTAATTCAAAAAACTTACGCAATGCATTACATTCCTTTTTTTTTCTCTTTTGTTTCTTCGACTCATTTTGTCAGATAATTCTGCTTCCATTTCATATTTTTGTTCATTGTTATTTCAACGTATTTATATATATATCTATATCATTATTGACTATCATCTTTCTTTTCTTTTCTTTTGCTATTATTATTCGTCTATCTTCCATATTGCTCATTGAATTGATAAAAACCAAAACGATTTTCTATAAATATTTCGGGCATTTTTTTTTGTTCTTCCGTGACGACAGTGATATGTTTAACGTCACCGCCGCCACTTTACTTTTTCTCTGACCACCACCGCTTTTGCTTGCATGTCAGTGGCATATATGTCCATTTTTTTTCTGCGTGCTTAAAGAATAAAATATGCTAGATTGATGAAAACAAAAATAAAATAATAATTCTAAATAACTTTTGTTTTTAAATCTCATTTGTTCTTGTAATTTAGATAAATGATCAAAATTAATGTAACACTTGGTGTTACATGGACAATAATCTCCTTTGGATTTTTTCTATGTTGTCGTTATTTAATACGTCCATTAACTTATTATCGATTAGCAACAAATAAACAAGATAATCAAATAATTATTTCTCCACCTGTTCGATCATGGTTTACTTATACGAATGAAGCACGATGGCAACGATTAAATTTATTAATTAGTTGGCTACATGCTCTGATAACCGGTGTACTTGTTCTGTATTGTTTTTTAGCATATTCAGGATTACGTAATGATTTTGTACAACATGTTAATTTTGTAACATATATAACATGTTCTTTGTCATTCGGTATGTTAAATAATTAAATATATTGACATTGGATTTTAAATAGAATAATTATTTATTTTTAGGTTATTTTTGTTATGATTTATGTGATGTACTTTCAAATCGACGAGGAGCTGATTTATTAGAAATTATATTACATCATGCTGTTGTAAGTTATATATCTCATAAGAAATCTTTATTTAGTTTACATGAGAGTACTATTATTAATTATATTAGAAATTTGTAGTAAAAAAATGTGTGTGTGTGCGTTTTTTTTCTTTCTTTCCAATTCTATAATTAGTTTATATTCGAATGAATTTTAAACTACGTGAAATTTTTTGATATTTGTATGCATGCGTATATTAAATATCTAGACAACACTTTGAAAGATGAATAGCTTCACATATAGGATAAGGGTACAATTATATGCTCAATTTATACAAAAAAACAAGAAAAAAAAAATCATTATTTATGCTTTTTTATACTATAAACGCATATCATCAATGACAATCGATCATTAATAAATGTCGAATTTTCTACAATGAAACAGGTGGCTCTCTCTATTCCTGTTAACTGTGACAAATAGAATAGACTCGCTACGGTCTATGATAGGTATGAAGAATGAATGTTTACATGTCTACGATTCACCTTACTTCATACATACCGTAAGACATTATGATTGATATCTCCCTGTGCTTATTAAATTCATATTAATACAATAGATACATTGTGTTTTCCATTGAGAATATTCGGAAAAAACTCAATTGATATTAATATTTTTTCATTATAAATATATAATATACTATTCTTTTTTTAACTATTATATAAATATATATATATAATAATATTCTTAATTGTTTTAGGTATTGATATTTTTTGGTTGGAATATAATTTGTATACGAAATATTGGTTATCAAATGTTTGCATTATTGGCTGAAGTAAATTCCATATTTTTACATGCTCGAAAATTATTCTATTTATTTCATATACCAAAAGAGAATTTTTTTGTTCGTTTAAATATGATTTTAAATATTTTCACATTCTTTTTTTGTCGTCTTTGTATGTTAGTTTTTGTCACTATATTTGTCTATCATGATCGTTATCGTGTTGGAGATTATTATTATTTATTTGTATCATTTATTCTTATTCCAGTAATGTGGATTATAAACCCCATACTTTTCTATCGCGTCCTACATACAGATTTTTTAAAGCAATATAGAGCACATAAAATAAAGTCATAGTTCCACATGTAAGTCAAAATTTTTTTTTGTATGAGTATGTTTTTGATCTGAATGTCCAAAATTGTACTTCTCATTTTGTATGTGTGTGTATTCATTTATATATATATATATATATGTAGTTATTCAGTATAAAACGTATGTCCATTGAGAATTTTAATATATATTGTATAATTTTTTTTTCTTCTTTTCTTTTCTTTTTTTTTGCTAAGCATCTAACAGAGAAAATATATGTATACATTGTGTCATTATTCGCTTATTTTTATTTTTTTACTAGAGCAGATAATAGCGGTGAATAATATGGCGAAAAAAAAATCATTTATATTTACTCTTGCATATCAACCTTGTTTAATTAATCAGTATTGACAAGTTTATGTTGAATTATAGTGATTACATATTATCACTAGAAAAATAATGTCAATCGGATTAGTGAAAGGTGATCATATGTGTTAAAGGGGTAGTATTGTTTTTGTTCGTATTTTGCACCTCCATTGGTATAAAAGTGTAGGACAGGATTGTGCGAAAACAAAAAATATAGTATTAACACACATAAATGGGTATACATTGTTTGGATGAAATGATAATTGACGTGAATGAAAAAAGAATAATTGCCATTGATTTTTGTTTATAAAAAAAACTGATGTATTGAAGAAAAGAAAAAATTTTATTTTTTACGATTGTTTATAAATGAAATCAGGTCATAATGTTGAAATTTTTAAAATAATAATTCTTGTAAAACAATTGACTCTTAAAATAAAATTGATAATGATCTTTCTATGAATGAACTTCAAAACATTTTGAGAAATAAATGTAATTGGAATATAATTTTTTTTAATTTTCTCAGTTAACAAGGTTAGAGAAAGGTTCGCTTTTCTTGGAACAAATTATACAATTACATTTCAATCAACTTCGACCTTTCCTTTTTCTTTTTGCCTTGTTTATATTATTTTTTTTTCGAGTTGAAAATACGATTCATCAGGTAAAAATAGAATAATTTCATGCAAGTAAATAAGCGAATCACGAACGTATACAGACACATAAAATCACAGTTGCGGTCTGTATATTTGATGTAACCCAAGGTATTTTTTTCTGTCCATACATTTGTATTTCTATATTATATAGGTGTTCTCTTCTTTCACCTGTTTCGTTTTATTACTCTCGTTCGTTACTATCGACAAGAACACAAGTAAAAAGACAACTATCTGTTTTATTACTTTCGTAAACGAAATGTATCAAACACCGATAGCAGCTCACGGATTTAATCATCAATCATTTTATCGTCAGCCAGTATCGAACCTGAGACAGATTAATGAAATTGTATGGAATCGAAATAATGAAGCACAACAAGCAAATAATAATAATATAACAAATTCATTTATGAATCAACAATCTGGTTCTCAACGTGGAACTATGGATAAACATATCTATCCATCACTAGAAGAAGCAATGAAACATCAAAGTGAATTTAAAAGAGACCCAAGAGCTAGAACTGAGAGATCATTTCGAGACCGTATAGATTTCATATTTAACTAATTTTATTGATATAATATTTTTCTTTTAGAGTCTAGGAATGGAACGATGACATCGAATACAGGTCAAAATCGAACATTATCACGACAAGCGAGTTTAGGAGCTCTACCTATGGCTGAAGATATCTTACCACAACCTCCAGCACCTTTAACAAATTCACGTTCAGCTGGTACTATACATGATTATATACAAAAAGAACGAAGAGCTCATACTATGGCTCCATTATCTCGCATATTAGGACCAAATTATGCTCAAAAAACAAATGTGTTTGCTAGTACGCTTGCTCCAAGTGATGCTCAAAATATCAAAGCAGCTGCTTTAACACAAACAGTACCCAATACAATATTGAATTCCTATCCTCAAACAGGCATTGAAATGACTGAAGTAGAGGAGACTAATGCAGAAGAGGAAGAAGATGATGATGCTCCAATTATTGTAAAAGTTCGATATGATCCAGAAGCTGGTGGTCCACCATCAGAAGATACTATTCGACAAGCAATTGATAATCAATTACAACGAGAATCTGGTCAGAGAATGACTAAAGATCCAATTATTCTAAATTTTCTCAATCAGGGTGTGCCTCCTCAGTTCTTACAAATGCCAGTTAGACCACCGCAACCATTTAATCTTCACGCTGGTGCATCTGGACAACCACATCTTCGTCCACCCTTCCGATTTCCAACTCCTCTCCAACAGCAGCCACCACAACAGCATCAGCAAGTTCAACAAGTACAACAACATCTGCAAACACAACAAGTACAGCAATCACAACCATCTCAACAACCTCAACAATCTCAACAACCTCAACAACCTCAACTATCTCAACAAACTCAACAATCTCAACAAACTCAACAACCTCAGCACCCTCAACAACAGCAAACCTTACAATCAATACAACGGCAACTGCAACAACAACATGCAATATTGATACAACAGCAACAACAATTACAACAAAAGCAGCAACAGCAGCAGCAGTTGCAACAACAATTACAACAGCATCAGCAACAACAACAAAAACAAGGACAACAACAGCAACAAAAACAACCAGTGCCACTGCAAAAGCAGCCAACCCAACAACAACAGCAACCACCACCACAAACGCAACATCAGCAGCAAAAACAACAACAACCAGCGCAACAACAGCAACAAAAACAACAACAACAACCAGCGCAGCAACAGCAACAAAAACAACAAGTACCAGCACAGCAACCGCACCAAAAACCACCACAGCTGTCAACTCAACAACCTCAAAATAAACAGCAACAACCGCAAACACAGCATCAAAAGCAACAACTTCAACAAAAGCAACAACAACAGCAAACGGCGCAGCAGCAGACGGCGTCACAACAGCAAAATACGACACCACAGCAAAGTACGACACAGTCACAAACTACAACACAACAGCAACAACAAAAACAACAACAACAATCCCAAGCGCAAAAGCTGCAACAACAACAACAACAAAAGCAACAAACGCAACAGCCTCAAAAGCCATTAGCATCACAACCTAAGCAACCACAACCGCATTCACCATTGCATCAAAAGCAACAGCAGCCGCATTCGCCAATACATCAAAAGCAACCACAGCCTCATTCGCCATCGCATCAGAAGCAACCACAACCGCATTCGCCATTACATCAAAAACAATCACAACCGCATTCGCCATTGCATCATAAGCAACAACAACTATTATCATTGAGTCAAAAGCCACAACAACAACAACCACAATTGCAACAAAAACAACAGCAGCAACAATTACCATCACAACAAAAACAACAGCAGCAAAAACAACCACAACAGCTGCATTCTCAACCAAAAACACAACCGCTACCACAACAACAACAGACCTCACAACCGCCTCAGCAGCAATCTCCGCAACAAACTCAACAACAGTCTCCACCACAGACTCAACAACAGCAACAAAAACAACAACAGCAGCAAAAGCCGCAAACACAGCCACCACATAAGCCACCACAGCGACTACAGCAAGAGTTTTTTCTTCAACAGCAGAGGCAAAAGCAGGTATTTAGTGCGGAACAACAACAAAAACAACAACAACTAGTGCAGGAGCAACAACTTCAACAACAACAATTGTTAATTGAGCAACAACAGAGACAGCAACAGAAAGAACAACAGTTACAACTGGAGCAACAACAAATACAGCAACAACAACAGAAATATTGGCAGATATTACAACAGAAACAACAACAAATTGAACAACAACAATTACAGTTAGAACAGGAACAACAGAGATATCGTCAATTATTGCAAAGTCAACAACAATTGCAACAAAATCAACAAAAACAACAAGAACTACACCAACGAATTCAACATCAGCAAGGTTTTGATCATAATGCTTATCTTCCACCAATAGGTCCACGACCACCACGTCCTTTTGCTTCAAGTCGACCTATTTCTATGAATCGATCGCCTGATATGTTTCTACCAAATGGTAACAATCGTGCATTACAATCAGCTCCATTAGCTCCAATTCCAATAAGAAATATACAACAAACTGCAACTATGGATCGACAACGTTCACCAATTCGAAATATAAGCTCTTCCTTAGCTAGCAGTCCCTTATCAACAGGTTACCATATTCATCTATATTTTTTTTCTCTATTCTTAACTCAATTTTACAATCAAATAATAAAATTATTAATTTATTTATTATTTTTTTCATTTTATTTTAGTACCTAGTGGATACAATAATCAAGCTCATCGATACACACCAAATAATTTCATGCCAATTAATTTCGATATTGGCAATGGGCAATCACCAATATCTGGTAATAACAATAACAATAACTCTACTAATATGTCACAAAATTTATTACCAAGACCACATACAGCACCTTCATTTACTGAAATGTTTCGACCACCATCAGCATTAGATATACCTGAATTAAGCGAAGTAAATCTTCGTAATATGCTCAAGTAAGCATAATCTTTAACATAATAAATTTTCTTCGAATATATCTTATTACAGCCAAATTCCTAGTTTAAATGGTTGTCAATTTAGTATCGAATATGCAGAACCTACTGAACCAACTGATATTCCAATACCATCAAAATCACCTGACGATGAAAATAAATATCCTGAACCTATTATTGTCGATCAATTACCAAATGATATTATTCAACATGTACGAAGTAGTGATAATTTAGCATTAAAAGCTGCATTAGAATTAAGTGCAGAAGCAGAAGATAATGGTCCGTATATCAGTCAATCTCAAATGAACGCACAAATGATGAATAAACAATCATCAACAGTATTACATCATTCAACACAAGTTAATCAATACGTACATCAATCTCCACGATCACCATCACGCGAATCAAATAGTACTCTCGATACTAGTTCATCAGAAAAAGAAAATGAAATTGATGAAATTGAAATTGTTCCTGTAACAATGTGATAATTACTTTTCTTATCTATTTATTCTAATTTATTCATTTTTAGGCATTAAATTACAATTAATTTGTGGAACTAATATCATCAACAACACTGATTCAATGCCAAGATTTTTAATTAAATAAACATAAAAATTTTGTTACTCTTGTTTACGCAGTATTATTGTGCATTTTCTATTTTCATGATTTCTTTTTCATAATAAAGTAATACGAGTATTTTAATTCAAACTCGATAATTTTATATATGTTTTTTCGATATGAGAAGAATAATCTAATGAATAATTGACAATTCGCAATAGTTATTTTAAAAAATCATCATCTATCCTTGAATTTTATGGCTCATATAAATGTTTTGCATTTGACATAGAATATGAAGAAAAAAACAATATTATATTTTTCAAGGCAAAAACCTTGAGATAATTATTGAAAGAAATTATTTTAAAATCAAATTATTTGTTTTGCTCTTATCTACTAATAGACTAATATACGAAAATTAAAAATTTACAAATGAAACAGCACACAATTATAAAGCAATGTAATTAAAACATGCTATTAAATATAATTAGTCAAGCTATATTTGTATTCATATTAATAATAAATTATCAAATAAACGACTATAAGGATCGAAAACATGGATTACAGCATATTGTAAGGACATTTTGATTGTAATTAAATATTAATAAATTAGAAAACTATTCATGCAGATAATCTTCTTAAACTAAACAGGTGTTTTTTTATATAAATGAGAAATTTATTTTAATCAAATTTGGTCTATTCAGTAATTCAAATTATAGTTATTTTTTCACTGATCGAGAGCAATATTTTATTGTTATTCAAATAAGTAACAAAACAAGAACATAAAAAGCCGGTAGTTATTTCGTTTTCATCGATGCATATTTAAAATTACTAAGAAAAAGAGATGATAGCGTGGTTGATGCACGTGTAAAATCACATATACGTATATATATATATTCTTGTAAGTTCTCAATTGAGTAAAAGAATGCGATCACTTGTAATTAGTATTTAGTTTGATTCATGATACATTAAAGTTTGAAGATTTTAATAAAAAATTGTTTCATTATGGTACGTACTGGCTGATTAGTAAATATCAACAATAACACATCACAAAGCAGAGCTAATGGTGGTAAGATCTGGGAACACTGGTTCAAAATGATCGGAACAATAGCACTTTTGTTGAATAATTGTATAATAAACGAAGGGCTCCATCCGACTACAAAAACGACAAAAGTACCAATTGTTAGTTTAACTAGGAACACATCACGTTTATGCGATACTTGACCACCTGTGCCGCCTGACGCATGCACTCGACGCGTAGAGTTACGTACAAACATAAGAGTACGAGCATTGAACAAAGTAACGATAATGATTGGCAAGAATAGGGTGGTGATGATAGTATAATATTGTAAAAAAGTTGTTTGTGTTGATGTAAAACATAATAAACTATCCACAAATAAGTATGGAAAAACAACAAAAAAAGCAATAACCCACCCCATAATGATACAATACCATAGAAATCGATTCGACCGAAAGACATGCTTATGCGCATAAACAATTGCAAGGAATCGACTAATAGCAAATCCACAATGTGCATACATCAACTGACATGCGGCCATTTCTAACAAAAAAGTTTCAACACGACAAGAGAAGTAAATGAATTTGTTGAGTAGTTGCGGAATAGTCATTTCTAACAGAATAATACTAAACCATGCACTGGCAAGACAAACATTGATTGTGAACCAATTTAATTTGTTGTTACGAAGTGTTGGTCGAATTAGTATGAGAACTATGTAAGCAAGGGCAAGAATAATTATCAGCGAATATAATGATAACTGAATGATAATAGGAAAAGAAGAACCTGAAGACAGATCACTGCTAGACGATTCGTTCATATTAGAAGTTGATGCATTGTCAGACTTATTCATCGTTAGTATTACGAAGAAATGGAAGCTTAATGAACGACAAACAACATATTATAATAATGATGAATCTATTTAACGAGATTTCCATTCATCATCTCTCCAAAAGAGAAAAATATGTGCGCAGTAACGATAATTGTCATCTACTCCGTGAAATGATGAATCAGTTACTTATCTAACTATAATTTTAATGAACATCTAAATTATTTTTCTAATATTTATTAGAAGGGATTGTGGAATATAAACATCAAAACAAATTTTTCAATAACTAAGACGACACTATAATAATTTTACGATGAATATAAAATAGAAACAAAAATGACTATGAGTACTATTATTGATGAGAGTTTCATGGTAGAATAACTCGTTTTACACATGATAGATAATGTCGTATTTTATGACTCTTCATAGACAATAGAATATTTTTTTTTCATACTTTAAAATCTAAGTTTTTTTCTCTACTCCTATTCTCTAATAATGATGCTTTTTTTATTATTATTTAAGGATGTTTCATTTACGATGCTTTGAAGCGGGTACAAGTACTCTGGGATTTAAAAAATGGAGGAAAAAAGATGTAAAGAGTAACACTAATTTCTTGAATATACTTGATTATAATAATTTGAAGGATACTGTTATGAACAATTAAGAAGCTGGGAAACGATGCTTATTAGAGATCTGTTTGTTATTAGTCAAAGTTCGTCTATTTTCATTGTACTTATCCCAGGTACATCTATTGAAAAATTTAAATCAAGATGAATCATATATGAATCATTTTCGAAAAGAATCCTCTAGATATCATAATAAACCAATATATGCGGAAGGTTTTCTATGTTTCTCAACATTACATATCAGCATGAATTATTCTTTGTTGATTAATAGGTAAAATGATAGTAAATGACGCAAAGTGCGGCATTTTCCTTTATTTTAGTGTAATGGAACAAAAATAATAAGAAGAGTTCTAAACATTGATTCGCTAATGTATTCACTTCAATTTTAATGGGAAATTTTTTGATAGAATCATGAATTTCCAGATGAGACAAACTGTAAGATAGTACATTAAAAATTGCAATATGCTACTATTGTGAAATGATTTACAACAAAATAATCTCATTTGATACTGTTTATTAGAGATATGGGTGACCGAAATTTTTCATAGTAACATCTTGAATGTGGGTGTAGGTATAGGAAGAGTATATCACCCATACACACACTCACATCATCAACAAAATTTATTTAATACTTTTAGCATGATTTAAATATATTCATTAGATAGATTAAACGGGAAGAAACTCAGTTGTTACTTTGAAACACTCATTTCATGTCAGTTTTTTATTTGATAAGAAATTAGTACGAATAAATGAAAGGAAAAATTGAACAATAATTTATTTAAAATAACTAACTTCAAATAGAAAAATATACTTCGATGTTATTCTTTCACTAAATAAGTTTTTAATTACGAGAACATATCTATTATTCATTAATAATAAATACAATGATCATGCGTACGACTCTTCATTTATACATTTAATATACTGATTTCGCACAGATGTCGATATTTGTCAGTCGCTTATATATTTATTGTATCGAAAATCTATTCTGTATTAAAACTAGTAACCAATGAAACATCAATTCCCTGTCGATCGTAGAAAAAACAACGACGAAATTATAAGAATAACTTTTTACTTGAACACTTTGACCAGTGTTCTAATTTATTCAATTAATATAATTTTAGATATTTTCCATAAATCAATTTATTCTAGTCAATATTCGATAATAATGTCAAATAGTAAAGGATCTACAAGTGAATTTAAAAAAGGTGATAAAGTTCAATGGAATTCATTACAAGGTACAATTGAAGGTGTTGTTGTTAAAAAATTAACATCTGATATGCAAATCAAAGATCATCATGTCAAAGCATCTGAAGATGATCCACAATATCTTGTTAAAAGTGATAAAACAGGTGCTGAAGCAGCACATAAACCTGATGCATTAACATTACTCGATGATGATTAAAGTCAAATAGTAACATATTATTTTATATTATATTGTTTCTCTTGTTGAAAAAAAACGTTTTTTGTTAATAAATAATCAAGCATTTTGTTATTTTGTTATTTCTAGATGTGCTAAATTCTATAATGAATCGTTTATTATTCTCTTGCATTACACCTCGTAATGGTCAAGCAATTCATACCATCGGCATAAAATCTTTTCAATTATTTTCGTCAAATCTTTCTCAACAATATTTATCTGTAATACGATTACCGTCCATTGTAAATAATTATAAAATAATTTATCTAGAACATAATTAATAATCTTCGTTTTTTCTTAGACATCATTCACACTTTGTCGAAAATATGCATCTGTGCCTCGTCCAAAAATTTCTGAGGTAACAAGTTCCGATACATGGATTGCTAGTTCAACATCACCAATAAAATCGAATGAAAAAATAAATAGCAATATTATTGATTTAACATCATCGACAACAACAACAACATCACAACCATTTTGTGATCCACCAATAAAAACTGATGATACTGATTCAAAACATACATTTAAAGAAACTGAACAAGATGTTGCCATACTTCCATCAGACTTAAATAAAAATACACATGTTTCAGTAAGGCAATTATGTGATTATTATACAAGATTATCAAAGAAAAATCTCACTAGTATAATTAAAATAAAATCTTTTTCTTTTTTTATTAATTGAACCAATTTGTCTTTTTCTAGTTCTTGTTGCTTCAACAGCCGCTTATGGTTTTATTGTAGCACCACTTCCAACTAATATCCTATCACTTGTTTGTGTTACACTTGGAACAGTTTTAACATCTGCTTCAGCTAATACAGTTAATCAACTTATGGAAATTCCTTATGATGCACAAATGAAACGTACTCGTAATCGAGTACTTGTACTTGGTCAAATGAGGTATATAATTTATTAGAATACTTCTAATATATATATATACCTTCCTTTATATTTAAGTTATCGACATGCTATTGGTTTTGCTTCTGTAACATTGATCTCAGGTGTCACTATTCTTACATTAGCTTGTAATCCTTTAACGGGTATTTTGGGATTATCGAATTTTTTACTTTATACATGTGTTTATACACCAATGAAACGAAAACATATTATTAATACTTGGTTAGGATCCATTGTTGGAGCAATACCACCTGTTATGGGTTGGACAGCATGTACTGGTTCAATTGACTCAGGTAAAATATAAACTTGTGTTTTCCTTCTCACCAAATATCGACTTTGATTTTAGGCGCTCTATTACTTGCTTTTCTACTTTATGCATGGCAATTTCCACATTTCAATTCTTTAAGTTGGAATATCCGACAAGAATATGATCGTGCTGGTTACAAAATGATGTGTGTATCTCATGAACGATTATGTTTAGTAACCTCTCTTCGTTATTCAATTATGATACTTCTTACATGTTCAGTAATTGCACCAGCTATTGATATGACAACATGGTTATTTGCTTTCGATACATTACCTGTTAATTCGTATTTAGTTTACCTATCCTATAAATTCTATCGTAATCGTGATGCACAATCATCAAGAAAACTTTTTCGCTATAGTCTGATACATTTACCATTATTATTTACACTTATGGTTATTCATCGGCAAATCAAAACACAAAATCAGTCAACACCAATGCCGACACAAGAACTAGTACCCGTACCTATGTGATTGAATAATTTTGTTACAAAAATATCAGTCAATGCTTTTTCATTGTTTTCTTCATACATTTGAGCAGTGTTTTTTTTTCTCTTCTTTTGTTTTCACGTACGTTCTTGTTCAAATGTTTAGGTTATAATTGTGTGTATGATGAATGGAATTTTTTTTAGCTTGTAGGACAAACATTTGTAATTGTGAACGATATAGTTATTTCCTATAGAGGTATTAAATTGATCCCGAAAGTTGCGGTGATAAAATATTATCGAATTTATTTGATACATATCCTATTTTGTTATCAAAAAGATTCTGATAGTCTATTTATAGCCAACGTAGACTATCTGATACAATGATTATATGTAGTAATCTCAGAAGCAGATTACATCTAGATTCGAATTTTTATACTATGGTAATCAATATGAATACTGATCTATTGGTTGAACGAAACTTTTTAGTTAACATAAATATTAAGTGTTTACCGAATTCTATATTAATTGCTTCTAATATTGTACACATCAACTTCATTATGTTTCTTATTTTCATTTAGACATGACTATGCTAGATTTTTAAAAATCATCGTCTTTATAGTTTATTCGGGATAAAACAGGACATACATGATTATCGACACTATCTCTTCACTTTTGATAAACTGTTAGTCAATCAGATTTAAGAAAAGATATATATTTTGCATTAAATAGATACATGTGAAATGACTTTATATTTTAAATGTTTATCAAACGACATTATACCAATAAATCAGAAAATTTCAAAGCTATCAAAACCAAACTTTGTTACAATTTTAATGAAAGTAAAATTTTGTCATTGAAGTCAATTAGCATTTGCTCTACATCGAATACTAATTGACATTAATCTTATTGTAAGATAGGTAGAACGTTAAGTTTTATTCATCATTTGTCCATAATTGAAATCGTCTCTTTTAATTTATTAAATCATAAATATTTTTTTAGAACAATAAACTAAAATTTTTGAAAAAAAAGCAAAAAATATAATAATTCGTTTTCTTTTAAATTTATTGTTCTCGCCCGTCTCGTTCGCTGGTCTCATCATCTAATAAATAAGCTGGTTTGTAATCAATTAAACCTGTATCATTATTTTGATATATCAATTTCACATTTCTAATTGTTTTTTCTTTATCACCTATCGATGTAAAACCTTGATCGTATATTGAACAATATGATACATTAAATTCTTTCAAATATCCCCAGATATGTTTATAAGAATAGTTTAATATTGGATTACATCTCATGTATTCTGGCCATGTTGGATCTGTTAGTGAAAAATCATTCAAATTCGATGAATGTGGATCGGTAAAACGTGTACCCATTATAACACATTGAATATTTGGATGAGAAGATTTCAATTGATATAGTGCATCTTTTATTCGGCCATCTATTTGAATAAGATTAATGTCATAATCTTTGACACATTTATTGACAAATTCTAAAACGTTTTCAAATTGTTGTTTATTATGAATAAATAAAGCATTTAATGTTGGTTTTTTAGTTAAATTTGCAAATTTTTTATGGAATACTACTGAATATTGATGTAAAACAACCGTACAATCTTTACCACCATTGAATGCAACTGCTATTTGATCCGGTGTATATTTTGTTAAACATTGTTCAAGAACATTAAATGAATGCCGAATTCGATTGGCTAATTCCGAATCAGATATTGATTGTGTGCAATCAACTGTCATAATAGCTACTATATGAAAATAGAGAAATGGAAAGATATTGAACTCATATTCAAGATAAACATATATAGGTAAAGTTAATACTATATCTTCAAGTAAAATCTTTTCATGCTCGTGTAAGAACGTGTTTCAAGAAGACCTCGATGATCCCTATTCAATGGTGTGATCAGATATTCGGCAACTCAAATTCGTTCAGGGTGCTGTTCCAAGTACAACTCGATCGAGCTCTATCTAATGGTATGCTCAGATTTCGCACAGTTCGAACTATAATTTTCGAATCCACATATAGCGCCATGAAAAATCTGGGTATACCATTATGTAGAGCTCATCGAGTTGTACTTGGAACAGCACCCTGAACGAAATGTGAGTTGCCGAATATCTGGGTACATCATTGGATACAGTCATCGGTATCCAATTCGAATGTTAATTAGATCACCTGAAACGCCCCTTTATATGAATATAGAAAAACAATGATTCAATAAAGGTGTCAAGTCAACCCACGTTACAAAAACATAAGGCGAAAAATCCTTTTGTTTTCTTCTCAAAACATTTTATTGTTTTGTTTTTCCGTTTTTTTTCAGGTTCTGACAGATGAAAAAAGAAGAAAAAAAAGACAA